AAATAACCCAGGCGCACTTCCCTCGCCCGCAGGGTCCCGCACTGGCGCCAAAAACTGGTGCTCTAGGGTCTCCTCAACCGTCAACCGCGCAGAAGGGTCCCACTGGAGAAGCATTTCCAAAACCTGGACCCCTGCGGGCAGCGCAAACGGGTACAATTCGCCCCAGCTCACTGGACTGAAGCGCCCAAACAGAAGGTGCACTTTACCCACCGGTAGTTTCCACCCTCGCTGCTTTACGAGGTTCTTGTCTGGCTCACCAAGCAAATCGATAATACGAACCATTTGCCCCACGGTGTCTTTGCCTGGCAATAAAGGCCGCCGCCCGTACATCTCGCCTAGTATTACTCCGACCGCCCACATGTCCACCTCTTTTCCGTAGTGCTTCTCTCTGAGCAAAAGCTCTGGTGCTCGGTACCACCTTGTAGCGACGTAGTTGGTGATGGGGCACGAGGCGGCAGGGGAGGCGGTGATTCCACGGGCTAGGCCAAAGTCGGCAATTTTTAAAGTGCCGTGCCTATCTACCAAGATGTTGCCTGGTTTCAAGTCTCGGTGGATGATGTTGGCGCTGTGGGTGTACTTGAGGCCTTGCAAGATCTGGTAAAAAAAGCTCTGGATGTGGAATTCCAGCAATTGCATGGGCAGAAACAAAACGTGGGTGAGGTCCCAATCCATGAGCTCCTGGAAACAGTAAAGCCCAGGATACGTATCTTTCACAAAGTGTACATCTACAAGAGAGACAATCTGGTATTAGTGTTGAGGCGGAATATGCATCCCAAGGTGAATCATACGTGGCGGTTTCCTCGCAAGTGGGTCATGAGACGAAGCTCCCGAATTGCCCGTTTAAGCAAGATTGGATTTTCAAAGATCCGTGAAATCTTCTTCACGGCAAGCTTGACGTTGCGGTCGTCCTTGGTGTCAATCACCAGGCAGACGGTGCCGTACGAGCCTGATCCAAGTTCCTTGACTATCTTGTAACGCCGAGGAACGTGAAAGCCCTTGTCTTTGTAGGTTTCGAATTCGGCCATGAAAAGAGTGTGGTTGTACCCGCTGCGAAATGGCTGCAAAATGTTACAAGTAGAGTGCGGTCGAGAGTAGGAGGAAATGGGCAAGACCGGCGATCACTCACTTTTTTTATAGTTATTTGGAAGTCTCAACCTGTTGTTCGGAGGACTAGAATCGTTAGCAAGGCCTCGGGCATAACGCCATTCGCTATGCTGTCATCCAGTATCAGCTGTCAATTTATCCATCCATGAGACCACATACTGACTTGACAATCTGTTGGCCAAACATAGAGCCATCCGAGGCACGGTTCACTCAATATTGGGTCAACATTAGGATCAAGTTTTGTGCAATATGATCTTTTCATTCATCTTTGGAACACTTCGTGGCATTCATCTCCGCGACTCGTAGTAGTGGTGGCTGCGAAACAACAAAGTTTAGAAAGCACCATATTCGTTGAAAAAAAAGAAAATCAATACAATTAAAGTAGTAACCTGGCAGACCACCCTTCATCGAAGTACATATCTTCCGTAGCAAATAACTTATTCTCATGAGTCGTGGTATTTACCTCGACTGCTCGATGCGATTCCACGAGGTCTCACTGCCGTCGCTCTAAAAGTGAAGTTTGAAAATCATTGCTTGGAAATCTTTATCTGATAAACCATTATCAATATTTCTCCCCTTATTTGGTCGACTCCCACCTGGTAGCTTGTATGACTATTCGGAGTGTCGTGCGAAGTACACCATCTGAAAATTTTAGATCTCTTCCACATACTTACTCATCGTTAAGCTTCAGATACCGCCAACATGAGCACAAACTGCCGATTTTACGAGAACAAATACCCCGAAGTGGACGAGGTGGTGATGGTGAACGTCCAGGAGATCGCTGAGATGGGTGCCTACGTCAAGCTTTTGGAGTACGACAACATCGAGGGTATGGTGCTTTTGTCTGAATTGTCCAGAAGACGTATCCGTTCGATCCAGAAATTGATTCGTGTGGGTAAAAACGAAGTCGCTGTTGTTTTGAGAGTCGACAAAGAGAAGGGTTACATTGACTTGTCCAAGAGAAGAGTCTCTGCTGAGGACATTGTCAAGTGCGACGAGAGATACAACAAGTCCAAGGCCGTCCACTCGATCTTGAGACACTGTGCCGAAAAATACGGTGTTTCCTTGGAACAGCTCTATCAGACCGTGGGCTGGCCCTTGCTGAGGAAGTACGGTCACGCATACGACGCTTTCAAGTTGTCCATCACCGATCCTTCCATCTTCGACGGTATCGAGGCTCCTTCCACAGAAATCTTGGAGGAGTTGAAATTGTACATTAGCCGCAGATTGACACCTTCTGCCATCAAGATCAGATCCGACGTTGAGGTCTCTTGCTTCTCCTACGAGGGTATCGATGCCATCAAGACAGCTTTGCAAGCCGCCACCTCAGTCTCCACAGAACAGATGCAAGTCAGAGCCAAGTTGATTGCTGCTCCTTTGTACGAAATCTCCACTCAGGCTTTGGACAAGAACCAGGGTGTTGCTTTGTTAGAGAAAGCCGTTGAGAAGGTTGCTGAGTCCATCGAGGCCAGCGGTGGTAACTGTAAGATCACCATGGCTCCTAAGGCCGTCAGTGCCTCTGAGGATGCCGAGTTGCAAGCTCTTTTGGAGAGAAAGGCTGCCGAGGACAAGGACTCTTCCGATGAGGAAGAGGAGGACTAAGTCTTCGTGTTTCGTCATTTTCTACTTCTTTAATCTTGCTACAGCACTTGCTCATCTTTGGCACCTTCATGATCCCTTGTATATTTAAAACGCATCACATCATATCGTATATGGCATCGACTTTGTAAGCTTCACTTCTCCTTTATTGACTCTTTCAACTAACCCGTAAGGTAGGTTGTTTAAAAGCACTGATGGTACTCTGAATTCCTTTAATGAGTTTGGAAGCACCACTCCATCCATATTATAAAGATCCTGGTTTCCGCTGAGGTCAAGGATGCGAAGGTTGGGTCCAAAGCGAACGTTTCTGAAAACCCGTAAGTCGTTATACTGTAATTTTAGCTCCTCCAAAGAATATGGGAAGTCCATGGACTCAATAGTCTTGATCAGATGATAACCGAGATTAAGTACCTTGAGGTTGGCAGAAAAAATGACATCTTTAATGGAAGTGATGAACTTCTCGTTCTCTTCAAGATGAGGGTCCATTTCAAGATCTAGGATTTCTAGTGTGGGAGGAAACTGGACGTTTTTGAGTGTGGTGATCATGTTGTTCCCCAAATATAGCTCCTTTAAGCAGCTAGGAAATGCAACCTTGTTGAGTGTCTTGATATTGTTATTTGTCAAGAAAAGACTTTCGATTGAGTTGGGAAGTTTCAATGGGTTTATGCTGTTGACACCATTCCCAGACATATTAAGCTCTCTTACCAATGGAGGTATTTTCAATCCTCTTGTGTTCGTCATTGACTGTTGAAGATTGAGCGATACAGCCAGATCCGGAAACTTAATGCCTGTCATTGACTCATTTGGTATGCAAGAAAGGTCAAGGTGTTCGATGCTTTCTGGAAAACGAACGCCCTTGATGCATTCGATTGGATTGTTGGAGACTGACAAGTAACGAAGATATTTTGGGAAATTGATGTTCTTCAACAGGTCAATGCGATTGTTCGAGAGATCCAACGACTGGAGGCGGACTGGAAACTCGGCATAATTCAAAAAATAGATTCTGTTATCCGAAAGAAGGAGATGCTCGGTGGTAGGTGGTAATGAAATGTAGTCAATAGTGGAGAGAAGACTTTTCGATGCATCAAGCACCTTGAGACTAGATGGAATTTTGAATCCTGCAAGTGTTTCTAAGGAGTTCCCGCCTCCAACATGCATAACTTCGAGGCTGTCTGGGAACCTAACACCAGGAAAGAAACGCAAACAATTCAACCCGTAGTCAAAAATCTTGAGATTGGTCCACTTATTGATATCACCCAGAATCTCTTGCCCAAGCTCCGCCAACTGCTCCTTTTCTGTTACGAATACTGTGTCTGGGTCGTACTTGTGAATAAGAGAGCAATGGGTGACCTTCGCAGCCGCCGCTTGGCTCAAGTCTTCAATAAACTTAACATATTGTTCTTTTTCCTCAGCAGATATGGAAGCCCATTTCTTTGTACTATCGAAGTCTATGTGATAGGTAACCTCCTGGGCGTCCTTAATAAAGTCTTTCTTGAAAAGCTCACCTAAACTTTTTAAGTTTGTCAAAAAGTCTTGATCGTACTCAATGCAAATGGTAACATAGTCAAAGTTTTCCGAGGGGATCTCCTCATTAAGCGATTGTTCTGTGATCTTCTCCTCACCTCGTAGCTTTAGATCACTCTTAAATTGTGAGATATGATGACTACCATTGAAGCCGGCATTAACTATGATTCTTGTGCTCTTTGGTGTCGTACTAGTCAAATCCGTCTTCTCGAGGATTTTCACCTCATCAGCAGACTGCCTTTGAAGCTGTTCACTATCCACTTCCATGGCTTGTGGTTTAGATGTAGCATCTTCCGGGCTCAAAATGGCCTGTTGAAAGAGTTCTGGTGTTCTTTCGAGCTCCAGCTTGTACGATGGTGCTATTTGCTCTGGAAGCCCATTTTGTGTCCCGTTCTGGTTCTCGATGGAGGCATTCGATGGTATAGGTGAGCTTTTCGGCTCCACCTTGGCTGACGTCGGAGAAAGCTCAGACAGGGGAATTTCCATTATGAGGAGTCAGTAGTTGAAGTGGGATCAGTGAAAATGCCCAGCAAGAATTGATTCCCAAAGTTTGATTTGGTCTGTAGCGATAGAGGGAAGAGATGGTGCATCCAATGCAGGAATGTCATCGGTTGGGTGTACTGTGTAATAGAGTCCACAGAAGACGACTTCGGCGTTTGAGATGCGGCTGGAAGGTGTGGCCAAACCACAGGACATTTATAAATGAGAGAAGTTTCTCAGACTAGAGAAGCATAGAAAACTTTCCTACAGATTCGAGCGTATATGACGCGAGAATGAAAAGAAGACGTGGTCAAGTCGACTTGGAAGACAAAATCTTCGTTGAGAGTGACAAGGAGTCTGGATCAGAAGAGGGTGACAACAAGGTCCTCTGTCTTGAAGATGACGACGAAGTCAGGGACGAACCCCAAGAAATAAATGTAAAACAAGTGGTGATAGAAATCAAAATGGTTATGAGTTATATTGGGTCTTCACCAGGGCCCTTCGATTACAAAAAGACAGTTTACAACTTCAAAGAGTGGTATCGTCATTGGCAATTGTTTATTGAGCATCAGAGCCTAAATATCAGTCCCGCAATTGGTCATTACCACAAAAGGCTAGTTGGTCATGATTTCTACAAAAATTCGGTCAAAGAGATGTATTGGAAATCGAATAAAAATGAGTTAACGAGACTTTGCAAGGTGATTGACAAGTATTTGAGGACTCAATTTTACAGAATGGTGGATATGAAGGATTACTTGTTAAATGGTCACATTGGAACTCTGAGCAGTTACGTGACATTAATAAAGCGTTGTGAGTCGATTGAGCAGATGTTCCCAAATGAGATCAAAGCGGCTGAAGCAATCTCCTACAGAAGGAACTTAGTGAATGGAACAAATCAAAACGCTGCGATAGAACACCATAGAATTTATGGTGATGACTGGGTCGTCATGATTATGGCCAGAAGCGTGGATGTGACCATGTTTGACAGAGAAACAATCGCAAGGACTTTTGCTGAGATTGAGGAAAAGGGATGGAGAAGGCGGTATGAAGTTGCCAAGATTCATGGGATGAGAGTATCGGGAGCTCAAAGCACAATTGAAGATCAATTAAGGAAATTCGTCATGGCTAAACTCAGAACTCCTGATTGGCATGGCAGATCTAATCCTCAAAATAAGAGATTCAAAACGCGGGGTAATTCTAGTTATCCGAATGCCAGAAACTAACCCACAACTTTCATAGCCTGATACACGTTGTTAAAAGTGTAATTTTATTATGTTCTATATCCTGACCCAGATTCCTTAAATGAATAGATGATAGATCAACTTACCTCAAACGAGAGTAAAGTCAAAGATATGCTTCAATGGTTCGCTGAAAGGCACAATGATGTGCATATGACCTTGATCGTGGTCTAAAGGACCAGCCAATTTAATCCGTGCTAATAGATATGCCCTCATAACAAGAAGAGTTATAGAGCAAGCGGTGAAACCACAGCCAGCGAAAATGGCACATGGAACGTATGCAGTTGGATCATTGATTTGTCTCTTGAGCGCAAGGCCTATAACTGGCGACGCGATACCGGAGAGACCCAAAAATATCCATGCCATGGAAAATGCAGTGGCAGCCTTTCTTAAACCAAAAAGCTTTCCAAGCATTGGTGGCATTGTGGCAAAAATTGTGCCCATGAGGCCTCCCATTATGATACAAAACGCATATATGGTAGGCAAGTTACGGGCGGGAATCCACATTGAAAATGTGAAGATGGCGCAGAGAATGTACGCTAAAAGTGATGCAGTGACTGGTCCGATTTTTTGTGCAACTAGGCCGACCAATGGACGGCCGAAGAAAGAACCCACTTGGACCATTGCAGCGGCGATGGAGCCCTGGTATGCACTGTAGCCCAAAGTCGTGGTCACAGCAGCCATGTTGTACAAGACAATAACGTAGCCAAGCATACATGTGATACAATAGCTCACCAAGATCCAAAAGCCCACTGACTTCAAACACTGGGTGTCGTACAAGCTGACTTCGATGCTATTCTTCATTCTTGAACGAATGAGAAAAATTGCGATCCAAAGAAGACCAAAGATAATGATACTCTGAGCACGCAAGGCCCAGAAGACATCTCTTGTTTCCAACACTTTCTGCATACCCAAGTTATACATTGTACCACCCACACCAGAGCCACCAGCAGCGATGGCACTAGCGATGTCACGCTTCTTTTTGAACCACTGTGGAAGTATTCCAAACCCTGGAAGCGCCACCATTGCTAATCCAACGGCGTTTAGCAAACCTTGCGTCAAGTACAATTGCCAGAGACTAACAGCGAAGGATGCCATCATGAGAGATGCAAACTGAAGACACGCTCCAATAATGATAGTAGGTTTCGTTCCAATCATGCCGTGAAGCTTGTTGATCAAGGGGGAAAAAATAAGCCCCAACCCAAAAGCAAAACCTCCAACCAAGGCATAATCATACTTATCTCCACCTGAGAAGGTGTTATGCTCTAGATAATGGGCAAGGTAGATAGAGAAGCCAGAGTTGGCTCCCCATGTGTTAGCGTTGATGAGGAAGATAGCTAGCACCACAAGCCAGCCATAACCTCCATCAGGAATATCAAACTCATCTGAGTCACTCGAATCAGGGCTTTTCTCAAGATCTGAAGGAAAGGTCTCGTTGGGGCTTTCGCAATGCTCTGGAAGTGGCTCTTCAGCGTTACGGCTTGACATTGTTCTATGATTAAGGAGAAGCCATAAGACTTTGAGGAGAAACTGGTCTATAAAAGTGTGGTGGAGAAAATGTCAACGGCTCGGATTTTGCACGGACTGCAGTATGGCTCTGTCCTGTCAAAACCTGCGCAGGCCAAGTTGACTAATCGGCGCGCCGTTTGCGGCCACCACTGTGGATCAGATTGATCACAATGCCTGTTTATTTCATAGTTTCCTTTTTCTGGGATTGAATTGTAGAGGGGTCAAGGGTGAATAGCTTAAAAATGAAACCTCTCATGTTACCAAAGTTCTGAGTATTGCTCGATCGGAGTGTAATTTCGTATTCCGCTTTAGCCTCATCTCGGTCCGAGGGGCTGCAGCACTGCTTTAGGCGATACAACCGCATGCAAGTCAAACCTACCACGAGACGTGATCATTGCTTTGCATTGTCAGGTATATGAAAATGTCTTTCGGACCCGAGTTCGGGAAATGGCAAATCCACAGCAGTGAGAAAAAATTAATGTGGAGTGATACAAAGACAGACGCTTGCTCGGCTACAAGTCGCACAAAAAAAAAATCCAAGGGGCAAGCTGGGAATCGAACCCAGGACCGCCCGCACCCTAAGCGAGAATCATACCACTAGACCACGTGCCCTTGAATACACTTCTTACGCACAACAGCACAAAATACGCGCTAGTAATTTCAGAGATGTCTGGGTCTTTGTGCCTGCATATAATAAATGGTTGCAAATTTAGGACATGGTTGATATCAAGTTGTGAACAAATGCGTGAATAGAGGAGCTCAACTAGGCTTATGCTTACTCTTTGTTGAAAGCTTCCTTCCTGTCCAAGTTGTGAGTACACTTTCAGTGAATTTAATTAATGCACGGAGTAGTTGTAGCTTTTGAACTACAAACATGGTTAAGTTCTTTGTGATTTATAGATTTTATTGAGGCTAATAAAGTCAGTGTATTTTTAAGTGAGCTTTCTTTACCAATTTATTTGCTCTTTTGGATATCGTAAACCATAAGTCCAAGTATTGAATCAATCACGCCGGTAGCTGCTAAGCTTGTCACTTCACTGTTGGTATCATAGGGTGGACTCACCTCAACGACATCAGCTCCGACAATATTGATACCATCAAGCGAGTCTAAAATTGTGAGTAGCTCTCTCGTTGTCCATCCCCCAACTTCCATAGTTCCTGTGCCTGGCGCATGGGATGGATCCAAAACGTCAATGTCAACGGATATATAAACGGGAAGGTCCCCAACAACCTCCTTTACCTTATCAACAATTGCCTGTTTTCCCAAGCTGTCAATATCTCTGGCCGTGAAAAAGTCAAATCCACACCGTTTATCATGAGCCTTATCATATTTGCTGTCAATGTAAGGTGCTCGAATCCCGAGGTGGAAGCAGTGATCCTTAGCCAAGTAGCCTTGTTCTGCAGCATAGTGTAGGAAGGTCCCGTGATTGAGGGACATATAATCTGTGACACCACCACCGAGCTTCTCAGGATTCCAAGTATCGATATGGCTATCAAAATGCAACACCGCGAGCTTGCCATATTTTTCGTAAGCCGATCTCAATGCCATAAGCGTTATTGTATGGTCGCCGCCCATTGTGATAATTCTGGGCTTTCCACCACTTACGTGTTTGTGTATAGCTCTCTGGCCTCTGTATAGTTGGTTAAGAGCAATACGATTGTCAAAGGGTGTCATCGGAACATCTCCACAATCTACCACATGCAATGCAGTTCTGTACGGATCAATGTCGACCAAAGGTGAGTTTCTGGAGTTTCCTCTTGCCGGATTGACGCCTCCATGAGCTAGTCTCCTGGCGCCCAGCCTGATAGCATCAGGTCCAAATCTAGCACCAGGCCTGTAAGATACGCCCGTATCGAATGGCGCACCGACTATGGCGATGTCAATGGGTTTCTCATAAAGTTCCGGGTCGAAGCAATTGAATGTAGGATAGCCGGCGAATGTGACTATCCCGCCAAACATGTTGTATTCAGCGAGGTCCAGTGTATCGTCATCATCTGGGTAGTCGATCTGCTGACGCAGCCGTAAGTATCCAATGTGGGCAGCTTTCCTCTGCAGAACCTTGCTGATGTATCCTGGATCTTGAAATTGAGAGTAGCGTTCGGGCTCCGTATCCTCAAAGGTGGGACTCAACAATTGGGACTTATATTCTCTTGAGCTTGGGGTATCCACCAAATCGCCATAGATCTCATCCATGTACGACTTTCGGGTCCGAAGGTCTATTGGCTTTTGAATAGCCGAACCAAAAGCTTGTCCAGCGAGTACGAATAAAGGAAGTAGTTGGAGCATGGGGTTTATGGGAGGACTCTGTGGGGTTTAAGATACGATAAGTGCTGAAAATTCCGTTGTGCGCTAACGGAATTGAAGCGAAGTAGTGCCATTGTAGCCGCTAACGGAAATTGATTGACTCATACGAAAAATGACGCATACAGTGATGTAAAAGACTTCACAGCAAGGAATTTTTATCTTGATTGTTCTTTGCAGCATCGTACGAGATATGCGACGATTCATTTGCATCCGGTACAGCCGCACCCAGGAGACAAGTTAATAATGCAGTTCCCATATATTACAATCTGATTCAGTCTTGTACGGGTCGAAGCCCTTTTTGACCTGGTTGTATGATAGACCGTCGAGTAATTTAAGAGGAGATGCGAGAATCTATAGTATGTCCGCTGTGTTAAATGAGCCCGACTGGCAATCTCAAGACGCAAGGTTGTTTTCCTGTCATTACGTCAGATTAAGTGATACTAGAGCAAGAAAGAACGATTTGCTGAGTTTTTAAGAACATTGCGAAGGCCATAGAAAATACTTGCTTTTGGATAATGCTTCCAGACGTATGCTTGGTGGATGAAGCTTAAAATAAAGCAAGCCTGCGGGTATGCGAAAACGTTCCAGAAGACAGTCATGCTCAAGATAAGCGCAAGAAACAGCTAAACACAAAATTTGTTTGAATCTTCAATTCAAAAGTGTTATAAATCATGAGTACGAAGAAAAGATGACATTCGATTTTTTGCGTTGGTTGATTTTGTGATTTTTTATCGCCCCTTCCTTCTCTAGTAGACTGTTCGGCTCGACCCCGTGTTGCGAAAATCACAGACACTTGCCCAATTTTGACAAAAACCAAAACACTAATTGACGATTTGCCTACGAACCACAACTTTTAAGCGCAAGAGAATAATAGAACTGGATTATTTTCGTTAAGGACAATGTCCAATCACCATCGGTGCTCTTCCTCGGTTAGTGAATCTTCAAACCTTCTGGCTCCTGCCTGTTGGTCCTGCCCCATGTGCAATTGCTACGTCATTAGCCACCACTCAGCCTCACCATCGATAGCTACGGCGGTGCCGAAAAAACAACAAACATTGCCCGAACTGTTAAACTACCAATCTCAGATTAGTATAAGGGACTAAATTACAGAAGCAATTATTCAACTTCGGCGCACTCCTTCATTTGATCGTCACTTCTTCGTTGCATGGCTGCGAATGCGAAGCATCGGCTTGGCCCTGGAGCAGTAAGCACTGGTGCTAAGAGGTAGCATCAAATTTCTAAATTAAATTCAATCTTCCGTATCTTGAGAGACCAAAGCTCATCTTTTTGACCATCCCCAAACCCCCCTCTCCGTTGTTTACCCGTATTCTTCTGTCAGGAATGCTTGACGCACGCTGCGCTTCGAAAGGCTGTGTGCCGGGCGCATGATGGGACAGCAATGGACTCAGAATTCTTGAAAAACACAGACTACTCTCTTCTTCAATTCAATTGATATGTCCTACAATCCTCCCCCAGGACCGCCTCCCCAGCAGGATGGTGGCCCCTTTAACGACCAAGGCGGTTACAATCAGCAGTACAACCAAAACCAGCAGTATCAGCACTACGGCGGTTATAATCAGACCCAAAATCAGGGATACAATCAACAAAATCAAGGATACAACCAAGGCTACGACCAAGAGGCGCAGAGCAATGGACCATTTTCTGAAAAGCCAAACCAATCGGAGAACTTTGATGAAGCTTTCAAGGTCGCCAAGCCCAAGCTTAACGACTGGCCTTTCACACTTTTCTTCATCGCTACAGTTGCAGGCTTTATTGTCGTTGCAGTTATCGTTCTTAGAGCATTGAAGCAGACCTGGGATTTCCAGGGTGGTTCCATCTACGACAATGCCAATACTTTCACGGTCAACAGTAACACCATCATCATGTTCGCTTTCTCCATTGTTATCGCAGTGGTTCTTTCAATCTTGATGCTTGTGTTGGCTCGTTACCAGGCCAAGTGGTTCATCATTCTCGGTCTTATCATGAACGTTGTGCTAGGTATTGGTACTGCCATCTTCTACTTCGTGGAGCGTTACTGGTCAGCCGGTATTGTCTTTTTGCTTTTCTCTCTTCTTTCTGCTTGGTGCTACTGGAGTGCTCGTCATAGAATCCCATTCTCAGCTTGTGTTTTGGAGATTTCCATTGATGTCATGAGAAGATACAAGTCATCTTTGGCAGTCGCTTTCTTCGGTACCCTCATCAGCGGTGCATTCAGTGCTTTGTTTTCCGTGGTGATTGTTGCAACCTACGTTAAGTTTAACCCCACTGAAGACAACCCTGGTTGTGATGTGAGCGGTGGTGGTTGTTCTCAAGGTAAGGTCATCGGTGTTTTGGTCTTCGTCTTCTTCGCAGGTTATTACATCTCCGAGGTGATCAAGAATGTTATCCACGTTACAATTGTCGGTATTTACGGTACCTGGTACTACTTGGCTGGCTCTGATCAGGGTGAGCCCAAGTGGCCTGCTCTTGGTGCCTTGAAGAGAGCTTTGACATACTGTTTTGGTTCCATTTGTTTCGGTTCGCTTACAGTGGCTATCCTTCAGATGCTTAGAGCCATCATTGAGATTCTTAAGAGCAATGCTTTTGCCAGTGGTGACAACTGCGCAGGCTGTGGCTTCCTTATCTTGAACTTCTTCGTTGGTTTCATCGAGTGGGCCTTCCGGTACTTCAACCACTACGCTTATGTCTACGTCGGCTTGTACGGCAAGTCATTCTTGAAGTCTGCTCGCGAGACTGTTGACTTGCTCAGAAACAAGGGTATGACTGCTTTGATCAACGACTGTTTCATCAACACCTCGTTGAACTTCTGGGCCATGTTCACTGCTTATGTTGCAGCCTTGTTCACTTACCTTTACTTGAGACTCACTGCTCCAGCATACAACAGCGAGGGTGCTTACTACGCCCCAATGGTTGCTTTTACTTTCTTGATCAGTGGTCAAATCACCCGTGTTTCTCTCGTGGTGCTCGAATCCGGTGTCTCTACTTTCTTCGTCGCTTTGGCTAAGGACCCCGAGGTTTTCCAGATGACCAACAGAGACCGCTTCGACGAAATCTTCCGCACCTACCCACAGGTTTTGGAAAAGCTTACAGCAAACCATTAATTATCTTTTGTTTAGAACTTACTGACTATAATGGCCTATGGCCGATTCCGAACTAGCCATGTACTATGCGCGCACTATCAAACGTAACAAATACTATCAGTACTCCAGCAATGTTCACATTGGCGATAGGAGATATCTTTGTGCCAGACAGGCTGCCGGGCATTCCTCAAAAATTCCTTAAACTTCTAGCGCCCAATGCTGGAAAATATCCATCCAATCCTAGAATTTCGCAGGTGGTTTGCTTAGGCAATATCACCCAGTCCAAAGAGACCCTTGAGTTCCTATACAACATATCCCCTTCCTTACATATAGTGCAAGGAGAATTTGATGACTCCAATATTGTGAGCCAGCAATTGGAACATATCCTGGGCAACTATGCATCATTACCTCAGTACAAGGTGGTAACGGTGGACAACTTTCGCATAGGGTTCACTAATGGACACCAAGTAATGCCGAGAAACGATCCATTGTCACTATTAGCATTTGCAAGGGAGATTAATGTTGACATTTTGATTTGGGGTGGAACTCATAGAGTCGAAGCATACACTTTGGATGGCAAATATTTCATAAATCCAGGAAGCGCCAGCGGGGCGTTCCATTTTGGCTGGCCCGAAATTGATGAAGAAGAGGAAGAGCAGAAGGATGAAAGCAAGCAAGAAGATAATTCCGCTGATACAAAGGAAACGGAGGAAGATAAGCATGACAAGGATGAACTGAAAGAGGGCGAGTCCGAGGAGAAGAAAGACGATGAGAAACCTGATACTGAAGAGGAAGATGATCAGGATGAAAACCTCAATGAGCCTATCCCTTCCTTTTGTCTCTTGGAAACCCAAGGCCCCAAGTGCACCCTCTACATCTACACTTACATCAACGACGAGGTGAAAGTGGACAAGGTCATCTACCAAAAAGACTAGATGTCACGTAAATAATACATTGAAGCGCATGAATGAACCGTCCTATCAAAGCACAGTCTAAGCTTGCACGGAGGAGTAATGTAGAACGAACTCCTTTCTGATCTTTTCCCAATTGTGTGGGTCAAAAAATATGTAAACACCCCTCTCCACGTCTGGACTAATAAGCACTGGCTCCACGTTCGAGTCCTTGGTAAGCCAAACTTGGATATCTCTATGGTAACGCCAATTCCGGGCGACTAGCTCTCGGGCAGCGTATTCTTGTAAAGTGTCACGAGGCTTCGTGTAAAAAATGTAAAAAAGTGTCTCGTCGGCGAATGACAGAATCTTTGTGTCACAGGGTTCTGGTGGTGGCACTATCGTTGACAGCTGGATTGATTCAGGTAACAGGAAGTATGGTTCAACTTCCGTCCTGCTGGTTTCTTGCCAGGGAGATGCCATGTTTTTCAAAATGCTAGATTCATCATTCAAATCGAAGCCTAGAAGCTGGATGTCTTGGCCATATGCAAACAGGTTCTGCTCCGTCTGGTCCATTCTTAAAAGCAGAACAATGCCTTTGAGGCCGAAGCTGTCGATATCGGCTGCTCCGTTTGATTGGTTTCCATTATTAACGGAACTCTGATTGCTACTGGACGGCTGAAGTCCTGGAGGGAGTCCGGCTGCAGGGTTAGTGGCGGCTGGCATGGTAGAATGCTGTGTTTTGAACGTACCCATTTTCTGCTTGATGGTGTAGGGTAGTGAGAGAAGTTGTTCAGTCTTGATACTTGCACGTGACCTCACCCGAAAGGCTTCTACTATGGAAAGATCCGACAATGAACTCCGCTTCTGGTGAAATATGAGATGAGGTGGCTAAATAGTTACCTTTTAGGTTAAAAATTTGTCTATTTGGCGCAGATTTCACTCGAGGTGTTTGTGTTCCGACCTGCAACGCGGAGTTGAAGACAAGGTTCGAGGCAAAATGGGAGAATTAAAGGGAATTAGTCGAGGATTAAATAAACCGAGCTTTCATTTATAGTATTGATAGTTCAGTTTGGCTATAGTGTTCTAGTGTATGTTCTCAGCGCACAGCGTTGAGTGAGCACCTAAAGAAGCTTCACTGGCTGTTCTTCTCGGTGATAAGAGCCTTGGCTGGAAAAATGGAGTTGAAGAAACAAGCAAAAAGCAACTTTCCTCTAGGACTTGAGTTGATGAAGTGTATCCCTAATATGACTCCTCTCAATTGTTGTTATCCGGTGGGAGTACTTGAAGAGAAGGAAACAAAAGATGCTCTAATTCACAATCAAGGTGTTAATGCCGATACCGGATGTTTTAACTTCAATATTATTTCGCCACATCTCACAGCGTCACTGTTCTTTACATGCAAGCTCGAAAGCTTTGGATCACCAGCCTGTCTCCAGCTCGGTTGTCAGGTGGTGTTACTCATCCCACCCCAACCAGCTATTATCGCTTCCCAGTATACTAGAGGGTGCCTTAATCCACAAAAGTGAAAATTTTTGCAAACACCACCCCTTTTTTTTTTTTCAAATATTTAAGAACAACAGCTCTATATCTCGCCAAGGATTCTTGATGCCATCTAAGACTAACCGAAAGCGGCTAGGGCGACACTGGCGCGGCTGAAGGCGTGCAGTGCCAGGCAAATACGAGATGGCTGCGAACAAGGATTGATGGATATGACACAACTTGAGGGTAAAAAAATTTCAAAACCAAGCGTATGAGTCACAAATTCTAAACCGCTTCTTGAAAACGCCCAAAACGCTTTCAAAGCTGCGATTTCGCCACCTTGGGACCATCTGATCAAGGGGGCTCCTGCACCAGGCCGGAGCTATAAAGGCAGGCCGTCCCCAGGGATCATTTTTTCTCAACAAAAATGTATTACTACTACGGCTACTCAGGTCTCAGCACCGGAGCTTACATTGGCATTGCTGCTGCTAGTCTCGCTACCGCGATTGTGATTGGCTCTATGGTGGTCTACTACCGTCGTCGTCAGGCGAGGTTGGCCAGAGAGGCATTGGAGGCCCAGCAGAACCAGCCAATGCAGAACCCCGATTTTTTCCCGCCAGGATTCAAACCTAACATGACTCAGGTCAACAACGAAACGATGAACTATACCAACAATAACGGGGTGTTCACATACGTGCCACCGGAACAGCCCAGTGCACCTCCTCCAACGTATGACGCTTCCCGAAACGATGCGAGGGTTAATCAGGTGCACCAGGCGGTGTAGGCATTGTGCGAGGTAAACAATGCGGTGAAAAGGTGATGGGCCAGCGCGAGACTAGTGCGAGACTAGTGCGAGCGGTGCGTAGGCCTGGTGTGAGAGAAAGTGCGTGGGTCCAATGCGATGGTACGGCAGTGGGCCTAGTGCGACTCAGATTGGACCGCACTATTTGGACCGTTACGCCAGACGCACCTTGCGGTACGGTGATACGTGGGAGCAGAAACCACATCAAATCAACCATAAAGCCGGCGTTAAGCTGCCTAAACTGGTCTCCGGCGACAAGCGGCTTGTAATAAGCGAGATACTCCCACGTTGGTCCGGCGCGCCCGGCGTCTCAGATTAATTTGCCGTGGTGGCATAAGACACGACAATCATGAACCTGTAGACGAAGCCGACTGGCTGAGGCAAATAATACCTGCGTCGAAGACCCAGACCGTAGAGGCACAGTCTGGAGGTGTGGCTGGAGGCCCATAATGAGGTTTTCGCCCCAGCCGGGCCATTATATACCTTTAGGGGCCAAGGACAAAAGCTCGGATTGCCGAGCGATTGGTCTGACGAGACGGAAAGATTTGCGAGCTTCGCTACAATAGCTTAGAGCCCATTGTTGGCGCGACCAGCCCGGGCATAATTTCCACTTTTCACTCGCACAGGAAAACCAGGCTCGGCTGGGACCACCCACTGCTAGTGCCATACCAGCTCTTTTTGGCGCCGGGCAGGAAAAGAGACTGTGCAGCCGGGATTTATCCGGTGACCAGGCGCCAGATCGAAACCAAGGATTCACTACTCCTGACTCCACATCTGGACTTGGCCAAATTGCTCGCATTGTAATTAGTTGTCTTGTGTGGTGCGCTGTGTCCGGGTGTCTCGAATCTCCCTAATTACTAGCAGCGTCGCCGCGCGAAGCACAAAGCTTCTCTGGCGCAAACCGCGTAATCGCAGCCATTATCAGCCACGTCAACGCCACAAAAAAGCTGGAGATTCACAAGATGGGGAAAAGCTTCGATGACAAAAATTCACGTTGTGACCTATTTCGGGGCTCAGTAGCCCCTCCGTGGGGAGGCTGTCAGCTTCAGGGACCTGGCCGCACGATGTGGCTGCGTTCGCGCCTGTCAAGACTAGGCCGCATCTGCTGGGGCTCGCACGGCGCCTTGATAGGGGCCTTTATTGACTCATGGCAGCGGAAAGTAGCGAGGCGGCGTTGTTCTTTAATTCTCCAAACAACGCCAATTGTATAAAATGAACAGAAATAGTTTAATTGAATTGCTTTCATGACCTGCGGGGCTCGGGGTGCCTGGCGTTGCAAGGTGCTCGAGCCTGTGAGCCGTGGTCCTGGCCCGGTGCGTTGTCTTTGTGGCATGGCGCCTGTGCCTGGGCCGGAATGAGCCTGAAAAATTCACCCGGCAGGCTGCCGAACAGCACAGAAGCATTGAGCTAGAACATCAAGCACGCCGTGCCACCACTGTGTTCTTCAAGTAAATCTGAGTTGCAACTTTTGCCCCAGCGAAGCCGCTTCTAAAATCACTAATTTATCGCCGGCAGCGATCGTCGGTGCAAAACGCTCTCTTGCGCTCGCTCCCTAGACCACTTTCTCCGCGCAGACAAAGCTCGCGGTGGAGGTGCGTCCAGCCTCTTAAGTCCCGTGGCGCGTGTGCAGTTGGCCCCATTCTCAAAAGTATATAGGGCCTAGGATTCCCGCCCCAGACGGTGGATCTGCTGCATCCTCGTCCTACGTTCTTCTCGCCGCACCCTTCACCTGTTGCTATGAACATCAACCTCGAGGAGGCGCTCGACGAGTTTGACCTGCGTTACCTCGAGAGCTACCACCAGGTCACAGCGAAGATGGCTCTGCTGGGCCTTGGACCTGCTCCCGAACTGCCGCTGAGACTTCTGCTGCCGCTTTTGCCCTCGCAAAACGACAACTACATGTTTCACGCTGGCTCCATCCTGGCGACGCCGGCCAAACCACATCCATTGGCTCAAAGCGCCCTGGGTCCAATGGCCAAATCTGGTCAATTGGCCAATAGCACACACAATTCCTCAGCCGCAGGGCACGAGATCGAGGAATTGAACATCGCCTTTGACGAGGAACCCAGTAGTTTACAAAAAGACCATAATGAACAGGCCGACCCGAGGCCTGAGTTGGCGCACCGCGCTCTGGCGCCAGAGTGCCAGTGGCTCGCGGTGGAGATGGCCGGGCGGCTGTTTGTCGTGGTGGACACTCCGCGGACGCTCCAGCGGCTGCTTCTGGCGCTGTCTCTAGTGCACAAGGCGCTGCGCCGGCCTCAGAACCGCAGGACGCCTACGAACGTGGGGAATCCTTTTTACAAAAGCAAGTCCCCCCGCCGCCGCCGTGGTCTTTTTGACGACGCCTTTGAGCGCTACAAAATGGAGTGCTAACTTTAATTTTTTTTCCTATTTCGCTGCCTAATTTTTTTTTTTCAGTCGCGGCTCCACCGTCAACCAGGCGGAGAGACATTATTTGCAGCCACCGCGCACATTCCACACACCCTACCCAGATAAGGCAGCATTGGACACCACAATTCACCGTGTTGCCAAGAGCGTTTTACAATAGAAGTCGTTGCTACCACCTCAATTACCCCTATACTTCATTTCGAGGTTCTTGACTATACCCACGACACATCCACATCATACTCATTTAACCGTTTTTTATATTCACTTCCACGACTTCTCAGCATTTGATGGTGCGTTTGCACCCAGCAGGCTGGGCATGATAGAGGCCTTCGCGGGCGAGGCCACTGATAAGCCAATGCACAAAGCACATACCCCAAAACTCCGTAGCTTGCTAATTCCACGCAAATCTTTTATTATCTTTTTTTCCATTATGTATGTATACTATTTGACGGTCTGCTCCATTCTACTACTTCAATGGGTCTGGCCGCAAGGAATGTCTCGCTTCAGGGGCATCCGCCCCGCGACGTTGGAGAAACCGATAAGCGCTCGCTGTGGCTTATGCCCGCCGATGCAAACCACATACCGTCACTCTTGTAACATCTGTGGCAAAGTTTCAGCAGCGTCGCCTTGAAATCCCCAGGTGTCTTCCACCTGCCCGGCCAATACCTCTTCTTCGATGTCTGTGTTGAAAATGGCCACTTTCCCGCCGAGCTGACGTACCCGCTCCACGTACCCATTGGCTGGATACACCGTGCCGCTCGTGCCGATTACCAAGATTAAGTCCACAGGCCCAGACTCTAGAAAATTGTCAATGCCATCAAGCGCTCGCAACGGGAGCGACTCGCCAAACCACACAACCCCAGGACGCATGAGAGTCCCGCAAACGGGACACAGCGGAAGCTCCTCTGTCAGAAGCTCTTTGGTGGGTGCAAATTGCGGCAGTTCTCCTGTGTCGACATGAGCCTTAAGATTGGCTTTTTCTTCCTCCTCCTGGTTGAGCGCCTCAGTGAGCGGGTCCTCGTAGTTCCGTTCTCGATGCGTGCAAGTGAAACTGGTGCACCGTAGCTCGAAAAGGGAGCCGTGGATCTCGTAGAGGTGCCGTTGGCGGTGGCCTGCGCGCGCCAGAAGCCCATCTACGTTTTGAGTGATGGTAAGGAAGTCTCGTGAGGTATCATGGGAAAGTGCTGCTAGCGCCCGGTGGCCAGCATTGGGCTGGGCTTGTAGTGCAACATGTCGTCTCCATGCGTAAAACTGCCACACGAGACCCGGGTCGATGTAGAAAGCGTCTGGCGTGGCCAAGTCAATCATATTAAAGTTTTTCCAAAGCCCTTGAGAGCCTCGGAACACAGGAAGCCCCGACGACGCAGAAAGACCAGCGCCTACAAGCGCAACGATGCGTTTCAGCTTTCGTAGGCACTCCTGGAACTCACTGGCTTGTTTAAGCATGGAGTGTTGAACTTCATCGCTTCGCGCTCGCTATCACTCTCACGCAATACACACACCCTAGCTTTGCTCGAGTTTGCGTTTGATTTGCCAGGCCAAATACTCTGCACTGTTTCCAACGTCACTAACGGTTTTGGAGGTTACAAGCGTGGGTGGCGCTCTGAACCAAACCTTTTGTCCGTTCAAGTTGACAATTGCTCGACTCACCTCAGTCAAGTCTGCAGCTTCTTCTCCCTCCTCGGCTGGCTTCTCCACGTAAGAAACAACACCACCAGGAAGAACTGCGGAGTAGGTTGACGTAGATGTGTGGTAGCCCAGGGCAGCAGGAGAGTTCACGTTGCCAACTGGCGGCGTTGCCCGCGAGCTAATAGCTGGCGAGTCAGCCTTGTACTTGGGCACATAAGGCTTGTAGGAGCTCATAGGCGGTTGTGGAGGCTGTGGTGTATAAGGCTGTCTGTAGCTGTCGAAGCCAGGTGTGGCATTGGACGAAGTCTGCTGGTAGCCGCTGGCGATCTCGTCATTTTGACCTGGGATATAGTTTACCGTCACAGAGCGTGTACCAGAAGAAGAGTAGATACCAGAGCCAGTGACGGATTTAAGTTGCGAGACAGGCGTGAAGATGAAGGCTTTACGGCCAGACATTGGGTCGTCAAATTCCGGAGCTGGGGCCACGTTTGGCGAGGTCGAGCACTGACCAAGCTCATCGTTGTAGAATGGTGGTCTCAAATACACCGAGCCCATAATTGGTGGACCATTTGGATTTGGACCTTGCTGAGGAGGAGCAGCAGGCATGTCGTCATAAGCATTGGACGAGAGCAAATGCTTGATGGGGGAGTCGTACTTGATGAGTTTTCTTGGCTCATTGATGGGCACGATAGGTTGATCTATGTGTCTAATCTCGTCTGGCAAACAAGCTTTCCACGTCCTGATCCTGTTGAACACGTAGTTGTTGGCGTTGTAACGGAACTCGCAAATGAACCATTCTGAGCCAGGAGGAAGCAAACTAGGGGGAATGTCACCCTTCTGGTAGTGCGTCAAGAAGATCACATAACATGGACCGACAATATCCTCGGCCAAGTGGTCTCTGTACTCACCTGTTTTACAGACCTCGTTCATGTAGAACAACCTGTCGACACGATGACATGTCTGTTCAGCACGAATGTACCAACACACATTGGTATATTCAATGCCATCTGTAGACCACAAACGGAAAATCTGACCACAGGTAGGCTTGTTGGCGTCGTTGGGGTTCTTAATAAGCACCCAGTCACCGACTTTATAGCTGTGATCATTAACTGTAACAGAATCAATAGGAACTTTGAGGCCATCAGATCCGGAGTTGGTGGCGATGATGAAGTCCTTCTCAGGTCTCAGCATCTCCTTGTCTATGATGTCAGAGGCTTGTTTCTCAAACATAAGCACGTCGTTCAACATAGCAGGGTCCAGCGCGTTGAACATTTTAGCGTTTCCAATCATGAGATTCAAGTCGTCCAAAAACTGTTGTACGTTGAGATACTTTCTAGAACGCACCTTGGTTCTGATTTCATGAAGCGAGATTGGGTTCATAATCATCTCGTAGTAGCCTGGAGTAGCCTTGCCGGGCAATCTTTCGAAATGAGCTGTGAGGATGAGGTTTTCGTCGTCAGGGTGACGAACTCTCTTGAAGTTTTTGAGGATAGATTTGATTCTCGACTCGTACGGCTTGTCAATGATGGGAGGACGACCACGTCTAACACCACCCTCAGCAGCCTTGGGTGGATGAGAAGAGGCCTTGTGGTGTGTCTGGTATGGTGAGGCATGATCATCGTCCTCGTATTCCTCATTTTTCAAGTAAGGCAGAGCACTGGCACCGTCGGCATCGAATGCAAGGTGATCGTAATCGTCCAAAGGACCTAAGTCGGGATAGTGCACTCCAGATTGAAGACTGACATTTTTGTCGTTGGCGAGACGGGGGATAACTGTGTCCTTGATGTAGTTGTCCAAGATCAAAGCATCCTCATAAATCGGAGAACCTGGTTCGTTGTAGTGACGAGCATTCCATGTTATCTGGACTAAATCACGCACAAACTCTTGAGCATCTCTGTAGGCCAAACGTTTCACTTGTCTAGCAATAATGTGGAGGGAAATGGGCCTGGTGATAACCTTGTAGTAGTCGGAGCCTGTTCTTGGAGGAAGCTTGTGGAAATCGTTGGCGATTGATATTCCGGCGTTGTTTTTCAACAGATATATGGATTCAATAAATCCATTGAGCCTAGTGGCTAATTTTTTCGTCTCACGGTCCGACATGGCGTATTGCAGACAAACCGTTGCAGCTGAAAGAATTGTTATGGATTTTGTTGATGGTGCGTATACACATTTGGGAGGTGCACGACGAACCGTACACTGGTGGAAAACTTCTGAAAAAGTTTTTGGCATTTAAAGATTTGAAATAAATTTTTTAGACTCTTGCTCAAAAGCGTTTATCATGATTGCTTCTTTCGTGTTAAGTCGTAGTTATCATCGATAGCCTGTTGAACCATGTCTTTCGCAGCCAGTTACAAGATTGCGTGTAGAACAGAGGTACTCAACGATTCGACATCATTTGGAACTACTTGAGCTGTGCGTTAATGGTACATCAATTTTTAATTACAGTAAAACTACGGGCCGAACCGTGAAGTGCTGGGTTAAACGCTGGGGTCACCATAAATGCCCCAATGTTGTTCAACGTTCCAGCTACCAGGGTCCTTCCAGTAGTCGTTATACATGGTGAACATGATCACCGAAGAGCCCATAACATTGCCCAAATCCTTCACAGCAGCGTACTGATTCTTCAAAGAAGGCACAGCATCACCGACCGTGTTACCGTAAGATGGCCAGCCACTCTCAGTAACGAGGATGTCCTTGCCATTGTTACAGTGGCTCTTCAAAGAGGCAACCTGACTCTTCAACCAGGTTCCAGATGTTGAAGCCTCAATTCCACTGAAGTATGGGTGACAGTTCACTGCGAGATAGTCAGAAATGTCACACATGGAGGCGTCGTTCATCACGGCAGCCAAGGTGTCGACAGTAACAATGTAACCGGAGTAAGAAGGAGCGTTCAGCTTAAACCACAGTCTGGCCTCTTTCACAGCATTGGCAACCTGGGTGGCTGTCTTTGTGCCGGCGTTCACAAGCTCGTTACCAATGGCAACGGTGTGAACAGCACTCCATCCACGAGAGCCGGAGTTGACTTGCTGAGCCAACAGGCTCAAGTCGTTGTCCAAGTTGTCAATCGACCACACACCCAAGTACATTTTCTGGGAGGAGCTGATAGCACTTGCAACATTCTGAATACCCGAACAGTCCACAGAGTAGAGTCTGATGAGGCCGTAACCTTTCAATTTGGAAATATCGGATGCAACCTCACTGGCAGTCTTACACTGACCGCTCTTGGTGTAGGGCGAGTAAGTAATACCACCGCCCTTCTCAGCATAGGCAGCAACCTGTGCAACCTGGGTGCTGGAGGCGATATCGGCGCTCAGCGAGTCGGGGTTAGTTGAGCCTGAACCATCACCAGTGCCGTCAACGGTCACAGGTTCGGTGAAGCCGGGGGTATCTCTGCCCGAACTGCTTGCGGCACCAAAGGGGTTGGAGCTCAGCGATGGGGTATAAGCGGAGGAAGCGCCTACAGAGCTCGAGGAGCCAGATGAGCCGGAGGAGCCAGATGAGTTTCCGAACAAACCGCCAAGCAAGTTCGAGAACCATCCGCCCAGGGAAGAGGAGGATGAACCCGAGTCTTGTGACGTCGAAGAAGCTGGAGTCGATGACGAAGATGAGCCAGCCTTATTGTTGAAGATATCAAGCAAGGAACTGAAAAATCCACCAGAGCCGCTACCAGTCGACAGTGTAGAAGTGGCAGCAGCAGTCGAAGAAGCAGCAGCTGGTGCAGCCTGTGTAGAAGTTGCAGCCAGACCACCAAATAGTTGAGCGAAAAAGCCTTGTGACGAGGTGGTGGCTGCAGCAGCAGTGTCAGCAGCTGGAGTAGCGGCAGCAGCTGGAGTCAGAGTGGTTGCAGCATTTCCACCGAAAAGCTGAGCAAAGAAACCCTCAGAAGTCGTAGTTGGGTCAGCAGCTGGAGCAGCAGCGGCAGCAGTAGAGGTTGCTGCACTTCCTCCGAGTAGCTCAGCCCAGCCGATATTGGCAGTGGTTGTCAAGGTAACGGCGTCGTCACGCTTCACTTCTTTAATTGGTGCAGCTGCTGCCATAGCAGCCACCACAAGAAGCTTTAAGTTCATAATTCAAGGATTGGGCACCCACAAAGGAGTAAAAAGGTATAAAGTCAACAGACAGAAATAATGAAAACGAAACACCAAAGAATGGCTTGAAGTTTGGAACGAAGTAAGAAAGATGAAAACCGAAAAGGAAGGGCGATGAAGATGAGAAAGATCTCCGGCGGAGGGGGCAAATGCTTTGGATATATAGTAGCTGCGGCAAGAGACGGATTTTTGCAACCGCCAGAAGCGGCATTATGTTAATCCCAGCAGCGAAAAGCTCGTCTTGAGCTAACAGATGTAATAGTAATGCCTCTTTAGGCAAAAGTCAGATTTCGCAGCCAAAGTCCATGTGCAGTACAACTGCCTATTTGGGAAAAGTGATATGCTTGAGCTCGATCACAAGTCAGGCATTGGCTTCCGTCGGTTCCACAAAGCCTATCTCCCGTATGCAAAGTGTAGGCTTTACCTGCTTTAGGCTAAATTTCATAGCGGTGCCCGCGCCTTGCACCCTGCCATTACGCCTTGTACGGGCTCGGGGAGCCTGCGCACTGCTTCGATAATTACCTGTTTAGGGCAGATCAGTGGTGGGTTCTGCGCATTTTGACACATTTTTCTGCGCAAAGCCAACTGGTACTCTGCCATTGAGATAGGCTTTGTAACGTCTCGACTATCTGTCATGACATTAACGTGTGGCTTAGACCGGGGACCGAAGGTGTTATCGGCTGTGCTCAATGGCAGTTCTTTGAATTTAGAACCCGCATCACCCCCTTCCGTTCGGTAGACATGTGTCATAGAAGGTATAAACTTCTTCCAAGAATTTGAGTTCTTGGCCTCCACATGATTACTTCATTTCAACTGTCGCAAATAGTCTTAGTGTTCCCCACCCCGCGGGATATTGCGGCTAGGCTCACCGAACAAGCCCCAACCGACTTCGAGACCCCATCCCTGTCCTCATCGGACATCTGGTGGATCAAACCCGTTTTTCTTGAACACCGTTTCTGGAACTGGGGAAACAAAGAATCGGGCAAAAGGATGGGGAAATGAAGAACTAGGGGATGGGGAATAATATTGTTCCAGAGTGCCTGCGCCTCCCCTCCCCCGTTGAGCTGTTCTGACCTCATGTATCTCGCTAGTTGCGCATGTACGGATCAAGTCTGTTGGGATGTACCCCACAAATCACTAAAAAGACTGTCTTTTCGGGCAAATCAGTGGAACCAGCGGACCAAGTAGAAGCAGATCACAAAGAAAATCAATACTCCTCCCCAAAATATCCACTTGTCTTGCTTGGCTCTTTTCTCGATAGTGCGAATGGTACCTTGAGAAACACCCAAGGTGATCAAGCTCTGCGAGAACTTTGACCCGAGTTTCTTCAACGTCTCGTTTTGCTCAACAAGATCCTCGAATGCGCTTTGGCCCATTTCCAAGATTTGGTCAAGTTGCTGACTACCCCTGGAGAGAGATTGCTTCTCCTTGTACAAACCTTCCAGGTATGACATCGACTGTTGCTGTTGCTGCTGATTGTAGCCATAGCTTCCTTGATTGTTCAATTCATAAGGGTTATCTGAACCCCCGACATGTCTTCTTCCCATGAGCTCCTGTTGGTTGTTCTCTTGAAGAAGAGTCTCTCTTTGCTGGCGTAAAGAGTCGAACTTTTGCTGGAATTGATCCAACTCACTGTTAAACTTGTCCAATCGTATGCGATGCTTTTCGTCACTTCCCTGAGTCTGCTGAATCATGTCGTTGTATTCCTTGATGGTTTTCTTGAATGCTGTGAGAGAGGTTATAATGGATCCCTGAAGGGACATTGGCGAGGTCAGGAGATTTTTTTCCAATGACGCTAAATCTCGCGTAAGATGATGTGTTTGTCTTACTCCATGATTGTAAAGAGCGTTCATTGTGGACTTTCAAAGACGTTGATGTGCTGGTGTTTAGTGTTGTTAAATACTAGTAATATTATTCGAGGGGAATCACGTGATCATTTTCAAAATACGTATTTTTAGGCCATTTCTTGCTACGGTGAATTTCACTGGCTATATTTCGAGAATTTCTATATGTCATTCTCGTGAATCTTGCCCCAGTATCTTCAAAGAGTGCAGGTGTGGAGCCCCAGGGCGGATAAGGGAACAGTGATTCCGCGTTGCGAAACCCCGATGGGCCATTGTCAATCGTTTAGCCGCTTACTTCGGTCATTTTATAGCTGCAAGCTTTCAAGTTGGGAGCTGGATTTCAATTTCACGTTGAGATCTGTGGTGCCATTGCCAAGCTCGAAGATGTGTTCCTAGAGGACGGAGTGGACGATTCGTCTAACCAAAGAAACGCACAAAGGCCAACATCAAAGCAGCGGTACCTGAACTGACACCGATCAACCATTGCATAACCTGGGTCTTGACAGACTTGATTTGCATCTGCATGTTGGCAATTTCCTCGTCGATTCTCGTGTAAGTATCTTCAATCTTGGATTCGTGTAGTGAACTCTCTTCACGAATTCTGCCCTTTTCCAAATTGAGGTCGAGTCTAACCCCGGCGGAGTTCTTCGTAATCTCTTCCTTGAGCCTATTTTGCAAGTTGGTCAAATTCGTGCGCAACTGTTCTTGCTCCTTCTTGAGGTTGGTGAACTCGGACTTGTCCATAGTCTGAAGCTCTCCTTTGAGCTTCGCGAAATCAACTTTTTGCTGGTATGCAATAGAGTTAAGGGTCTCTTTCGTTACCAAGTTTTTAGCTATCGAGGAGATACCATCGTTGACAGCTTTATTGACAATGTTGACAGCAGCTTCTGCTTGCTCCTCGGTAAACTTGCCTTTTGTTTGAAGTGATTGGACGAACTTCTTCGTATCAAATTTTGTAATGGAGCTGAGCAGTCTTTTGCCAATATTTAGTCCAACGTAGTTCATGTGAAGAGGACTCTGGGGTTTGTTTAAAGTTAGATTGTGTCTTGAGTGAGATAGTTGATATGGACTGCAGGAAGTCATCCATCACTTATCACCCTAGTTAGATAGGTTTGCAAGCAGATATAAATGCAAGTTGATAGAGCCGCCTCATGACCCTTCAAGCATCTCAAGATGAGAGATTTTCCATAACATGTAGGTATTTTTTATGTTCATCAAGGGGGATTTTACTATACCCTTAGTTTCCTGCATATACGCATCGGACTGGGCTTATAGCCTATCCTCCCGCTCAAGATCATGCTTACTCTCCATTATTTTGAAATGCTTGTTAGAGCAAGAGTGGCAAGAGTGGCCCGTTTACCTAGACCTCTCTTTCATGTGAGGTACAATTCCAATAAGTACAAGTCTATTGATGACTTCAACAAGCAAAAGACTGAATTTAAGTTTGGCTATGGGGTCGATGAGATAGATGAGACGGAGGAAGCCAACAGGAAAGAAAGACTTGAAGCTACTGCCGAGGGCTTTCTGGAATTTGATCCGCTGACCCATCCAAGGCTTCAGGGTATTCTGCCGAACTCTCCGGAATGGAAGGAGCAATTGTTCATTATTCAGAAGGAATTGCAGAAGGAACAGGAGAAGCAGAGAAGAGCCTACGAGAGGAATGAAAGACTCAAGGGACTCGGAGCAGGCGTATTTGCATTAGTCGGTATAGTTTCCGTCTACTCATTTGTCATGAACTACAAGTATTTGAAGGGTTGGTTCCTGAACAAGATCCACTTTGACATTGATGATTCGAAAGTGAGGGATATGAAAGATCCCAAGGAAAACAGGAAGAAGATGAAAAATTTGGTTGATCGTTTGAGTGAGGAGCTTGCTACTACACCTGGCTTTGTCAATAACTTGAAGGATTCTGCGTCTATTCCGGGACTCTATGTGTTTGGTGGGTTCTCAAAGAACAAGCTTCCCGCAAGATTGAATTTTTTTGACGGCAAGTTATTGCAAGATGTTTTGATTTCGAACGATTACTTGGTTGTCGTGGATGATCTGGGCAAGGTCTATCATTACAGTCCGAAATTCAAGGAGCCAATTGCATTGAACATGCCGCTGAAGGTGTCTCGCGTCTTGAAATCTGGAGATGGATTCTATTACTTGTCAAAAAATCAAAAAGACCTTTTTAACGGGCCTAAACTTGACAAGCTTCCCAAGAAATACAGAGGTTGGTTTGGCTCTTCCAGTTACAACTATCCAGTGGAGAAGTTGAAACTTGATGCTCTCAACGGTGAAAAGGTGGAGCAGGTTTCGGCAGGTAAAAACCATCTTCTCATTCTCAGCTCTAAAGGAAAACTTTATGGTACCATCACTTCATCTCACTTTGAAAATAAGGGACAATTTGGCTTGCCAAAGTATTCGCCATATGAAAAGTCGCCTTCCATTGTGGTCAACGAGATCTATGATTTGGCAAACATAAACAACGAGCTTGTTACCACCAAAGAAGGCAAGTTTATTCGTCAAAGAACATTTGCAACGATTGCTAGTGGAGAGAACTTCAATATCGCATGTGAAGCAAACGGAAGCATATGGGCATGGGGTGCTAACGCATTCGGCCAGTGTGGTAAGGACATCACTTCGCCTGATGATGTGCAGCCAGTTCCTAGACTTGCGTACACATTGTCTGAATTGGAGAAGTTGGTGAAATATAGTTTACCCAAGAATGGAGCTGGTTTCAAGTACAGCGTCAAGGACGTATTTGCATCAAACGAGACTTCCTTTATTCGAATGGAGAGCACAAACGAGGAAGACCCTTCTAAGAATCAGGAACTCTTACTCAGTTTCGGTGCTGGGCTTCTTGGCCAATTGGGCCAGTCCAAATACATGCATGTTGCATCAGTTCCTTCAGTTCTTAAGTCGTTGGTCGGCCTCACTGAGTTTGATGAGAAGGCTAAAGCGACCAAGAATATTGGCATCAAGGACGTTGTTCCTGGCGGAGACCACACTTTTGTCGTATTGGACAATTCAGGTCCTAACAAGGACGTTGTGGTGTTTGGAGAAAACATCAAGGGTCAATTCGGCAATGGTAAGAGTGTTAAGAGCGCTAAGCCTGTTGCCTTGCCCAAGCTCATTGAGCCCAGCGACTTTACCGAGAACGAGGCGGCTTCAAAGAAAAAGTTGGCGAAGAAGATCAACAACGTCACCACTAGCCGTCTCCAGCTTCTCGACGGAGCGAAAATCGGCAAAAAGTCTGTTGAACAGGTCATAGCTGGCGGCAATGACGGGCTGGCTATCTACTATCGTGCTCAGTAATGCACTTTCTCTTGTATATATTAAAACTGATTACAAACCGAAGGTCTCCTTCAAAATCTTAATAGTGTCAGCAGGCTCCTTGACGGCGTGACCAATGGTTCTTGGGTCGGAGTAGATCTCCCAGTCGTTACCACCCTCGTAGGCCTTGTCACCGAAGAAGTGGATTTCCTTGAAGCCCTCACCCTCAACGTGCTGAAGGGCGTAGGTCTTGTCCCAGCCGGTAGGGAACACGTCGAAAGAGATCTGGCCACCAATGGAGTAAGTCAAGCCGTAGTCAGAGAAGTTCTCTTTGAGGGCGTTGACAAGCTTCTCTCTGATCTTGTGCTCCTTGTCGAATTTTTCAAATTCGTTTCTCTCCTGAGTGGAGGCGTTTCTGCCGACAGGGGAAACGTTGATCATACCGTTTCTGAACTCAATGAAGGTACCTCTTCTGACTGGGATGTCGATGTCAGACAAGTAACGCAAGATGAACTTGACAAGCTTGTTGTACTTCTCATCGCCGATCCAGTTAATGAAAGACTGGGAAGCGAGCTCCTTACCGAGCTTGTAAGCAGTCAATCCGTTCTCGGAGAAACAGTAGTCAAAGTCCTGCAAAACAGTGCTGCCCAACTGCTCCACCTGCTTGGACAAGTCACTACCACCAACAAAACCAATCACCACCTTCTTTCTCAAGGCCTTCAAGGTATCTCTCATCTCGTCAGAGATGGTGAGTCTGGCTGGAGTCAAAGTGCCGTCGACATCGAACAACACGAGCGTGTCTGGCTTTTCCTTGTGTGAGAAAGACATGGTAATGGAGAATGAAGTGAAGGTTCTGCGGGAAATGCCAGCTATTTATGAGACGCGGTGGCCGTGCATCCAGGAACGGTCCATCGATCTGGGCGAAGTGGTCCAGCGTTGTAAAGCGTTGTAAAGGATTGTAAAGGGCGTTTCTATAAAAGATCGGAGAGTTAAAAAAAAAAATCCAAAATAATATCTTCCGTATATGTTGTGCTGCTAGATCACCGTGTTTGACGTGTTGTGTGCCTCGTGGCTTTCGCAGCCATTTTCGCAACCAGCCGCCATGCCTCGATGGCAGTGCTACCAGATTCCCAAGACAGGCCTCTTTTTTATAATTGAATAATCATTTGTGAAGAAAAACTTAAAGAATTAAATATTATTGGTGAGAGATCTTCGTGATTTTGTCACAATGAGTGCGTTCCCCCTGGCACGGCTGAAGTCCGGGCGTGTTTCTTCCGGAAGTTACTTCGATGAATTCTCACCGGGGCTCATCGTCTTGTTGCAATTCTATCAATTTCATTAAAATCGTTTGCTGATGGCCTTCTTGGGAAATTGTTTGTCATGTTGTCTGCCCGAAGCACATATCACCAAAAGAAAAGTTGTGGGTGTGGTTCAAGAAAACCTATTAGTCCGATCCAGCTACAACGGCGCCGCAGTTTTGAGGTGCCTTTTCCGCTGCAATGGAAATAGACTTTCAAATAGGCAAATTTGGGATCTGAACGTGCCTCGTGACTAGCCAACTTGGATATTTCAAAATTGGCAATTACTAGTTTTGGTTGAGCCGGAGTAACTCACTACGCAATGTAAGCCTTGCTTCTCCTCTAAGCAATACCTTTCCAGTCTTATTGAGCTTTCTATCGCTCGTCGAAATACTACAGTTTATCAAGTAGCAGAGTCAATTACAGATATACACTTAAACCTGGTACTGGTAGTTAGGGAACTGAGTCAAGTTCTCCTCAAGGTTACCCTTCTTGGACAAGAACTTAACGTAAGCACCGTCGTCCTTGACCTCACCGTTTCTCTTCTTGGCGATGTACTCTTCTCTGTCAAGAGGAGTGAAACCCCACTTCTTAGAGATAATGATCTTCTGCTGACCTGGGAACTTGTATCTGGCTCTTCTCAAACCCTCGATAACAACGTCCTTGTTGGAGTCCTTGGTTCTGGCGGACATGAGGACCTGACCGATAGTGACTCTAGCGGCCAAACCGTGAGGCTTACCCCAGGCGTTTCTCATACCCTGCTGCAATCTATCAGCACCGGCACACGACAACATCTTGTTGATTCTCAAGACGTGGAATGGGTGGACTCTCACTCTCAAGTGGAAAGAATCTCTACCGGAAACCTTGGTGATGTACTTGTTGGCACAGATACGAGCGGCTTCCAAAGCCTCGGAAGACAACTGCTCAATCTCGTTGGAGACCAAGTGGACACACAAGGGGAAGTCATCGACGGAAGCCTTCTTTCTACCCAAGTCGTAGATTCTGATCTTAGCGTCTGGGACGGCTCTGTTGTATCTAGACTTTGGGTAAGGCTTGTTCTTACAGTATCTGTAACATCTAGCTGGTCTTCTAGCCATTTTGTCTGAGGAAGTTAGTAAGTGAAAAAGGATGAAATTTGCGCAGACTGAATGATGCTTATTAATAGGGTCGTGTGGTGTCAAAACAGAAAAAAATTGGGACTGGGTGGCAAAAAGCGGAGTTCCTTGAAAGCTTGTTTCAGTAGGCCTTCTGAACTGATAAAATTCGGTGGATTGGGACTGGCTTTGACACTGGTAAATTGCTTAGTGAGCATTCTACCACAACCGTATCTGGACGGCAATAAGGGCTAAGGATTTGGGGGTAATTGGATTGGACAGGGAATGGGAACGGGAAATATTCATAAGATCATTTTGGTCTGTTTCGCTGGCGTGGTGGAACATACCTGTTGGAACTAGTCGTTAAAGGAGAAGCAGAAAGGATTTCGTGAAAGATTTTTTCTTAGTGAGCCTCAGCAGCAGCGGAGTGCAGATAGTATAGGGCTCGCGCTTGAATATGGGGGACAGTACTGCGTGGACAAGAACTTTGGTCACGTGTATTTGTGACTGTTGAGGGGACGAAGGTAAATCCAACAAGCAAGGGGGTCTTAGCTGAGTCAGTGTCATATCATGTTTTCATGATATGCCCTGCTTTGGAATTGGAGTAGGTGGGTATGGTTTTGGAGAGTTGGAAGAGCTTCTAGGTTACTAAAGAGACTTGTTTGCACTTTCAACTGTTTGCAATGTCCCAATAAGAGCGAATAGAAGCAGCAAACGCAAGCTGTATTACAATTTGTAGCACTCTAGATGGTATTAAGATAGAAAGGAAAAAGGCCGCTCTTTAAGTATAAGGCTGTTATCGCATCCAAAGGCACTTGATTCGCAGCCAGACAAAAATGTAAGCTAATTGGCCTAATTGTGAATCAATTCAATTTCAGTCGACCATTAGAGAGTCTTTATTTAGTTTATTGTTAATGTTTACTTCGGCCGGAAAATTCATCTTTCGAAACAAAGCTGTAAGTATACTTTTACCGTTGGCTTGAAGACATTTGGTAGAGATGCTTGACTGCTAGTCTTTTTGAAGCAAGAACAAAAGACTTGTCAGAAAAGGCTGAGCTAAAAGACAGGTTGAAAAGTTATTGTCATCGTCTAAATAGCTTCTGGTGGAATTACAAATGTTTGTCCCACAGGCTTTCTTCTTACACCCGTACACCGGGATGCTCATCTCAGATAAGACAAGCAGATCTAAATATTCTTTTCACGATCTCAAAATGGGAAGGTACTCTGTCAAAAGATATAAGACGAAAAGAAGAACTAGAGATCTTGATCTCGTGTACAAGGACCTCTCAACCAAGGAGTCTGTCTATGCTTTGAAGAACCAGCCGTTGGACGAGACCAAGCCCGGCTTGGGTCAGTACTATTGTGTGGAATGTGCTAAATACTTCGAGTCTCAGCCCACTTTGGACCACCACAGGAAAGGAAAGGTTCATAAGAGAAGATTGAAGGATCTCAGACAGAGACCCTACACTCCGTTGGAGAGTGAGGCTTGTGCTGGTTACAACCTACAGAAGTTCATGGATTCTGTTGAGAAGTACAAGCAGACCGAGCAGTACAAGGAGGAAAACAAGCAGGACCTTGACGCCATCAAGGATGCTAAAAAGGACAACTTGGATGCTATCATCACAGGCATCCCCTCTGAGCAGGCTGATCTCGAAATGAAGGACTAAGCGTCCCCACAAACCCATGCAAGCATTATAGCAACGTTTAGCCAAACGGCAGCATTCAGACCACGGTCTGCTGGATTCATGTATACTAGATAATCGGATTAGATAGACAGATGCATACATTGTAGAGTACGAGACCTTTGTGATGGAGAATCACTGGTTCTAGATATGATGGTAATATGGGCTATCGCTAGATGAGTTTTAGGAGCGAAGTTATTGGGAACTGTTGAAAACAATTATTTAATTTCTCGACGTAAAAGCGTTTCCGTGGATCTGGTGATATCCACATATACTGCATTCCGCGATAAGTAAACCGCAGATAAGTAAGCCACCTACATGAGAATCAAAGTGAAGACGCCATCTGCAACAGATGTTATAACTATAGACGATGAATCAATCACGGTGGCGGAATTAGTCTCGCATATTTCTCGATCGTCCTCGAAGCTTAGTGGAACTACGATATCCTCCTTCAAAGTCGGCTTCCCTCCACAAACTGTTGATGCCACATCCACCATCCCAATTAAAGAAGCAGGTATTCGAGCGAACCAGCAGATTCTAGCTGAGACAGGACCCTCTGCTGGCCTTCAAGAAGGTGGACCCGCTACTACCCCCAAAGAATCTACAGAGATCCCGAGTTTCTATGTCAAAGAACTCGACAAGTATGCCATTCTTCGTAACGTTCCAGACGATAACTCATGCATGTTCAGGGCTATAAGCTACTCGCTCACGAATCAACTTTCCATGGACGGTCTCAATCTCCGACAGATTGTTTCTGACACAATCGCAGGAGATCCGTTTACGTACAACGAGATGGTACTCGGGAGACCGACCGACAAATACTGCGAGTGGATACAGAAGAAGGACTCCTGGGGTGGCGCAATTGAGCTCGGGATCATTGCGGCCTCTTTGGGCATCAGGATCAACTGCTTTGATGTGGAAACAGGCAATTTGATGGTCTTCCAGGATGAAGCAGCCAAACCTTCCAAGTTTATCTGTCTAGTATATTCTGGAATTCACTACGACAGCATTGTTTTGAATGGCATTTTGAGCCTGAATAAGCAAGCTGACGTTGGCAACTGGAGTCTGCAAGAGGACCTCATTGTGAGTGCCAGCAAGCTGCTCGTGAAACTTCTCCAGCTGAGGAATTACTCAACAAACACCACGACATTCCGTGTGCGTTGCTTGGAGTGTTACCTGGTCCTCGTGGGAGAGAACGGAGCATCTAAACATGCGAATGAGACGGGTCACTTCTCGTTTGGTGAGGTGAAGTAGGTGTGGGTGAACTTCATTCTAGGCTCTAACAAGTAAGTTCTGAATCAAAATGGCTCTCTGCCAAAACTCAATGAATTTGCTAATAGTTATCTTATTCTCTTTGTTCGTCTCTTGTACCCATTACATAAGCGCTGACATGCGATGCGCATCTTAGATGCACATTTTTTGAGAAGAGAAAACCACATCTCTAGCATCATTATCTCTCAACATGGCCAAAAAAACTCTAGCTGAGAAGTATGCTGATTTGGACCAGCCTCCAGACTTTGATATCGAAAATGAGGACCTGAATCCTTTTGCTCGTGTGGATGCAGAAGACCTTCTGGGGTCCGATGAGTCTGATGAAGAGCTCAAGACAGGACACTACGTCCCTGTTGGCAAATCCAAGCTCAGAAGTCAGAATGGTACCTTGGTCAAGGGTGAGAAGTACAAGGGTGCTGTTGCTTCCAGAAAAGACCTTTATGATAGCGATGGTGAACAAGGTCTGGATGATCAAGGGGATGATGCAAGTCAGGATGAGAGCATGGATGATGAAGAAGAGGATGACGAGAGTGATGAAATTGAACACAAGAACGATGAAGAATATCCAGAGGAGGAAAGTGACTCGGGGGTCTCGCTTCGGGCTAACAGCGACGATGAATCCAGCGGCGACGATGAATCTGAGGAGGAAGAGGATGCCGACATGAAGAGGGATAAAATAAAGGCTATGATGACTAAAGAGAGAAAACACATTGTGAATAGACTCTCGGAGGCCGCTACCCAGGAAGCTCTCAAGGGCTATTCCATCTTGCAACAGCACAAGCTCTTCGACTCTCTAATAGATGTCAGACTCAAGGTTCAAAAAGGTTTGACTAACTCCAATCTTTTGCCCGGCAATTACGACACGCTTGAGAAAGAAGAACTCGGTAACGACTCTACGGAGGATATGATAGAAAAGGCATCGGAAAAATGTTACTCGTTGCTAGATACGATTTTGCAATTGCGCTCGAAGCTTTTCGTCAAGGAGAGCGTGGTTACTGAACCTGTGGAGCACAAGCCAAAGAAGCGTACTTTGGATCAATATCTTGATGCATCATCCAAATATGACGCTATACTCAATGACTATAGAAGCAACGTTCTCACGAAATGGCTGGCCAAGATCCAAAATTCGTCTGGATCGAGCGCTATAAACGCCAGTAAATTCAAGGCGCTCAATCAGTCTGCAGAGCAGCAAGTGATGAACAACTTGGCTGACATGGAGCGTCTTGTCAAGAGAACCAAGCTCAACAGAAGACTGTTGAAGCCTTTGGGCTACGAATTCTACGAAGCATCGAAAAAAGAGAATGAAGAGCTGGAAAGTGAAGGTGAAGGCGATGGTGACGTCCCCAAGGCGTCTCAGGGTAGACTGCTCAATGTCCAGGAGATGGAACTGATTTTTGACGATGAAGATTTCTACAGAGTGTTATTGAACGACTTGGTCGACAAAAAGATTCAGTCTTCGGACCCAACCTCTGGATTACAGTTTGCCATGAGAGGTGCCGCATCAGCCAAGGTCAAGAAAAATGTCGATAACAAGGCATCCAAGGGTAGGAAATTGAGGTATCATGTGCAAGAGCCTATTGCCAACTTCGAGACGCCACAGTCGGTGCTCAAGTGGGAAGATGACCAAATTGACGAGTTTTTTGCTTCGCTTTTAGGTCAAAAAGTTAGCATGAAGGAGGAACTCTCGGAAGACGAAGCCGAAGAAGAGCCTCTTGTGGGAGACAACACCATCAAGTTGTTTGGGTAAACTACAAAAATATTATCAATATAACCTTCCCTATGTACAAAGCGTAGACTGTCTCTATTAACGTCTGGAGTTGAGTTTCTTAGCAGTACGAGCATTACTTCTGGTACCCTGGCCTCTGACTGGGTAACCATCAGCATGTCTCTGACCAGCGTAAGACTTGATCTTCTTTTTCAACTGGATATCATTGTGGATCTTCAGCTTCAACTGATGCTCCACTTGCATCTCGGAGAGTTCCTTGTTGATGGACATGATTTGAGATTCGTTGAGCTGGTTCATTCTCATCTGGGGATAAAGGCCAACCTTGGCACAGATTGTTTTGGCAACATGGGGGCCGACACCAAAGATGTTGCCGGCAAGGCCAAGATGCACAAGCTGGTTATGCTTGATAGCTTTACCAAAGACGTGGACAACCATGGGTGGTAGTTACTCTCTGAATTCTCAAGATTTTCAATGCGAGAGGTGCAGTGCAGGTCAGTTTTGGTATGTAGAGAAGACCTGTTGGATAAGCTGTTTAAGACTGCTAATTCAGAAAAAAAAAATGCAAGTTGTTGATAAAAAATTATTATGTTCTCTCATCAGTGATGTTTTTCATTGGCTTTTGTATTTTTAACTCGATGTATCAACTCCATGACTTCATGAATATTCGCGAACTTGACTTAACGGTTGCAAAATCCACTGTGGTGTTGTACCCTAGGCTTAATTATAATTTGAGCAATGTTACATAAATAAAGTGAAATTGCCAAAACTGAAAATCTGCTAATTATAATGTTAAAAGTGTGATCCGATCTGTGGGAAGAAACAGATTTGCATGGTAAGCGGTGCTCGGAGGAGCCCTGGTAAATCAAGAGTAAATGGACCGAAATACATGAGCTAAAAGTACGACGAATTGGTTAAGACCTTGTCAGCTTCTTAACTCCCTAAGAAAGTTCTCCACATATAATCGCACTGTACCAATAAGTTTTATCTACGAAGATTTAATCTTTGATGACATGACTTCAACGGTACTGCCGTTTCCTATTAACCTTTTTAGCTTTGCAGCTGATCTACCTGCGTCCATGCTCCTCAAGATCGAGCCGTAGAATCAAGAGGGACCTTAGAAGGCCAATCATTGTGATAAACGATGCCAAACCTACCGGCACGACAGCGAACACAACAATATTGTAAAAATCAAAGAAGCGTGCCCGCCGCTTACCCTTCAAGTCGATGTTCAGTGTGACAAAATTTTGCACGATGTAAAGCAAGGTCAACGCACATGAGATGAGTATCCACGTGTGAAGACCATATTGGTAGCCCTCGGCGGAGAATGCAGATACAAGATATTGTTCGATAGCAACTAGGATGGTTGACATGGACAACATACGCACGATGGCGCCTGTTGTGGAGTAAGTGACGATCCAGCGGACCATGAGGCCATCAAGAACAGAGTACAGCAAGTAGCCTGCCACGATGCACCAAATGCCTTCAAGGAAATGCTCAGAGCCCCTTGCCGTGGTTATACCTGCTCTGGAGCCGGAAAACTTTTCTCCGCTGAGAAAAACTATCCACCACGACTCACAGAGACCCATGATGCACGGAATGAGAGAAACGTCTCGACACACGGCAAGCAAGAAGTGCTGTTTGGCATTGAGAAACTTGAGACCGAGGTTTTTCAAGGAACGTTTTTTAGGCTGAGGTTCTCGACTGTGTTCCCGCGAAGTGACCCGTCTCCGGTCGAAGAATCTGCTGTTCAGGTGCAAAAGTGTCGATCTGCTCGAGCTGTTAGATGTCACCAGGGCCAAGCTGGAAGGATCCAGGTACTGGTAGGCGTGGTCTGGTGGAGTCAGGCACTCATTGGGCGGAGTCAGCTCCATGCTAGGGCGAGGCGCCTCGTCAAGATGGACAGCAGAGCCTCTGTGGTGTTCTTGCAGCAGTTCGTACAGAGGCACAGGCTCATCCGGGTCGTACACGCTGTCAACGACATTCATTGTTTCGTCGGTGCTGGAGCTGTGCATGAGTCCCATACGCATGAGCAGGTCATGGTCGATGTCGGCGGGATCTCTGGCTTCGTCACGAGAAGCTCTTCCCCTTCTAGTTCGAGTGTAGTCCTCATCCACCAAATACAGCAGTAGCTGCTGCAGGGAGACACGGCGGCGGAGGCCGTTCCAAAGAGGCATGCGAAGAAAGTGGTGGTTCTTTGGGAGGGTGGGCCGGAAGTGTGGTGGGGATGTTGCCCTGGAAATTGGCGATGTGCTTAAGACAAAATGTAGGTGATAACGGCTCGATGGTGAGACACTGCGCATTTTTCAGGCGGCATTCCGAGAGCCCAGACCCCTCCGTGCTGGGGGGAATACTGGTAAATATTTTTCGTAAATCTTCTTATCTCGGCATCGAAGGGGAAAGCATTTTCGGGAACTTTGGTGGCTTTGTTTTGCTATGTTATGTCCGGGCGGGCCCAACTCCGAAAGGTTCTCACGCCTTAACGGATTATGCCTGAGATCTGCGACATGATAAGCAGCTCCGAGGAAATTGGGATTCGTCCATATTCAAGCTACGCCTTTTGCAAATTTGAATCTGTTATCTCGGAGATGTCGTTGTGGACTGTTTGGGCGGAGCACCAGCCCTCGGTGTCGGAGCGGCTATTGTACACGAGCCACGTCTTGTAGGTGGTCGTGTGATGTGTGATTGAAAAAGAAAACGCAATTTTTTGCAGTATTGAAAATTGTGGTGTTTGGCCAGGTTCGTTCGTCACCAGAGCTGAGATTCGGTCGAGGGTTGTGAGCCAGGCATACCTTCAAGTCATCGAATCAGAGGGTCGATGGAAATTGGATTTGAAACCTAGTTTGCTAAGCCATTCTACGTTATCTTTTGATGTTCATCTGTCTCTGTCTTGAGGCGAGTCTTGACATGAATTGGTGGGAGCATGCAGCAGGCGACCTCGTCTAAACCTCGTCAATTGGCGTTGCATTGTTAGCAAAATGCCGCTAATATTGGTGAATTAGGCTTCTCAGCGCAAGCCACGGCTAAACGACAATTGTCTCTATTCTTGTCCTCGTTGTCCGGACTGTCTTGTAACGTTGGTTGTCAAGCAAAACTCATCGTTCAGAAGGTCGTAGCATGAAGCACCATTGCTTGGCGACGTTTGAGACTTCACCACGTGAATATTCATGAAAGGCGGATTTCATGGATTGCAATTGTACAAGGAACGTCTTTGGTGACATAAAGTAGTAGGGCACTACTTGTCGTAGCCGAGGCTCACTTGACGACCCCACACGACATGACACCATAGGACAATGGAAAAAGTAGTTTGAAAAAAAATGATCGAACGAGTTTTCGATCCCGGGCAGCGAGATGTTGACACCTGTTTGGTCTATGGCGTTCTTTTCTCTCTTTTTCATGCCCCACTAGCACCGTCATCACACGCTTCTACTACTACACGAACAGTAACTAATCTAAAACCCAAAAGGGCTCAATTAGGCGCTGGCAGCGCAATATAAACGAAACGCCATAGGTATAATGCAGCCATGGGCCGCTTAGATGGCCTCCAATTGCTGGCTGATCTCCTCCAACTCGGCCTTGGCGGCAGCGTACTTCTCGTCCAAGTCCTCGTACTTCTTTTCCCAGTCGTCCTTCTCCTGCTCGAGGGAAGCAACCTTTCTCTCCAACTGCTCGGCCTTGATGTCGGTCTCTCTCAACTTGGCGGTGGTCTCCTTCAAGTTCTTGTCAGCCTCCTCCAACTCTTCTTCCAAGACAGAGTTCTTCTTGGTGTAGTTCTCGTTGGAAGTTTTGAGAGAGTGAGACTCGTTGGCAGCCTCCTTGACCTCGGCAAGGTCGGTTTCCAACTTCTCGACCTGCTCCTCCAAGACCTGGTTCTTTCTGGTCAAGGCCTGGATCTGGTGGTCCTTGTCCAAGTTCTCCTGCTCCAACTCCTTGATCTTCTCAGACAACTCGTCCGATTTTTCTTGCCACTTCTCGGCGTCCAACTTAAGGTTGTTGAGTTTCTGCAGTTAGTATATGCTGTCAAGTTGCCAATGATTCGTGGCGAATTTGATCCGGGCAGCCGAGCCTTATCGTCATGCAAAAGCTTCATGAAATGACGGCTCTTTTAAACATTTGCACCATTACTAATTGACATGGTATCTAATCTGCAGCTGTACATACCTCCTTGAGTTTGTCCATTTTGTAGTAAAAAGGTAGGGGTAGGTTTTTTTCTGCGTTAGGCGATTTATGCGTAAACAAATACTAGGGGCGCGGGCCTCGTTAAACTATAGAATGCACCACAAGAAAAGTCACGTGGCGGATCTGAAACGTGGCAACATAGCCTGCCCCAGAGCACTGAATGCAACTATTTGAAGAGAAATTATCAAGGTATCCATTGTGTAACATTGTTGTAGACCACTCAGGCTTGTTTGTAGTTAACGTGTTTTTGTGTCGCACACGACTGACATACTCTTGAGCAGCACCATCAGTAACTGTGCACCAACTATCATGTCACAGAAAACAGACCCCTCCAAATTTCTTTCATCCATCATAGGCCTGTCTGTTGTTGTCAAGCTCCATAATGGTGTGCAATACCTGGGCAATTTGCAAAGCATAGATGGTTTCATGAACGTTGCCTTAGACAGTGCAAAAGAGGTGGTGGGTGAAAAAGAAGGAAGAAGCTTCAATGATGTTTTCATCAGAGGTAACAACGGTATGTTTATTGAAAATTTTCGAATTAAAGAGGATACTAACATTAAGTTTTGTACATTAGCGAGTTTTAGATAATATAGTCAATCGAGGGACGGTTATCCAGATGTAGGTAAAGCAGCATACACCTAAATTTAGATGGAATGCATGGAAAAAGAGTGAAGAATGAACGATGAAGCTGTCGTATTGATAGTTATCAGCTGTTCGGTTGACATATTCAGTGGTGGTATGAAAAAGCCCCCACACTTCTACATGTCGCATCGAAATCACCTTCATGGTGGTGAGAGTTATTGGAGACAGTGGGCATGAATTCAGGCAAAAACAAGCTATCTATGAATAAAGCGTGAGAGACTATAATGGCCTTTTGTTCTTGATAACTGAGCTCGGAGTCAGCTCGCGACTTAAACAGCCAAAAGAGCTCCAAAAGTACATGATACTACGAGTTAGTGACACTTGTGGGATAGCTCAGATCAGACTTACTTTTAAGTCCCTACCACTCCAGGAAATTGAATTGAACCATTGCTTCGGGTTCCAAGGTCACGTGCATTAACACAAGTAACGAAGTTTTCTCCTTGGAGCAAGACGGAATCGCAATGATAACATGACATGATCCCGGAGGAGTACCGCTTAAAATACAGTTCAGAAGAAAATAGTAGAGAATCCAAACCCTTCTTCAATAATCCCGAAGTAGACTTCGTTAAGTGCCAACTCACCTGCATACAAGCGTGGACGAATGAGAGCGCACAACCTAACAAAAGCGAAAACCGGTTCCACCGAAAACTCTTTCATCACCAACCATGTCCTTCATCATCAGAAGACAATTGTCCACCTTGATCCCACCAAAGATCGCCTCTGCTAAGGTATGTGCTACAGGCTTCGCAGACACGAAAACACGGTGAAATTATGTCCTTTATTCCGCAATTTATATTGAACTAAAGTGGCCACACACATCCAAAAGAAAACCTCAAAATCATCCAAAAAATGGCATTCATGTTATTCCCATATCAAACTTTTCTCAGTACAGTTATCCATCGTCCAATTTTCAGGAGCAGTTCTATCCAATTCGTCCATACACCTATAACCACAAGATGAGATACACGTTAAGGCGATTCCCCTACGCCCACGGACTAATTTCACCTCAATGTTTCATAATCAGTAATACTAACCCACAGAACATTGGTGGCGCTGCCGACGCCAAGAGAATGGGCGAGGTTGTTTCCTTCTACAAGAAGTTGCCAACTGGCCCAGCTCCAGCTCCTAAGAAGCCATCCACCCCATGGGGCAAGTACAAGGCTGCTTACTTCGACGGCGAGAACGCTTCCGGTAAGCCCTTGCTCCACTTGGCTGCTGTTGTGCTCATCTCCGGTTACATCTGGGAGTACCAGTCTCACTTGAAGCACCACAAGCATTAGACGACTAAATAGTGAATCTATTAACGACAGATAGTTGTAGTATCTACAATAAGTATACGGCCATTTGAGATAAGTTTGATGAACACAGTTCGAATTCCGTTAGAATGCAAACATGAAAGTTAGTGAAGTAAACGAAGAAGCTATCTAAAGAATAGAGGCCACCATCTCGATTGCCCAGAGGATTGAGGCCCTTATTCGAGTTTGACAGTGCAAGTGGTATAGCTATCGTGAACAATAGCTTATGCTCTCATTATGGAGTTGTCTTCATGCATCCACAGCTTCGATCAGATATGAGACGAACTTTGAAGGTCCTGACAGGAATTGCAACGTGCTGTAGGGGAAAGTAAAGAAGGCTAAATTAGGCTTCCAGAATTTAAGAGAATCACAAGATGTAATACTGCAATCGAGGCTCGATCAGATTACCAGAATATTACTAAAGTGATAACACATTCTAGCAATCTGACGTAAAATAGACCAAAACCTGCAACCCAAAACAGATTGAACTTACCCATGAAGCAAAATGCTCTCCATTAAACTAATCCTCCATTGAATTATCCACAGCATTCTTTCCACATCAGATGGCACATGTTTGATGGCAGTGACCTACATTACCACCAAAAATAGCAAAGCAGGGCATCTTTAGTGTCTAATCAACCAACATAGAACAATCAATTGAAGAAGCTTCTATCGAAAAAGAAGACTGTCCACCGGAGAGAAAGCTTCTGAAGGTTCCACGAACATTAGGTTACCACACATGGCTGCAAAATAGCCGAGAAGAACAAAAATAGCCTGATTAATTTTAGCCACAGCGAATCACCTCAAATATAGGCTTTAAAACTGTAAATGACTAAATCAACCCGTACGGGTGACATTTTCCCGAAGCAACCTAACATTCCGTGTTCCTCTACCCGCATAACCTCGGCCAGCCCAGGCTGGACCACATACGACCTTTCACGAATTTACCGAAATGGTACATATTTTCGGAAAATTAGGGGTTTCTGAAAATCAAATAATGTAAAGAATCGGCACCACTGGTCAATTCCGGGCTACTGCCGTTCGGTGCCTTGATGACTCAGACGTGTCTGGGGAAGCCTACATGTGAAGATACAAGCAAAACCACTCCTCCACCTTCAAAATCCCCTCGTAAAGCACCACCACCTCTTCGTAATACACCAAAAGTCAATCAACACCTCAAACTTTCAAATCCAAACACCTCCCCTGTTCAAGGCGGAAGATCGCATAGTCGATCTCGTACCTGGGACTGTGCCTGTGCCGCACCGTATCCACAGCCACCAACCGGCCAATTTCAGTGACCTACGGAGGTGACGAAATCGAAGGAGCTGAACCCATAAAGGAGAAAAAAAAGTTTGTGCCTTGGAATAATTTCGTAGGAATTCCCCGCTATTTATACAATTCTGCTTCCCTGTCTTGCAGAAGGTGGCGTCGTAGATCCAAGCCGGTCCTGCCTCCATTACCTCATTCCATTCCACGTTGTGACCTACAGCACCCGTCCAAACAGGCAAAGGCATAAAGTGGAAAACGCACAGAAGAATCCACGATACAAGCCTTCCCCTTACCCCAAGGTCCCCTGGAAAAACCCTATAGAATTGGAACATTCGGCCACTCTGCACGCAGTCCACGTGAGCAACCTATCCTTTTTTTCTACAAACATCACCAACCCACCTACACCTTGATAGGCCATTGCCAACAACACAGACGTGGAATCGCCATTGCTCAGCATCGTTGACACCCGTTTACCACAAACCCTTTCATTGACACCATCAGCCGCCATCAGCAAGCCCTATGGACGGCTCCAGGCATCCACCGTATCCCCAGCCAGGTCAAAGAACAGGCCTGGGAACACAGAGAAACGCTCCGAGTCTGCTGGCGTCGCCGCAGCCCCCTCCAGGAATGAGCCCTGGCCAGCCCGCTACTCCTCGCATGTTGAGAAGCGTTTCCAATTCGATCAGAGGCTCTCGAGACATGGATTTTGGAGAACCAGAGGGTAAGGAGAAGGAGCTCCTTCCGGCGCCTCCGCTTACGCAGAAGAGCCAGCCAGAACCCCCTAGTCAGAGTCATCACCAGCAACAGCCACTGCAGCAAAGTCAGCAGCAACAACAGCACCACGGTCAGAGTCATAGCCATCAACATGGCCACAGCCAGAGCCAAGGAACCAGTCACGGCGGCCACAGCCAGAGCCGCACATCCAAAAGCTCTTCCCAGCAGCAGCAACAACAGCAGTTCCATAGAAAGTCCATTGGCGACTGGGACTTCATCAGGACCATCGGTGCTGGTTCTATGGGTAAGGTCAAGTTGGCAAGACACAACGCCACGGGCGAAAAGTGTGCTGTTAAAATCGTTCCAAGAGCAGCAAAGTTGTACCAGAGAGCACACGCCAATGACGCTGCACCAAACCTGGCAGAGGAGGCAGCACAAAGACAGAAGGAGTTTGAGAAGGAAGTGGCTCGTGACAAGAGAACCATTCGTGAAGGCGCCTTGGGTAGGCTTCTCTTCCATCCGCATATTTGCCGTCTCTATGAGATGGTCCCCATGACAAATCACTACTATATGCTTTTTGAGTACGTTGAAGGTGGTCAGTTGCTAGACTATATTGTGTCGCATGGGTCCTTGAGCGAGAAGTACGCCCGTAAGTTTGCCAGAGGCGTTGCCTCCGCATTAGACTACTGCCACAAGAACAATGTTGTCCACAGAGACTTGAAGATTGAGAATATCATGATCAACCAGAAAGGTGACATCAAAATTATCGATTTTGGTTTGTCGAACTTATACTCACCCAAGAGTCTTCTAAAGACGTACTGTGGCTCGTTGTATTTTGCGGCGCCCGAGTTGTTGAGTGCAAAGCCATATACTGGACCCGAGGTTGACGTATGGTCTTTCGGTGTGGTATTGTACGTCTTAGTGTGCGGTAAAGTACCCTTCGATGACCCAGTGGTCTCGGTGTTGCATGAAAAGATCAAGCGTGGTCATGTGGAATACCCATCCTTCATTTCAAAAGAGTGTGTTTCTCTTCTTTCCAGAATGCTCGTGGTTGACCCAACAAAAAGAGCATCATTGCATGAGGTGATCCAGCATCCGTGGATGTCCAAGGGTTACGAATACCCTGTTCCCAGCTACATCAACAAGAGAGTGCCTTTGACCTTGCCGCTCGATCCAGAAATCATCAAGTCCATAGCGACCCTCGATTTAGGATCCTCTCAGGCTATCGTGGAAGAGCTTACAAATGTTGTCTCTAGTCCTGAGTATCAAATGAGTTCCGAAATTTGGTATAAGCAAGCCAAGCAAGGACGGCCTTACATTCCAGGCCCTAATACTCACAACTTGCCAGACCCTACAGGTGGTTTCAACCCGCTAGTGTCCATCTACTATTTGGTTGACGAGATGAGGAAACGTAAGAAGGCCAAGGAGGAGGCTTTGAGAAATCAATTACAGAGCCAGCTTCAGGAAAGCGACTCCCGTTCACACGATCAGGTACACCAACAGATCAATTTGCAGAGACAGCAGCACAACACACCAGTCATTGCATCGCCTCCAAGTGGTTCACCAAACCCACCTCAGGCACAAATGGGCCAGCCTCCACGCCGTTCGGCCTCAGAGCATCATAGTTCACCCCAACCACCACCAAAACCAGCCCAGCCAGTTCCCACGTTACAGTTCCCAGAGCAAGCTCATACGCCGATGGTCCCTAGCGCTTTCAACAGAGAGTCTCTGTCTCCAGGTCCTAATGAGGGCAAGGTTCAACAACAGATGTTGCTGCAACACAGCCCACGCAAGTCAATGAGCGGTAGTGAATCCGATCAACAATCTGGCAAACTGGGTCTCAACTCGCTCTTGCGCAAATTGTCCGGAAAGAAGTCACACCCTCATGGATCACCTACCAGAAGTGGCACGGCCTCTCCAAACAAGGACGATGTTGCGATGGAGCCTGTTTCCTTTATGCCAGATGTTAGAGGATCACAGGAGTCCAGCAGATTGGAGAAGAAGGACCCATTGGTCCGTCGTGGTGTTAGTATGAAAGTTACTGCGAAGGAGAAGTCGAGCGGATCTCGTGTCAATGTCAAAGATGATTCGAAGGAGCCTGCCAGACAAACACTTGACCCTAACGCTTCTCAATACAGAGGCCATACGAGAACTCTGTCCAACAGAGGTTTTGTGCCTGCTGAATACTTGCCTCCATTGCCTACTCTCACCACAGAAGGCACGGGCGACGAGGTCAAATTTGCTAAGGCTGAGAAGCCACACAGCGAAAAGAAGTTTCACCCAACCGCTCGTGCCAAATCTGTGGGCGGAAACATTAGAAAAGATGCGGTCTTCCGTGGAGATGGACAACACCCAGCATTGCCTAATAATATGGCCGCACAAAATAGCGACGAAGGAATCGACAGAGAACACGAGCGTAATGACGCCATGTTTGACGATGTTACTCTCGATGATAAGGAATATCCACATCTTCCACACATGACGGAGCAACAAATCGTGGACCAATTTGCTCATGCCAGACGTAACAGCATGCCGCTGATTGAATATCCAAAGACTTTGTTCTTGAAGGGTTTCTTCTCCGTGCAAACTACGTCGACCAAGCCGCTTCCAGTTATTCGTTACAACATTCTTTCCGTTTTGACAAAGCTTGGTGTTAAATTCCAGGAGGTGAAGGGCGGCTTCCTTTGTGTCCATGCTGCCTCCATTGCCCCCAAACCCACCGAATCTGAGGATGAAGCTAGCGCCATTATCGACGAGTATAGACTGGACGACGAGGAAAGAAAACTTTACGGCGACGCGTTTAGCCAGTCATCAGAATCTGTGCAAAAGCAGGTTCCACACAGAGCCAGCACACCAGAACCCCAAGATGCTCAAACTCCAGTCATCCAGACTCCACAAACTCGTACGCCTCTGAGCAAGTCCAGAGGTCCATCTAGACAACCATCATTGCATGTGGACACAACCATGTTATCTCCACCAGCGGGAGGAAACAGTTTCAAGGGTCATCAGAAGTCCAACTCGATTGGAGGAGGACACAGAAGAAAGTTTTCTATCGGTCAATCAATTCTCGGCTCTTACAGAAAGAAGAACGGATCACAGACATTGATGCCTCCAAACACACCAGCTGCAGCCAGACTCAACAAGCTGCTTTTGGGATCCGCCGATATCGACTATGACGACCTCGACGAGGAAACTCGTGCCCAGTTGCAACAATTTACCGACGATGATTCTGTTGATTCGTTGAATGGTCTCAACCCAGGCGGAGGCTCGGACATGCTTGTTTCATCTCGTATAGAACAAAGAGCTAAGCACCAGCGTTCGCCTAGTGCGTCCATGACAGTTGCAGAGGAGGGCGAGGAAGAAGGCCAAAGCGGGAAGAGTCTGAGAAAAACGCCATTGAAGTTCGAGATCAACATTGTTAAGGTTCCCTTGGTGGGTCTTTACGGTGTTCAATTCAAGAAGACGCTCGGTAATACTTGGACATACAAGACTTTGGCATCTCAGATACTTGAGGAGTTGAACTTGTAGGGAAGACGGCTTCTTCTTCTAATGCATAACTCAATTTTAGTAAATAGGGGCACAATTTGATGCAAAACATGAATTACATGGTCATAGGAGTATCGCTCTACTTATTCTTACAGTTTACGAAATCTCGGTGGTGATGGATCATTGCCAATAACTATACACGGCGTCCTCTATAGTAAACACGACTTTTCTTGGATATCAATGAACTTTGCCGTTGATTGATCTATGACTGATAGGTTTGAGGATTCTCCAGCTGAGAGATCCCATTGGAGGGTGTGAGCACCGCAGCCAGCTCCCGGGGTGTTGGGTTAGGCCTGGCTGGACCCTCTGAATTCTCCCTGGATCCCGCAAATTGTGGCAGAGGCAAATTTTCAGGAATTGATAAATGGGGAGGAAAAGATGCCGGAACTTGAGCTTGAGAATCACTATAATGTATGGATTGCGGGTTGGGAAGATTGCAATGGAAGTTATGAAAGCTGTTTTCAGCTGGGGCTTCTTTGGAAGTTTCTATTGGGGAAGGTTTGTGATCTTCTTTTGCTTCTAGTGGTTCGGCCGTTGGTTGTTCTGTGGTATCAACATCCATGGAGTCTTCATCTTTTATCTCTGTAATCTCTGTGGGCTCCGTGGATGCTTCAGATATTTCTGGTGTGCTTTCGAGCCTTTTACGTAACCGCTCTTCCCTTGTGACTCCACCCGAATAGTCCATAGTAGACGGAGTCAGCCTTGTGTTACGGGAAGAGCGCCGCATGACAGCGTACTGGAGATCTTCAAGCTCTTGAGTCTTACGTTCTTGTTCTTCGATCGCCTTGATCTTCTCCTTGGCCTCGAGTCTCAGAGATCTCTTTCTAGTGGCCAAAAGGCGGGCCATCTCAGTCTCCTTACGACGATGGTGTATTATTCTCCGCTTTTTCGTCTCCACGGCGAACATGTTCTCCACAAATTCTGGGTGTTTGAGCACATCAAGAATTGTTCTATTCTTCTTCGTCTTCTTGGTCAGTAGTTCAGCCACAACAGCATCAAGTTGGTAAATATCTCGGAAGATAGGTTCATATGTCACTGTCATGTCAAAAGGTTTGGGCCCTAGCTCGCCGTCTGGGTCTGTTGGTGCCTGATCGCGTTTCTTAGGCACCAGGAGCTCTTTTGCTTTGGTGGTTCTTTTGTAACCTGCGGTGCCATCAAATACAACAATGAATTCTTCAACAACGGCACCTTTAGCTTCCCTCCATAGAGACTCAGGTCTTAGAAGCATTGGTGGAAGCTTGTTTTTGTCGATGAAGTCCCTGAAATCCTGATACAAGGAGACCTCGGCCATAAGAAGAGCCAAGATGTTGAACTTCTCGTCGATAAATAAGTCGTCAAATTTTGGCAAGCCTGGTGCAGCAAAATCGTCGTTGTTCTTGGGACCCTTGAGAGGTGTTTCGCTGCCAAAATACACTCTGAACAATGGCTCGAATTGAGCAAGCAGAGCCTTTTTGCCGTGTATTTTCAGTAGCAACGATACGCGAAGACGACTCAGCAAGAGCGTCTCTTCATCGTCAGGCACCTGGCCAAACAAGTCCATTTCAAATGTATCCGTGTCAAAGTGCTCCAGCGCCAACTTCACGTATCCACGGCACTGCAGGACCCACTGCATGACGAAGATGTAGTCTGGATCAGCCCTGAATTTGCGCCAGCGTTTGTCGTCTGGATATGACTTCTGGAGGTCTTCCACGATAGTTTCATTGGGCATTTTGACAGGAGTGAGTTTGGCTAGCGCAGCGGCTTTTTCACCAGCACCAAGCTTAAGACTATGAGCCGGATGATCGGCTGGTGCAATTGGCGGACGGCCCGGACGGCCGGGTTTGAATGGCATTATCGAAAAGAAGGTAGTTGTAGGTGAGTGTTGATGCGCGAAAAAGGTGTATCTTGGAGCGGTAGAAGAAGAAGCGATGTGAATTTTTGAAAAAGAGGAGAATTTTGGAGGGAAGTGATGTGTGAAGTTTGAAAAGGCCTCGTGCTTTTGGAGAGATTGAAGAGTTGGTTGTTGAGGTAGCCTGGTGGGTATGTCATTATGGTACTGATTGGCTGCGAAACCACGACAAGACGAGCTAGATCAAACTTGTGAGGATTGACTGAATGGTTGTTTTTGTTCATGCTTGTAACGATTTCAGTCTGAGCCATGTTTTTTGACGGTTCTGGTGTCTGGCACTGTAGGTTCCATGAAATTGTCGAAACTTGATAGATATGGAAGCATTAGGTTAGACGATTGATATGGTGATGCAACCCGCGTAGATTCGGACCAACTGTCGACGAAATGTCGTCAAAATGTAAGAATTTGTCGATGTTGGCGATCCCAAGATCCCTACGTTGAAGAGTGTGTTCTTCATGGTAAGCGTAGTCTAAGGGCTATCTTTAGTCACATCAACAGCTGTCTCTGATATCCAAGAAGCAATAATCAAGCAACGGTTTCATTCGATTATTTGAAATTGTCAAACATCGTAACTGTAGGCTTCTTCAGGCTTCGAATGTTGCATCAGATCATTACTCACGGACAGACGAAAGATAAGATTTATTGATGCTACCACGATCATGAGCCAGTATGCTTTGATTCGACTATCAAGGCTTGCCAAAAATCATCAAGAATTAAAGTAAAATATGCGGTTAAACTTCTCTTAAGCAGAATGAGCAATTTACTTGTTGGATCACTGTCGTATCAAATAATCAACTAGATCAGCAACTCAAACCATCGTCATAGCACTGACCACAAAATAAAAGAGTTCTAAATAAATAACTCACGATATATTGAGTCTAGATCAAACAGATCATCTTTTGGGCGAGATCAAACAGCCCCCACCACGGAATTGTCGCCTTATGCGAGGCAACCTATTTCTTAATTTCACCACTTTTGTGGGGAAGTTGCAATGTCGAAATCCTTATTTGCTGAATGACCGAAACCACAAAACTATCTCAAAGCTGGATGCGTTATCTGCAAGTGACGTCCCATTCTGCCAAACGGCTTATGCTGGAGCTCTGTCGCCTTGGTGACCTCATAGCAAGGGTCCACCATTGACATCAATCCATTGATTTTAGTTGCAGGCTTACAATGATTACATGCGTGTTTCGTAGCTTCGTACATTACCAGAGGTATAATAAATATATATAATAAACAGGCAAGAAGTGAAACGGAGTCCGGGGCTCCGTAGAGGCCTGGAGATGACGGCAGCTCGGTGCCGCTGAGGCTATTTTGGTCGTATGAGGGTCAGTTTAATCTTTAGGTATGCGAGAAATGAATGCTGAGGACGATGGGCGTGTTCAATACTGTGCTAAGAGCTTTCTCAACTCTTCGTTCTTGCCACTGATCTTCATGATCTCGCCACTCACCTTCAACAACGCCGTGTGCTTCGACAAGTTAGGCAAGCCGTCCTTGTTGATCTGCTTTCTTTTACTCTTTTTCTTCAGCAGGGTCACGGCAGATGCAGAAACCAAGTCATTCTTGTAGTCGTCAACGTTGGTGATCAAGCGAAGACATCTCTCGTAAGCCTGCTTGCACAAGAGACGTCTCTTCTGCTCCGAGTGGGAGTGGTTCAATCTCTTCTGCTCCAAAGTGAGGAGCGGTCTGGTCGAGCTCTTTCTTCTCTTCTTGCTAGATGGCAGCCATGGTGGAGAATCGAGCTCCAGCTGGGTCAGCGTACGCTTCTCCAGAGCCAGCAGCTGTCTCGAGTCAAGCGGCGTAGGCAACTGGGTCTGCTCAGAGCCAAAGCTCTTCAAGCTCTGCACAGGTGGGTGTCTAAAAGCATCGGTGATCTCCTTCTTAACAAAGTCGGGAATCTCACGGTTGTCAGGCTTCCTGAGCCGGTCCATCGTGTGCATGGGCTGATTGTACATGGAAGGCAGGGGAGGAGCCTGGGGGTTGTTGTAGAGCTCCAAGGGGTTGCCTGAAGACAGGGCCAAGTTGTCCAAGAACTTTTCCAAAGCATTCAGCTCAGTGTTGAGGAAGAAGTGGTCCATGCTGTCGTCCTTGGTCATGGGGTTGGCAGTCTTCTGGCCGTCAAAAAGACCCTTCGATTCGCTTGGTGGCAGGAGAAGCGGGAGACCTGGCACGCTGTCGTAGTCGTTGAGCTCAGGGTAGAATCCATACACATTTTGCTGGTTGTGCTGGTTGTGCTGGTTGTGATGAGCCAGTTGCTGCTGCTGTTGTGGTTGATGATGATGTTGATGATGCTGCTGCTGCTGGTGTTTCTGGCTCTGTTTGGCTCTCTGGAGCTGTTCAACACCGGAGAGAGCCTGTTTCTGCTGCATCTGGGTGTACATCAGGTAAGCCTGGTCAAACTCCATGTCCATGGTGACCATGTCCAAGGAGAAGATATCCTCATCGTCTGTGAGAACAGAAGGAGACTTTGGTTTCTTCTCCTCAAGCTTCTCGAACATATTGAGGTTTAGGCTGGTAGGGGCAACACCAGTGGCAGTTGAGGTGAAAGACATGGTATACTTGTTTAGGTTATTTTTCAACTTTTTCAGTACGGGAGCTCCCGGAACAGTGATTGGTCCTTTGGTGCTGGTGGTTAGGATTTGGGGAGGTGGGTTGACGTTGGTTGGTGAAAAAGGCGGTTGAGAGAAATCACAGGGAATCTGGGGCATATTTATATCTGGGGTCTGGACGTGTAGGCGGGAAACGGAGATTGACAAGCGAGAGAAGAAATAATTTCTGGAGGGGCGCACCTGGCGGGCCAGGCCTGTATATGCGACGCGCCATTTGGGAGATAGTGTGGGGACTAGGGGGGCGTTACCTGTGCAGGTATGACGACAGTTTGGGACGTCTGTTAGAGCCCCTCAACCCCTTACTACCATTCTTTCACCGGCGCGAGTTGCTTCAGGACGATGCAGTTTGGACATGATTATAATGACAGCCCGTTTGCGAATTTGTGGGGTCGAGGCTTGACGGGGGACTTTTTAGGCCTCAACGCAAGTTGCGGGAATACCTGCACAATGTTGGCCTTTTTCGCGGACACTCTTTAGCATCGTATGGGTGATTTGATTGAGTATCCGGTCCGTGCGTCTTATCTGCACGCCCCTCTCGTAGCTGCACTGCCGGACAGACCCCACTCGAGGGCAGCTTGCAGGTTAATTCCGCAATTTAAAGCAACTCCGGCCTTCCGCTCCGATCGCCTACAGTCAGTTTGCATACTAAGTCCCGAGAGTTGCGTGAACACCCTGTTCGTCGGCACTGGTGCCTGGTAAAGATTAGCCGTCAAGTACCCAATATTTTGCGCTCGGCAACTCTAACCGTTGGGGCTGAAGTTTTGGCTTTTTTGAAACACAACAGTTGGTTTTTGTCTGGAAGGATGATATCAAAATCCTATACCAAAACCTTTTTGACGAGCTCTCGTCAACGGTCCTGGAAAGAACAATAGACGATTAAGGTTGGCGAGGTGGATCGATTGTTGTCAGGTATAACCGGCGACCCAAAACAGATAGCGGCCGTGTGCAGTAGTAACCCCCGTGGGACGCAGCGGCGGATTCTGCACGAGGCGGAGCTTTTTCGCAGGACGATTACTGGTTGTGGGCAAAAGCATTGAAGAAGTGCGAGGTCCCGATCAAAACGGTGCAGGTCTGCGCGCTGTGTGTGCAGTTCACGCAGGGGCGATACAAGCGCAATCCATGCAAGAGTCGGGGGCTAGCCCGGTACATAGACTGATTGGTGTCATCCGGGGCTCCCAGGTCTGCAGCCAGTCATGGCGGAGGCAATGACTGAGTGGGGGAGGCTGGTGGTTTCGGACCAGTGGATGCCTGCATACGTGCAGTACCGTTTGATCCAAGCCGCTTAACTGGTCCAGGTGGAAGAAGGCTTTGATGAGTTTCACTCAGATTGGTCACATAACCGTTACGGACTGTACTAGAGAAACACTGTCGGGGAAACGTTTCCTTCCCGGGCTGCTTCGGGGTGCATCGGGGCACGGAGAATCTTTGATTTCTTTTGTTTTTTTTTTTATTTTTGTCTGCTTAAATTTCTACATTCTCCGATTTGCAGCCGTTCCCCAACGGTCAGAGAAACGAAGTGCGGAGAAACCAGTGTAATGACAGAGAAGAAAAGAGCAAGCAGGGTCCAATGAGGTATTTCCAGAAGCGGAGCATCGTTCGGGGTAAGGTCAGGGTATCGGATCGCCGGATCATCCTTTTATTTTTTCAATGTGTTGGCGTGGAAAGTTTGAAACACGCTTAAGCTTTGAAGGAGGCTTCTATGAGTTTAGATTGACTATTGAAAGTGATGGATAGAGGAAGCCATCGCTCTATAGGTTTCTAGGATTTTTCTTGTAGAATTTTTTTGGTTCTGGTGTGATGGGCAAGGGTTGCTTGATGGGAAACGACCGGCAAGGTTGTAAATGATGGTTGCTGAGGAGAACTCAAAAGAAACCAAACACGGTCACCACACGTCTGGGGAAGATTAACGTGTATCTGCCACCAAAGGCGGCCAGCACATTTCCCAATTATGGAATGGGCAAGCCACGAGGAGAAGAGCTTAAGCCTGATCTCAAGAACCGGTAAAGAGGGTCAAAGGGGAGCATTTTAATCGAAAACGGCAGGAGAAAGTACTCGGTGGAATTGCGGAGTTCTGCTTTCGTGATGGAATGAACCTTCATCGTAGGGTGATGCGGCCGCATCCATCGATAAGCCCATCCATCAGTGGGGTCCGATGCAATCTGTGGATGAATTATTTCAGGGAAGAGCAAGTGTTACCCACTCACAGCCTGCAAAAGTCCAGCTCATCCAGATCCCTGCAATGCTATCCCACTTGACGTGGCCGGGGTCCGAATCGTGCTTCCAGGAACGCTGGCGTGACCTCCGGCTTCGTGGTCCCCCTAAGCCTGGAAGTCGAACCATATTTGCTGCAATTTGAATTGTTCAGCGCTTCAGCCGGACACAAACGCATATACGATTATCTCCTCTTAGATTATCCCCCTAACTTCAATCGTGGCAAGCATGGACCAGCACTAAACGGAGTTTCCCAAAGCGGCTATACAGCGTCGACAATGGCATCAACGCCAGCTGTTGAGACGCCATGCCATGACGTAACAAGCCCCGAACCCCAAACATTCTTACAGTAATTGGCCGGCCCGCTTCCCAAGATTGGCCGCCTTTCCCGAATATACTCATTCCAGCGCACCTGGTTAGCTTCGGTCTCCTCTCACTTTTCTTGATTCGCTGGTTTGTAGTCACCTCCGAGCCAAGAATGCTCAGATGACGAGACCTGAGTTGCCGAGAACGTTGCATTGTTTGTTTTAATGTCATCCTCGGTACGTCCTCCTCTAAACCCCTTTGACTCCGCAGGGAGGAACTAGACAAACAAGTGCGATTGTTTGAACTGTATTGTCTTATCGAGGCTGGATGTTGCCAAGTGCAACCGCACTCGTGTAGATCTAAGACACTTGGTTTGGAGCCCCTTCCGCCGGAGAGCTCTGTTTGCTTAGCATCCTCAACAGGTCCCCTTGCGGGCTCTTAATCAAACCATTAGTCTCGGCCCCACAAGTCGTATTTTTGGAGCCCGCCAGGTGAGCAAGGTTACAAATCTTTTTCTTGTCGTGATGCTCGCAAGTGGGGGTGGAGCAGCAAGGTATGCCATACCAAAGGGCCTTTCGGGTGTAGCTCCGCTAGGCTCAGCCCCATAAACGTTTTTTCTTGTTTGTGGACAGAATGATTTGACTCGCGTTTTAGTCTAGCGTTCTATGCTTCTCCCTCTGCCTCGTCCATATTTTGGTCTCCTTTTTCTGAAAACCTCTCACGACAAAAGCGACGAAGATCAACGAAATTGTTCTTCAAAAAATCGTTCAAGATAAACTCGCTCACGACCAATTTGAAGTTACAGAGGTAGAGAAAACTCACCTCGATCTTGCCCAAGTCTTTGAGCGCCATACCTCCCACCATGGCGAAGCTCTTCTGCTTTTGGTAAACATCTTCACATTTCTTTGTCAGCGACCGGATCAGGGCCAAAATAAATCTGTAGACATTGAGTTCAGTGAAGGTCACCACATCAAGCAAAACGGCAAGCTTGAAGAGTAAGTAGGCGCTGTGGATGTAGACAGAGACAGACACCGAGGGCGAATACTTATTGATGCGTAGAAGGAACTCCTCGATGGAGATGGGTGGCGGTTTTGCTAGCCCAAAACATCGGACGAGGTGCTCAGCCTGGGCTTTTGTTTTCGGGGCGTTGTGAAATATAACCTCCTTTCTAAGACGACTAGATGAGTGTGCGGTGATGGGGTTGGGTACCTTTTCAAGAGACGTTGTTTGCACCAACAGCTCAGTAGAAATAAACTCTGGCTCTTTTATCTCGGTACTCGGGCTCGCCAAAGCACTATGGGGGTCGTCTAGGTTAGGATTTTCAGTAAGGTCATCGGAGACACCAGAGACGCCAGCTAAGGCTGCCTCCAAGCTGGAAAACCGGGGTTTTCGAGGCTGCGTACCTAAATCCGATGATGAGTCCAAATCAGCACCGTTCAGTGCATCATTCACGCTTTCAAAGCTTCTGTCGTGGGATACGGATATCTCTGGATTCTGTTCGTCATCATTTCTGGAACTTTCAGGTGCTTTCAAGTCGTCAAAGTTACCCTGTAGACCAGATAAGTCTGTTTTGTTTTCGTCCCCACATAGAGAAACGGGTTTCGGGAGGTCATCATCGTGAAAACCAGCTGGACCCTCCTCATGCTCCAAAGCTTCCATGTTCAAACCGTACTTGGCCAACTGCGCCGCACGGAACTCTCTGAAAGCGGTCTCATCTTTCTGAAGCGCGATTAAATCAACCAAAACGCCGTGCAAAACTGCAATGGCGTGGAAGACATGGAGCCTGTTGATATCCTTGACGCCATGTTCTAGATCAAACTCGAGCTCTTTGCTCAGTACCTCATCGTACAGCTCCGGGTCGTCCACAAACGTCTCTTGCGGCCGCTTAAGCGGGATATCCAGGATGTACTGGTTTGTGTAAGCCATGGCTTGCAAGCTTAGCTGAGTTGGTGATGGTGTAGGTGACTGCGCGAATCTGGGGTACAAGAGGTTTTGATGAAGCAGGTGAAGAAGGTGTTGTGTTTGGGAAGATTGGGAATGGAAACGCTTCAATTCGGTTGGTTTGCCGTGAGATTTTGAAAAAGAGCTTTAGTACTGGCTTTGGCTGGGTGTATGCATGAGTGGGGCTAAGTAAGCTGGGTTGCTAATGGCTGCGAAATGGTGTATATTCCATGACACGGTGTTTTCCACTTTTTGAAGGTGAATTTTGCATGAATATGGATTACTAAGATCGGGAAGTGAAAAGCGAGCGTCTGAGTAGTGAAAAGAAACAATGGGGTTATGCTGTTCTTGTAGTGTTTGAACTCTTGCTGTATGATGCGAGGAAGCGCTGGTGCAGACAGTGAAATTTCATTCGGACAAGAAATAAACCTGTGATGATCACTGATACTTCAAAGTTAAGCAAGGGAATCTGACATAGATTGACCATCAACTACTTCCATTCTCCGATCTACAGATTCCTTCTTGACTATGGTACATTATGCTATCTATGCTGCTAGCGTCTTCTCTTGCCGCCAAAAGCTGCAGAGGCGCCCTCACTGGAGTCCAACTGTCTCTTCTTACCCTGCTTGGCAAAGTACTCCTTCTTTCTCTCACGCTCCTTTTCTTTCTTGCCTTCCTCCTTCTTGGCAATCTCCTTGAGTTTCTCCAGGAACTTCTCGCTCTTTTTAGCCTTACGCTTGACATCCTTGTCCCTCTTGAGGGTGTTGATCTTGTTGACGAGATCTCTCATTTTCTTCTCATCGCCGTCCATCACCACGGCTCTCTTGGCCATGTAGGTTTGTTTCAGCTGTGGCTTGGCCTCATGGATCTGACTCTTGAATGGAAGATCCTTCTTGATCAGCTTGGGCACCTTGAGCTTGTTGAATCTTCTTTCTTCACGCTCAATCTTCTTGTAAGAACTGTCCTTCTCCAATGGTGTGGCAATGCCGTTTTCAGCTCTCACGGCACCCGTGAGTCTCATACCCTTCCAGTCGTTGTGCTTGCTGGATAGAAGTGAGGTGACAGGGTTGTAGAACTTCTTGACCTTCACAGGGTACCATGTCTTGAGGAAGATTGTGTCAGACATCAAGACCTTGTCTTCAAAAGTGGCACGGAAATAACCGTCGGGCTTGGAAAGCGCTCTCTTGATTTCACCTCTGATTCCTGAAACGGTTCTGATTGCTGCACCCTCGAATTTGGCGACCTCCAATGAGTTCGAGAACATGTCTTTCACGAAGGCAGTGTTTCTGAAAATCTTGTATGGATGACCAACAAGCTTGAGCTTCTTCACAATCTCCACCGAGGAGTTGAGGTCCTCCACGACACCTGTGGCTGCAACTCTGAAGGACCCAGTTGTGGAAGTCTGATCCACCAAGTTAAATCCAACGAATGTAGTGTTAGGAGCAACAAGAGGACCATAGAACGAGGCAAAACAGTAAGCATGCTCAGGAGTGTACTTCAACATTCTGTTTCTCGTTCTCGAGTCTGTGGTGGTGTAGATGGGGATGGTCTGGAAACGTCTCCAACCGAGAGAAAGAATCAAAGGATCTTGCGACTTGAGAATCTTCTTGTGCCATCTGTGTCTTCTGATTCTGACGTTCATGATACCGAAACGGGACTCGGTGGCCAAAAGACCACCCAAGACGATAGGGTACTCTGGGTCAAGGTTTTCAACGAACTCACATGGGAGGTTTTCAAAAACGATCTTGACGTAGGAGCCAGCACGGTAACCCTCGATCTTGGTTCTCGTCTCCTGGTCCATCTCCTCATACTCGGCCTTGTTGATCTCCAACTGCTTGGCCATCTTGTTCTTTTGGAATTCGTACCAGGTGTCGGCCTCAGTATCACCTTCTGGATCGTCAGCACCAAACTCTCTGTCTTCTTCGTCTTCGAATTGCAATTTGAGTTTTGCCTTCTTGGCTGCGTTGAGTTCTCTCTTTTCCTCAACCGTCATGTTCTCGTCTTCTTCGGGATCCTCATCCTTTTGTTCCTCAGCCTCGAAATCAGCAAAGTCGTCGCCATCCTCATCACCGTCTTCATCGTCCATATCATCGCCCATGTCCTCTCCATCGCCGCCATCTTCGCCTTCAAGGTCTTCGAAATCACCATAGACTTCTTCGTCATCATCGCCCTCATCATCACCTTCCTTTTTCTCTTCATCATTAAGTTTAGGTGCTGCCAACAAACGGTCCTTCAACACACGGTAGCCATTTTCATATTCTTCATCGCTGTCCTCAATCGTTGATGAATCGAACTTTGCTTTGAGCTCGTCCACAGAAGGATAGCTGGGGATGAAGGTATCCAAGTCCTCAGACTGGGTTTTGCTGTCTCTCTTCTTAAAAAAGTCCTCATCGTCCTCCTCAATATCAGACTCTTCGTCATCTTCCTGAACAACCTCCTGCTTCCACCTTTTGATGGCTTCAGCTGGATCGATGTTGTCCAAATACAAAAGACGGTTGATGTTCCAACGACGTTGCACTGATCCTTTGAGTTTTTTGGCCATGGAAGCGTAGTCTCCGTTTTCTTCATCAGAAGACAAAGCCGAGTCTTCAGCGTACTCCACATCCTTAGCGGCATCGCCAAAATCGATGTCAACCATCTTTGGCTGGTCCTCTTCAACATCGGATCCAACGTCCTCAAGATCGTCAAACTCGTCATCCTCGGCCACGGACTTGCCGTACAAACGAGGCTTTCTCATTGCCTTTCTGCCCTTGTCCTCTTGAAGAAGTCCCTGCTCATCTTCCAGCTCGCTGGATTCAGCTTCCTCAATTTGAGCTGAGTTCGAAAACAACTGGAGACCTGGGCCCTCGGCAAAACGCTCGTGCATTGTCTTCTGGACATCTTGCAATCCGGTGACGTACTTTTCACCTTCGCCAGTCTCCTCACCAGGAACAAAAGACTGCTTGTCTCCCACATCGATGTACACAGCATCCTTATCAACGAGAACACCACCAACATCGGACATCGGGGCATAGATGATCTTCTGCTTATCCTCAAGTCTCTTTCTGCGTCTTCTTCTGGTAGGCGCTACTTCTTCACCGGTCTCTGCGGCAGCCTTGGCCCTTTCTCTTTCTATCTCATCAAGCTTCTGTTCGAAGTATGGAGTAGGACAAGGGTCAGGGAGTTTCTCCACACTGTGGGCATGATAATCGCCAACTCCAGCAATATGAATGTGTGCATTTTGTGATGGCAATGGTGTGCCGTGAAGATAGCCGTAGATGGCCACTTTTCTGTCTGTTTTTGGGTTCTCTGCTATCAGCTGAGGATGCGTCAAATCGGTGACTCTGTCTGCTAGCAAGTAAGGATGCTCGTTACGCCACTTCAACGGACGAAACTTCATGACGGATATGAATCGACAAAGATTGAGAATCTCTCGGTCGGGGTATCTTCCATTGAGCACACCTGAAAGGTAGAAAAGCTTAGCTCCCTGGTACACCTCTGTCCAGAATCTGTGCTTCAAACGTTTCTTTGAAGTTCTGAGAGTACTTTGACTCTTGAACAAATCGAGATGTGTTGCGACACCCAAAACTCTGGGCATACCGTGGTGCTGGGCGATATTGAGGAACTCCATGGTTTCCATCTCAAGACCGAAATTACCATCCACGAGCAACAACACCAAATCGGCGATTTTGGCCGCATCAACCATCGAGCTGAGATCGTTGTTGACTTCCATAAACGTAAGTCTACGGCGTTTTCCACTCACCACAGTGATGGGACCCTTGACTTCAGTGAGACTCGATTTGGTCAATTTCTTCACCAAACTCTTGATCAACGTCGTTTTTCCTGTTCCGGGAGGCCCAACCACGGCAATGATCACCGGTGGCGGATCATCGTCTGGTGTTCTGTCCACCATAGGGACGTGGTACCGTTTTTCATTAACATCGTGTGTTCTTCTGGCCATTTTTTCGAGCTTTTTGGGTGCTGCCACGGCAAAAGCCTTGGCATTGTGCCCATTTTGATGAAGCTTCTTCTTTGCTGTATTTTTCTTCCCGTCGCTGCCCCGGTGGGGTTTATTCAGCTGCTCCATGGTGAAGATGAAGTTTGAAGGCATCTCATCGCAGACTATGTAGTGGTTGGGTCACGTGAGCGCCATACTTAAGAGAGATCGATTAAGGAATCGATGGCCCAATCTACACCCGTACACCAACAGTATAGGCACCTTGAAGGCCGTTGATTTCGGGTTATTGGCCTAGGGAATCAAATTTGATTGTAAGGTATAGGAAGTTTGCTTTTAAGGATTTGCAGCTCTAAGTGAAGTACGACAAGTTCTGGAAATGGGGCTTGAAATTGGTTCATTGAAGGGCACATGTTGGCTGCGAAAAGAACCAAAGGTCAATAAAGAACGACAATTCGACTCTTTAGTAGAGCTCCTTGTAGGCGTTTGGGTATTTTTAAGCCTCATAGAACATTGCAGAAGGCAACCAACACAACAATCCTCCATGTTTCTCTCAGTTGGTTACTATTTTATAGGAGACAGCCATGAATATCAGACAATTCGTTCTTCAGGCATCAATTATTTTTGATCAAAGCAGCACCTTGGTGAGTGTTGCTTAACCTTTATGTTCGGTGTAGCAAACTTTTAGAAACACCCTTAACTATATGCTCCTCAATAACGGTATTCGCATCCTGGGTGCAAATTCAACTTCATGCTCTTTCACCATTTCATTGTACTTCTACCATTGGTATCAGCATCTATCTGTGACAATGGCGAGCTAGTGCCATTTACAGGGTTCAAATTTGTTCGTGAAAATCGAATAAGTGTTAAGCCATTCAGAAGCGATCATTTCTTGAAGATCACCCATTGTAACAAGGGAAAGGTCGACTTTACCACCAAAGCCCTTCTTGATGAGCGTGGAGTCAACGAGACGTTTTGCATTGCTCCTAATATTAGCAAAACCTCCAAAGACAAATCATTCTTTGCAAAACTCAAACGATTTGGGAGTGCATTCTTCAGAACACAGAAAGACCTTGGCACTCAACCAAGAATCGAGGAGGCAGCAGGTAACATGTCATGCTACAAGGTGGGTCGAAGAAGAAGCTTTGCAAAGTCCGACACTCTTTTTTTTATCCCTTACACTTTTGTTGGTGTTCTATACGAATGCAACATCACCATTTCACAAAAGCAACAGCTGTTGATGCACCTCTCATCAATGCCCAAAAGTTGTGAAAATCCCTTTCCAATCCAGCCTATTGTAGCGGAAGATGCTTCAAAAACCTCCCTCAAATGGCATTTCTCTCCACTATCCATATCCCAAAGCATGCCATACCTCAAAACAGCGTCACCATTGGATCCTCGATTCAATTCTGATCAAAACTCCCTGTGGACTAAAGGAATAAGGCCAAACGAAGATTATCACTACAGCCAGCTTGAGCTTTACCGATTCCTGGTGGCTTCGTCAAAAGTAGCCAAGTACATCAGTTCATTTACAAAAGCTCCATTCATCAATTTGGAGAAGTGGTTTGGCAGAAAAGAAGGAGATTCACATCAACAAGAGGCTGCGTTCGCCAACTTTCTTTCAAAACTTAACACATCTTCTACAACGTCTCATTTCAAAATGATTCAATCTTTGTGGCTGTGAACAGAGCCGAAAACTAATATACAACGCTGTGAAGCGAAAAGTGAGGCGGCACTCAATTAAGGGCCGCAAGAAAAATATTCAGTCGGTCGAAGTTTACAAAATATCCTTGCCTTGCGTTGGGCGGTTGCTCGAGTACTGGGAGAATCCACTTTCGGATCCGGCACGAGCATGCTGATTGATGTGAGTAAGGGAGTTCAGGTTGATGTGTGCGTCCTCCTCTTCTTTCACCGTGTCGCTCAAACGCATGTTGCGGTCATTTTTTTTGGTGGACAACTTTCTGGTGATCTTGTCCTTGAATTTGCCAACGGCAGTCTTTTTAGGTTCATCATCCTCGCCTTCAATCTCAACAGCAGGGCTGGAGAGTTCATTGACAGATGCAAACTTTTCATCACGGGAGTGGCTGTGAGAAGAGATGGAGCTCGTTTCAACTTCATTCAATCTGTGCATTTCATTCTCCCAATCGTCTGAATGGTCTTGAGCAGCAGCACCCAACGCGAACAATTCGTTGGCAGCCTTGTCTTCACCACGCAAGTTTCTCGAAGATCTCTTGACCGAGGACTGTCTCAAGAACGAGGTTCTGTCGTCCTTGGCTGGGGCGAATCTGGAGTCTGGGTTTCTTGACAACATGGCGAAGCAGATCAAGACGAGAATCATGATCAACAAAAGCAACGAGAAGGCAGCATTCATGATGAAGAAAATCCAGCCCATGATGGAGGAGACTTGGGCAGGCTGGCCAAAGAGCTCTGAGAAGAAAAGGAACAAGAAGGAGTTCACGGTAGTCACCACAGCCACACAGTAACTGACGATGTTAGAACTCTTATCCAAGAAAGGTTTTTGGATGAACAAAAAGATGGTAAATGCCAAGTCGAGGATGAAAAGCACAAGGGTGGATGCCTTACCTGAACCCTGACACAAACCAATGAAAATACCCTTGATGAGGGTGTATCCGATGATAACGGTACCAAACCAGTATTTCTGGGCACGGAACATCGTGTAGCAGAAGCCGTACTTGTGGAGAATCTTGCTGTCACCATACAAGACAGCGGCGGGGTTGGAGTGTCTTTGGATTGAAAGTTTTCCGTATCTCCAGGTCTGGTAAAGGGAGAAACAAATAATGCCGATAGCTGTAATGAGGAAGAGCACAGCAATAACGATAACAGCAGGGGAATCTTGAACGGTAAATTCCCAAAGAGACAAGATCACCAACTGCGGGAACCCAATCCACAAATATCTCAACAAAGAGCCCTTCAAAATCGTGGAGAAGTTCTTTCTCAAATGAGAAAATCTATTGGGGTTCATGGCTTTCATACGAATCAAAAGAACGGCACCGGATCTCAAGAATACCAACACAGCAACCAAAAGGAAGCCGCAAAGCACGAAGAAGGTGAAACCGGTCACCACAATCGACGTGGGCTCAATGTGTGAGTTGTAGCCGATTCTCTTGATACCACGGAGAACACGCAAGTTTCTGTTGGAGTTCAAAGCAAAGTCGAGATCTCTAACGTCAAGATCGTGCTCGCTCTTCTTAGAAGCGAACTCCTGAGCTCTTTGAACCAAGATCTGCTTGTCCACGTTCTTGAAATACACCGTGGGGCTACCACCGGTGGCCTGGATATACCATCTGAAGATTTTCTGCATGAACTCAGTACGGATCAAGCCCATAGACCAAGCCAAGTTCTCGGCCCAGGCCGAAGCGATAGGTGGAACTCTCTGGACATGTTGCATCGAAACCACAACTACTGACTGGAAGTACATGAACAACGAGACAGCGTTAGTGGCAATATGGGCAGAAGCGTTAGAGTTACCAAAGGTAGACATGACAGCGGCAATAAGCAAGCCCAAGCCGGCAATAACTGCCGTTGCCCACTTGATACCGACCTGAGAAACAGTCTTACCGTTAGTGAAAGAACTCTGCAAACAAGACACGGTCTCGCCAGTGTCCTGGTTCATCACGATGACCTTCACCACCGCGTCGATGTCAGGGACCGTGTAGGCGATACCGGGGATCATGTTAACGTCATCTTTGTTGATGTACTCCACAGACTCAATCTGCATCGAACCGGGATACATAGGACAAAACTGTTTCCAGCCGATGTCACACATGTCGATATCCTTTTCAATAACAACAAAACCGTAAGCAAACACCTGAACGTGGGCTGTAACCTTGCCCGAGATATCCGTGTTCAAGTCCAAGTTATATTTAAGCGCCCGATTATCGGCATCAAAAGACACCTTAAAGTAGGATGGAGTGATCTGGGAGTTATCCATACATGTGACGAGCGAGGTCGCCGAAAGGGTTCTCCGAGCCCATGTTGGAGCAAGGAATATGAAAAATAGAAGCGTCCAGTTCATCACGAACGGCTGGAGCAAACGTAAGGGGGGAAGGTGGCTGTCAGGGGAAGCTGTATGCCAAGCGAGTGTATGTGAGGAATCAAAATCAACAAGTAGACAAGAAATGTGTCAGAAATGAGGCTCTTATTTTGCTCGGCTTTTTTTTCTTAGGTGTTGTTTGAGACAAGTTGATCCAGCTTTTGTAGAGGATCACCAGAGCCCCGATTAAGGAGCGCGAGAAGGGGGCTCAAAAAATTTCTACCGTGATGCGTGTCGCCAAAAATACCGCGAGACAACAACTGTAACTTAAATTTGGCATAGACTTCGCCTTTTGATTGCAAAAAAATCCTATATCGTTAGTCAGGGGGGTAAATCGTACCTATATGCCCAGAAAAGGGTTGCTTGTCATACCGAGGCGCCTGCACCGTTCCATTGTTGATGCGAGGGTGTGATTTTTCTAACGCGGCTCGTTTTGCAACCGCTTCAAAATCGTTTGTTTGCTCACAAGTGGTACTCAGCCATACGCGCCTCCTCCACTTTCACCAAGAGCTCCTCGCCCCAGACGTGCTTGATCACGTCCCAAAACTCCTTCGCATACACAACCCGAACGCCATATTTGTCGTAGAAGTAGTCCTCTGGAGTGCTGTTTTTGAAGTTCACTTCCTGGTTGTCCCTCAAGAGCTCGTTCATCTTCAGCGGATCGTTGATCTTCTGGACGTACTCCTCGAGGATATCTCTTCTGTTTTCACGTGGAACAATAATCTTCTGGATCTGGCCTGTGAGATGAGCGCCAAGCATCTTCTCCTTGAGACCGCCGATAGGCAACACGAGTCCCCTAAGCGTGATTTCACCTGTCATGGCGATATTCAGTGGCACAGGCTTCTCAAGCAACAACGAGAGGAAGGAAAGCGCCATCGTGATACCAGCAGAAGGGCCATCCTTTTGCACGGCACCACTGGGCACATGCATGTGGATCTCAAGGTTGTTGAGCTTCTCGAGCACCTCTTTGGCATTGTCGATGTTCCACAAACCCTTGTATAAAGTGTTCTTAATGAACGTCATACCAATCTTGGCACTTTCCATCAAAACCTCACCAAGACGACCCGTCATGTTGAGCGAGGTGCCGCCCTTCTCGTTATTGAAGCCAATGCTCTCAAATATGAGGACAGAGCCAGAGCCGTCGGTATTGTAGGACAAACCGTTGACCACACCATACTTGGCCAGCTGAAGAGGAACTTCCACAATCTCATTGTTCAAGTTAGGAATTGGCATTCCAAGATACTTCGACAAATCATACTCCTCCACACGAGGGTTGTACTGCAATTTGCTGTCGTTGAGACTGTCCGCAAACTCCACTGCTTTGTAACGACAAACAGTACCCAACTGCCTCTCAAGGTTACGCACACCAGCCTCTCTAGTGTAGTCAAGGATAATCTTCTTCATCACATCGTCGTCAATGCTAACCAAGTTCTCATCGGGGAAACCATTACGCTTGGTTTGTCTCGACAACAAGTACTTCTGACCAATGACAAGTTTCTCACTGTAGTCGTACGCACCAATGTCAATCATCTCCAATCTGTCGAGCAAGGGCCTGGACAAGTTGTAAGGCTCATTGGCGGTACAGATAAAAATAACCTGTGACAAGTCGATTGGGAAGCCCAAGTAGTGGTCCATGAAGTTGTTGTTCTGCTCAGGGTCAAGAACTTCGAGCAAGGCAGCAGCTGGGTCACCGCTGAATTTGGCACCGCCACTTGCTCCACCAACAACCTTGTCAATTTCATCAAGAAGAATGACAGGGTTCATCGACTTGGCTTTACGCAACGCCTGAACAATAGTTCCAGGCATGGCACCAACATAGGTTCTTCTATGGCCACGAATCTCGGACTCGTCTCTAACACCTCCCAAGGAGACTCGTTGGAACTTTCTTCCCAAAGTGCCGGCAATCAGTTTGGCGAGCGAAGTCTTACCAACACCAGGAGGACCAGCCAACATGATGATGGGGGACCTGTTGTTCTTGGAAGCAAGGAGCTCCTTGGCATCCCTCTCCTTCTTAGCACTGGTCATATCTTTAGATTTCTTTATCCTGCTATCGGCCTGTTCCTTCGAGCGTCTGGTCTCGTCGCTATTTGGAATTATGATGGCCTCGCCATTGTTTGATTCTCTGGTAAACTTTCTGTTTTCACGTTGGGCCTGCAACTCCTTCTCACGCTGGGCTTCCTTTATACCCAATCTCTCATACTCCTTGTCAGCATTGATACCCAAAAGCTTCAAGACGACAAGGTACTGCGTAAGTCTCTTCTTGACATGATCCAAGCCGTAGTGATCTTCGTCAAGCTGACGCTTGGCCTCGACAATGTTAATGTCTTTGTTCGACTTAAATTTGGAAACAAACTTGTCCCAAGGCATGTCCATGACAATCTCCAAGTAGTTTCTAATAACATGGAAATCAGCGTTACCTGGAGGAGAAGACTTGATTCTCTTAAAATCCTTGGTAATTAAGCGCTTGCTATCCTCACTCAAGGAAGTGATCTCAGGTAGTCTATTCTTGATGAAGTTGGCGATTGCCCGAATATCATCGTCATCATCACCTTCATCATCATCACCAACAGACTCCGGGTTACTGGCGCTGCCTCTAGAAGAAATCGGTCCAGCACCATTCTTGCGAACAAGGGCTCGCTGATTGGCATTATTGTTTGCATTGTTGTTGTTACCCTTCTGTGTGAGACCCTCGAGAACAACACGAATGGACTTAAGCTGGTTGGCGACCATGTTGGCCCTCTGAATGTTAGAAGCCTCATTGTAGAACCAGTGATTGACCATCTTATTGTTCTCCTTGAGAGCACCAAACACTTCGGACATCTTGCTGATCATGACATTGATCTCGACAACTCTGTCCTTCAACTCCGTGGTGCCAAGCATCTTAAGCTTCTCGTGATTGGGGAACGGTATGATGGCAGCGGTCAAATCTACTATACGCAGCAAGTTACGTGGGTTGGACTTCTCCGCTGTAGTCAAACTGTTCACGATCTTCTGCAAACTTTGGTAAGCTTTAGAGAAGTCTTTGGAGCCAGCAAGCTGCAAGAACAAGGCATTCGCCAAAGGGTTTAATGTTAGCAAATCACTCTTCTTATCTTGGTTCTTCCCGGCGTTTTGCATAGCTTGGCGGTATTCCGTCACAAAGCGGTCGATAGCATTAAACAAGATGTGCGTTGACGACTTGAGCGTTTGCAAATGACTAGCAGGGTTATCCAACTTATCATTCCAGTGAACTTTGAGCAAAGCTTCGGTGGGTTTCTTTGGCTTGAAGCCTGGAACCTTGGTAGCACGCTGAAGAGCCTGCAACGTGAGCTTCACGTTCGTGGTGTCGTCAACAATACCCACAATACGGACTATAGTGGCAGTTTCCGAGGAGTCTGCAGCCAGTTCAGAGCGAGATTGAGGACTGGGAATCTTGCTCAAATTGGGAGAAACGGCGAGAACAAGCCAGTCAAATTCCGAAGAGGGCTGTATGTTGTGAACCTCTGGAACTCCCTTGGTTTTGGTCTGTTGCTCCATGTTGTAGAAGTGCTGAATACCATCAAAAGCATCCTGGGTGATAGCAGACGACTCTGAAGCGGCAGAGTCAAAATCATATTCTGACAAAAGGGACTTGACCAAAGGCACGGAGTCTACTTTGTCACGGAAACGTGAAAGCAAAGCAGCCGCCTTAAACCGGGAGAAGCTGACATTATAGATGATACCCGGAAGAAGTACCAAGGAGGAGTCCAAGGTATAATTTGTAAGGACCACCTGTTGCAGAACCAAGCCGTCTTTGACGGTAGTTGAGTTTTTGAACTTGGTCATGTAAAAGTTTTGATTTGGTGGTGGTTTGGTGGTGGCTGTGTGTGGAAAAGGTGTGGTGTTAAAAGAGGCGAAACCTGGGGTATCTAAATGCTCGCGATATGACGATTCTCCATATGATAAGTACCCGGCAGGAGTGTGTGCAGGAGCCGAGGTAACCCAGAACCTTCCACGGCACCTCAGACCCCACAAGTTCCGAGAATGTTTTTAGAGATGATTTCACATCAAAAAGGGTTTTGTCAAAATACTCATATTGTATAGATTTTCGTAATTCTTGAAAATTTCGGAGGTTATATAGGTGCACTGGAGCATCCACAGTAAGTGAGCCCGATCAGGATGTCCTGATCTAGTTGTGGGGTGGGACTTATTGGGAATCTAAAATCAGGCAATACCGATAAATTTCACTGAGGCAGCTATTAGAGTGGCTCTGTGAAATCAATGTGTTTAATTAAGCTTACCTGTTTGTTTCTGCGTTCTTGGATTCGTAGAAAATGTAACTGTCACCAGATGCGGCGATAGCCGGATTCACAAGATGGAAGTTTTACAATTCACTTTTGGTTATGAAAGCTCCGTTGGTTTGTCAAGCCCTATTTGAGATGCTTACTATGTACATAATATGAAGCTGTAAGTTGCTACTCGAAAAGTCATCAATACAACAAAGCTTACCTCAAATAAAACCGTCAGGTAAACTCCGAGCCCGATGGAGTACCCAGTGAGTTGACATGCACTTGATTGATCATTTTGGTGTCACCATATCAAGTATACCCAACTCCGAGCGATCACTGGCAAGAAGCTTGAGTAGTGTTGTTGATACTCTTGAGAAAAGACCCTCCTCTTCTCTCATTCAGAACCTTACAAAATATCCTTAAGGTTGACTTGGCCCGTGCCTCTAGCCAAAGGCTGAGGTTGTGTTTCGCTCTTTTTCCAACCGATCATATTGATGACGTTGAACGTTGCTGGCAAAGTAATCTTTCCATCAGGGCCTTCCTCACCGTGCAAACTTTTGCAAATCTCATTGGCTGCAAGCAAGACATCCTTCGGCAAATGGTTTGCACGAGAGATTAAACTATTTTGCTCGCCCATGTTCTGCAAATCCTGGCACATGGCAACGATATCTGGGTAACCTCCAACAACTATGTCCTCGGTGTCAATGGTCAACATCGAAAAGCCAGCACGGTTGAGTAGAGAACCCACATCATTCAAATGCACCAAAGGCGACATTCTTGGGGACATGCCACCTCTTCTTTCTAGCTCGGCAAGCTGCAATGATGTCCGAAGCTCGTAAAGTGTGTCCCCTCCGAATATAGTACCCATGAACATTCCATCGGGCTTCAAGACCGTATTGATATTTTTTAAAGTCTGTGGCAAATCATTGATCCAGTGAAGGGAAAGGTTAGAAATCACGGCGTCAAACAGCTCCGGTTGGAGAACCTCGTGGTCAAAGCTCTCCTCATCGGCCACAATCCGTTGAATCTTGCCAGGAAACTCTTTTAGGTAATCTTCATTGGCATCTCTGAAAAGCATGCTCTCCGATGAGTCCAACATCACCAACTCCTGAATCTTGCTTTTGATCTTGACCTTGTCCTCGTTGAGTTGCTTAGTCATTTCCTCGTCAGCATGATCGCCACCAGGTGGAACCTCCAGCTTCTTGCATAAGCTCTTCAAGAAGTTACCAGAATGACAACCAAAATCAAGCACACGGGGGAACTCTCTGAGAATGAACCCTAGTCTCTCCACCGTCCTGAGAGAAACCTCATCCCTGAGATAATCAGCCTTTCTGGAAATCTCAGGATGCAAAGCCGCCCTGTTTCTTTGCGAAAGCTTAGTGGCACGATCAAAGACAGTAAATTGACCTTTTGTAGCTGTAGCGAGACCACGTTTAATCATACCTGGGGTTGCAAAGTGTTGATGCTTCATCTCTGCGCGCTATCGTACAACAAGGTATATGGTAAAACACACACCGAGGCCGTATCTACGGCAGTTGGCGAAGGCCATTGGGAATCAAAAAGTGAAATCCCTACCGTACCTTTTTCCATACACCAAAGAATTGTCCATTGCAGATGCTAAACGATTCAGTGACATCTATGCGAGAAAGGTGAGGACGAAGAGTCTTCCTAGTGAGAGTCTGGATATTGAAGAGGCGTTATTCTTCCATGCTGTGGCAAAGAGAACAGATCACTTGATTGATACAGCCAGGCTCTTACGTGATAGCATTGAACATCGCTTGAAAATAACACCTCAGATGTACTTGATGATGCTTCAAGGTATCGAGCGGTCTAAGAACAAAGACCTCACCTCGACAGCTGTATCTCTTTACATTGAGTTACACAATGGAAGGTTTATAATGACATCAGAGGATCGTAATCTTGCTGCCTCCTTGCTTCTAGACATCTTTAAAGGTTGCAAAAACATCACAGACTTATTGCAGCTCAAGATCGCCTATGAGAACCACATGACTAACTCCGTGACAGACAAGACTCTTGAAATACGCTACATTGGAACCTTCATCGAAGCTTTCCTCAATTCAGGACAGTATACTCGAGCAGTTGAGCTATTCGAAAATGGCTTTGCAGACTTGGCAACTGCCCAGTTCTCGACAAACCAGGTATTGGATTACCTCCCCACGAAGCAAATCTTGTTGGCCATGAGTCAACACGGGGATGTTGAAAAGCTTACTCGTTGGCTTGAGGTGGTTGTCGAAGCGAACCGTTCGTTGTTGGATTACGATACATGGTCAGAATTCTTGAGCTTAGGACTTTCCCAAAACCACTACGGTCTTGTTAAGCTCATCTACTCTCGTTTGATTATGCTCGAGCTTGAAGATGTCTCATTAGATGAGGTGATGTTCTCCAATAAGCTCGAGGAATTGGAAAACAAAAGTGGCGTACTTTCTTCCCTTAGCGAGAAGACATTAACGGAAATCCTTCATACGTTGGCATCAAATGGTGATGTAAACTCCACGTTGAGCCTAATAGAGTGGCACTATGTTCACAAGAAGCTCAAGGGCGAGAAAGCTCTTACCAAAGATCTCTGCTTGGATATCATACTATCATATTGTTACCACAAGGACGATACCCCTAGTCTGGAGAACCTTAGTATCCAGAATGTTCTCACTACCATCAACAACTTTACTTCAAAGCTTGATGCCGAGTTTGTCCTTTCGTATAGAGATATCTGCGACGCTATGTCCTACAGGTTTGTCAGGTATAATGTGATTGACTCCAACGTCGAAACGGCAGATATCAGGGCTAGAGCTTCTTTTAATAAGGCCCAAGAATTCGAAGAGGATGACGAAAGCAAGCCTCGTAAAATACAGAACAACAATGTGTACAATTCGAGGCAGGGCAATATTCTTAAGAATTCGGAAATACTTGACGGCTTCGTTAGGAGCATCGTCAACTACATCATAGAGGAGAAGTTTACTATCAAGACTCTCCGCATATTTATCAACTGCGTCCTTCATCACATCATGAAGTATCAAAACGCAACTGGCATGATTGTTGCATTGCTGGCAATGCATCAAATCCACCCCAAAATGGCATCAGAATGGCTCGATAATGAGCTGTTCGATATAATCACAAGAACTATCTCGAAGTCACCAGCTGCGAAGCTTGTGAGTTTTGAGATGTATCGTTTCATGAAGAGCAAATCTTTAGATATAAGTCCATCTCATTACAGGGACTTCATAGCATCTGCATCTAAAGGACCCGATAACGAACTTTTGCAGCTCTATCTCCACGAGTCACTGGTCTCCCCAATCGCAACACAGAAGTCACAAAACTCGCCTAATCAAACGGTTCCCACAGCATACAACGAAGAAGAGAAAGTTGAAAGAAAGCGATACTACGATATTGATAAACGCGACTCGGGGTATCTCAAAATTATTTTGAACGAAGATAAAACAAACTAAGATCGTCATCATTACTTAAAGTATGGTTCACTCACGGCCCGCTCCAAATCCAGAGCGCTGATTTCAACCAATGTGCTTCTCTGCTTGTCGAGAACTGGGGCCCTGCCAACAAGGCTGTTATCCTTGTTGTGATTTCTCTTGCCCAAAATTGAATCTTCATGCAAGTTTGAAAACGTTGAGGAGAAACTGTTGTTGAAAGAACTCATCATTGTGGAATCCATGGCCATTCTCATGATATTTTCAGCGTGACACGCTAATGGGTCCTGTGTTGAAGTGTCGACATCTTCGCCACTACGTTTGGCGTGATCTACCACATTTTTTGCTTTCACTGGAGTTTTCCTGGACTTTGATGCCCTATCTTCACCTTGGTTGTCTTTCTTACCGTGAGGAATTGCTTCAAGGATTTTTCTTGACCTTTTCTTTGTGAGCTGTGGAGTTTTTGGCTCTGGAGGTGTGAACATCTTGGTGTACGGCATATCCAAAATGTAGGCTTCAATGGCCTGTTGGGAAGCTCCAAGAATGTCATCCAATGGGTTGTCTTGTGGAAGAACGATGGACTCTGGACTGTTTTCTGTACTCTTGAAGTCCTTGACATAAGGCTCACGAACCACTCTGGGTTTAGTTTCGGAGAATGTCACATCTATTTCAAGATCTCTGTTCACCTGAGCATCTCTGGAGAATGACTGTGCTTCTGGGTCAACTGAAGGTGCACGAGGGAAGGTGTATGGCAATGCAAGGGAGCTCATGATGCAAAGAAGAAAGTCAGGCAGGGGCCCTGCTTATCTATATAAGTCATTACGCTTTAGGCAAGCAAATTATTTATGTTTATGTTGTAGCCCAATGCGGTATTGACATCGAATTCGGGGTGCGATCGGAGTGCTTCAAGGACGAGTTTCAACAAAGCTGACCATGCAGCCAAGTGCATATACTTGTTTCGGGATTTAAAAGGACGATATATTTCATTTACACGGATTCTGTCTCTATTAGAAGTTTGATCTCACACGTGATCTCGCACGTGACTACGTGGCATCATGTGACTACACACGTGCCAAAACCGTTGATAAATATTTGCTACGAAACGCGTTGATGTGATTGGCTGAAATCGTGGACCCGATGGGGTCTTTATATTTATAGGTATAAAGCCGTAGCTCTAGTGGGCACTATGATACAAGGCATTAGGAGCGCTCTAGTAGTTGCCAGGTTGTCAAAAGCCTGGTGTAAATGCAAAAAGTCAGTGTGTCAAACAGCTGATCAGTTGATGATTTGTGGATAAAGTTCAAAAGTTCTTTGCTCAGTTCAAAGATCCAGAATTAGCTGGACTCTTTCTCCTTCTTATTGAGCTGGGCATGCTTCAACCTCTCGTCAACAACAGACTCATTACCATGGACGCTGTCAACAGGACAAGGGACAATCTGGTTAGCGCCCACCAATAGGAAGCAAAGAGCAAAGGTGGAGCTGAAAATGGATTGGGTTAATCTGCCTCTTTGGGATGCTCTGATAAACATTGTTGTGTTGTGTGTGTTGGTTGTTGGATGACTGTTTTTCAAGGATGGGTGAAAATTTGAATATATAGATCGTCGTCGAATGGATTACCGGACTTTATGTGAACTTGACACAAGGCCTGTGTTGGAAACAGAGTAATGCAACGAAAAGGGCAGCTGTCGAAAAAAATGATACCACGACGAAAAAAAAATATAGAGCCAGTAGATGCGGTCAAGAGGAAGCGTGGGCAAGGTTGCCGGTTATGTGCAGTATTCCATCGGATGGCTCCAATCACCAGTCGTGAATTTAAAACAAGGAGTTATCGGTGAAATCAAAAAATTGGCTGAATAAAGTTAGCCTGAAGAATTAAATAAAAGACTCACCCTCATTTCAAAATTTGCTTCGGTGTTTGGTGTTGTTCTGGCTCGAACTCTTTCGGCTTGGCTGCGAAATACGTTTTAGGCGCCGCTGCAAAATAGGCTGATTCTTCAGATAAGAGGGGTTCGGGGATAAACCAGGATATGACATTTGAAAAATTGCTGAGACATCACCAGATGTGGTCAAGCTAGATGGAAGATGTTTGTATTCTGTCGTTCGTCTCAGCTATGGATTTCCAGATGAGTACGAGTAAATCCAAGTATTTGAAATAGTTTACTTGATTCAACAACGTCGGGAATGTCAAGACTGGAGCATAGACTTGGTAATATCTTTACCTTTAAGTCTGCCAAAAGGTCCCTTCATCAAATGTAGAACTTCTACATGAATGTGCTCTCGCAAAGTTGATGTCCACAAAACTAATGAATACCAAGAAGGGCATGGCAATACTACGATTTTTGACCTCATCATCTCGTCTTCTCCTTCGAATTTACACTCTATGTTTGTCATTTTCAATCAAACATATTGTCTTGCACCACTGAACTCTATGGTAAGCTCATCCCGCCAAGCATCATCGATAATCCTTTTCCTGTCCCACATACCTACATTCCTCTCTCCGTAACCGTATATTTACAAGTATTAGGTTCTCTTGCGAGTGTATGCTATGCTGTCAGACTGTGCTGACCAGCCTATGAGGCCTTAGCCTGGTTTATGTTCCCTTTACAACTTTCCGACTTGCGTGAAGCCCTTGGCCCACTGTGGCTTATCCAACTTCTTAGCGTCTTCGACCTGGTTTTCTTCTAACAAGTCGATTGAGACCAACTCTTTGACGATTCTGAGCCTATGAGCAGTGGCTGCAGAGACTTTTTGGTAAACTGTTTGGTTTCTTCTTCTCAAGCCGAGAGCCTTGATGTTCTTCCTCGTGATAGGAGGCATACCAATCGTAGACCTTAGCTGCGTTATGCGATAAAACAAACTTTTGGACATGGCGTAGATAGTGTTGATGTATAGAGATATCAGTGAGGTTGAAAATTTTGGTATTATGGAACATCCGTACACCAGCTTACCCCAGCACCTAGCACCCTCCGACAATTCCATTCAAATATGGGTATTTTTGTTTTTTGAATCTCTTTATATTAAGTTGATTTGGTAAATTGTGTAAATTTACTCTAATGCAGCCTGTATAGCCCGTCATTAGGTTCACAATGCTCTCACTTTTTGCCCTCATAGTTACCGATTCGCAGCCATTACAGATGCCATACTATAGCAAAACATTGACACATTCAGTCTTTAAAAAACCTTACCAAGATCAATAACTGACAGTTGCTTTGAGGCATCACTCATATCCCACTCCCAATTCCTCGGCCTCAGGATATCATGGGAATTACGCCAAAGGACCTGGTCCACCATAAGCTCAATGAGCAGATCCAAACACTACTACGATCCACAGAAACTACTCTCAATTCGGAAGTGCCAGAGCGGGAACAAGCACTACTATGTGACCCTAGCCTCTCCAAGATTAGGGACTTGCTTGCAGACTTTGAGCTTGTCCCCAAACAACTCGATCCATTCCTACTGCAACACGTTGATCTACTCAGCAGAATATTCTTGAAAGTGGTGCCGGGCTCGTCAATGGCAACTCGATGTTCCATATGCTTCTACCAACTCTGTATTATTAGGAATTACAAGCATGTGGTGAACTTCTTATCCGATGACATCTCGCTTGGCGTCCCGCTTGTCAAAAGGATCCAGGATTCGAGAATTGGGGAATATGAAACGTACTTTCTTTTGCTATGGCTCTCATCTCTAGTCATGGTACCTTTGCCCTTGGAAGGAATCATGAGTGGACTCCCGAAGTTATTGCTTGATGTGGCAATGGAGAATCTAACGAAATTTGAAAGCGCTAGCATGACCCAGAAGATAAGTGCTGTGTTGCTCTCGAGACTTCTATTGCGATCAGATTGCAGTGACATGCTCGTCTCCTACATAACCTCCTGCTGTGATTGGTGGCACGATAGGACCAACAGTGAGAAGCTAGGTCATCTTATGGCAATCAAATTGATACTCAAGCAGTCTTCAAACCCGACTGTTGCAAACTACACCCTGGAAATCTATAACAAGATCATTCTTACGGACTTGCTGCTGATAAAGTACCATAAGAACTGCCTGATACCCAACACAAACACCTTGTACATAATGGGCATTTTATCTCGATTATCAAGATTCTATCTCCAGCAAGCTGAATATTCAAGCGTGTCTGCCATTGTGAACAACTATATTAATGACATCCTAAACCCAATGTCTGGCCGACTTGATATCTCACTACGAGAGTCCATGGCCAAGTGTCTCAGCAAAATCGTCTCCTTCTTGCAACTCAAAGCTGTCAATTACGCAGAGCAACTCACTTGGTACTTAACTAAGCAGCTTCGCATACCTGAGTTTGAAAGTCAGACTACCACGTACAATCCATACCTTACGATTAATTCCTCCAATTTGTCAGTGGCCAAATTTCACACTGCACTACTATTCTACGGATTTCTTGGCCTTGATAGAGCCATTCCATTTAATTTCGTGCCAGCGCTTCTATCAGTGGCCCACAGGACACTCTTCATATCCTCGACTCAGTTCTCCATCATACAAAACTCCCAAATCAGAGATGCATCGTGCTTCTTTTTATGGGCGCTTTTTCGTTCGCTTTCTCAGGATGACTTCCGAGAACTCATGTCAAATACAACTATGATCCATGATATTTGGGCTGATATTCTCAGAGTGCTCATATGTGATGAAGACCCATTAATACGGCGTTGCGCTGTGCCAGTTCTTCAAGAGTTTATTGGTCGCTTCGGTCCTTTATTGGCACAAATTACAAGGGGTAAAGATTCCAGACGTTTGGTAGAACAGACTGCTTCCCTTGTTGATACAGAGAGGGCTTTGAGTGGGAGTGAATTTGTTAACTATGGCTATCCGGCTCTGATTTTGATACCGACAATCATGGATGTGCTTACTTCTTCCAATGTCCGCTTTGCATACTATAATCGCTGCTCCCAACTTCTTTTGGAACTTTTGAGTGCTCGAAGTACTCTCGAAGTTGCCTTTGAAACTTCGATGACTGATGTTGATTATCAAGAGGCACTTCTTAAAGCTTTTGAAAACGGAAATTCTCTTGCTCTCTTACCTTTGGGGGGTCTTTTGAGATGCAATGGGGCAGTTGAAAAGATCCGGCTGCGGGTTCAGCCTGATTTGGCCCTGGTGTTACTGCATCACGCTGAGTTCGTTCATAGGGTAAGCTACTTCTATTGGTACAGCTCATGCATCACTAGCCAAAACGATTATTGTGACGCAGAGAACGCATTTTGGGCGTTATATCTACCTGTGATAGCCAACGAGACGGCGACGAAAGGTGAAATCAAGGATGTGGTTATTTTAAGTTTGGAGGCTACTGAACTTCTACAGGTGCCCACCGAGATCTTTGAGGACATTTGCAAAAGGTTGAAGTTTGGAAACCTTCAAATTGCTAGTATGCTTCCTTGGTGTGCTTTCAATGTGTCTCAAAAGGAGCACATCCTTCAGATGATCTCCGACAAGAGCGTCGATGCAGAGACAAGAGCAGCTTTGATTGAAAATTGCAGTGACCTGACTGTCACAAGCAGTTTTAAACTCCCTTGGCAAACGTTATTAGACGACTACACACTTACGAACAAGGGTGATGTTGGTCTGAAGGTCAGATTAGCATGTCTTAAACACCAACTAGAGAAACCTAGTCTCGAGCTGAAAGACATTGGTTACAGATCAAAGCTCGTTCGTCTCGCAGCTGAGTCAATGGATAATGTGCGTATACTGGCCTATGCCCTTCTAACTGGTGAAGATATTCTGACCTTGAGAAGTATCACCTACGATGAATATTTCAGCAGGCTATTTAGCGCTTACAGTAAGCTAGAGGAAGAGCTCAGAGCCCCTTTTTGGGAAGGTTTGGTTCACTCTGTTGCTGGTCTTAAGATTTCCAAAGCTTTAGTGAACCTGGCATTCAGGCGATGCCTCGTGTGGTTTGATGGAGTCCTGGCTTCGATTAAGGAAGAGGCTCTATCAATTTTACTTCGCCAACTCAAGCTTCCCAAGCCATTTGCGCAATTGGATCATCGACATCAAAAAAAGCTTCTTGCCACGCTTAACTTGTTTGTCAAGCTTTTTGAGGCAGCTGTCGAGTTACCACAATTCAATCACAGTGCCCTCTTTGTGAGGACGTATAATCTCCAGCTTAATGCTCCTGTAACGAGGTCGGCCTTGGCTCTACAGATATTCCACCATTTGAGTGTCATACCATCAGAAGTCACGCAAAAGGCACGCCAAAGAGTGTGCCAGTTATCTTTCCAAGCTTCAAACCCACAGATTCGTCGCTTGGCGGGAGACAACTTATTTGAAATAATCAACGACTTGGCACCCTCCAAATTGAGCCTTCTTGAGTACACTGATGGATATTACAAACCTACGCAAACCAATTGCAAGATATTAGAGAGCCAGCTCTCGTGTATTTAAACTATACATGCCAATGCCAAAGGTATACAGCGCCAGCGCCGCTCACAAACCAACCATAAGGTTGTCGTCCTTACTTTGCAAAGTACCAGCATCCAAGTAGGTGACGTAGCTCCACCTCCTTTTTGGGGATTCTGGGGTTTGTGGAGCCTGGAGCAAAGCGGTATCATCCACGAAAGTGGGCTTCTGGGGCATTGAGGTGTTTTGAGTTCTGAAAGCGTCGAAAAATTTGGTGAACGGCATTTTGTTAATGAAAGAAAAAGTCGGTGTTGTGTGATGAAAAAAAGAGCGGAGACACGAGCTACTTATACCTCCTCGGCAGTACAGCTGCAGAAAGTGTGGAAACTATCGTATGTGGGCTATCAGTGCAGGGGGTGACACCCCTCCGGCACAGTCGCGGGTTTGTGTGCAGTATTCGATTGAAGAAAGCTGGGGAAGAATGCAAAGATCACCTCTATAGAGACTCCCCTCAAGGGCGCAAAAAGATAACGGAGTGCGCCAGCATGTGCCGAATGTCCTCATTACCATAGTCTTTGTCAAAATAGATATATCGTTTCATAAAAATTCCCAAGTTCTTGTCGTGAGGCGGTGGCGATATCTTGATCACGGATTTGCGTCCTGCGCCAGAATCACATGGACAACGGGTTTCGGAAAAAAAAAGTGCGCATGGAGGCAAAAAAAGTGATTTCGCCCAGGATCGAACTGGGGACGTTCTGCGTGTTAAGCAGATGCCATAACCAACTAGACCACGAAACCAACTTGAAGGATGAGGAGATGGGGTTGAATATGTCACGCAGATTCAACTTTGTCGCCTTTTTTTGAGATACACAACTATGCGCTCTCAAAACTAACACGAACTTTCGACATCTTGAACCTTGATCTTTTTACATAAGGAGTTTTGGCCCAATCTAACTACTTCTTGCACCGCTTTTATCCCTCTAACAGACCAGATCAATTATGCTTCGATCGCACCTAGGGTTCAGACGCCACCAAACCTTACTGGGTTCTGAACAAGGCCCGGTCTTACATACACAAAATTAGATGCCGGCAAAGCAGCTGCAACCAGGCAAATATTAATACACCAAGCTCCAAGAGGCGATATTTTTATCGATACCTCGTGGCACCTTATCACAGGTTGTTGCCCCTTACGGCATGTAGCGGCGTGGGGCGCATAGCCAGACATATATCACTCTTCTTTTACCATGGTGATAGGGTTAGCATTTACCACGAAGGCAGCGCTCACGATGGGAGTCGTTGTGGGCGGCACGATCGCTGTGGTTTCCAACATGGATAAGATTCTAGAGCTTCTGGCTGAGCTTTTGCAGAAGGGGGCGGATTTCTGCAACGAACAGATAGAGAAGAACAAGATTCAGATGGCATCGCAAATGGAGGATGGCGAGTTGGACTTTGACCAGGAGAGAGAGGTGGCGGAAAAAGGCACGTCTTCCGGGTTTAGAAGAGAAGGCTCCGTTGCATCGGAAAGTGCACATGAGACTGATGGTGAGACCGATAATGCTCGCGAGACAGAAAGCGAAACCGAAGGTATTTTGACTGACGGCTGGGACGATAGTGACATGGACGGGTGGCAGCTGGCTCACTTGTCGGAGTCGGAGTTTTCGGAAAGCTACGACGAGATTGACTCGGAGCCGGTCTCCAGAGCGACCTCCGCCATTTCCAGTGTGTCTTCGTACGGACGCATGTCCTCGATGTCTGTGGACTAGGTGGCTGCATCAGGTAATTAAAGGTTTTTAGGATAAAGTAGTTGATTTTGGAAGTGGTTGTAGATTTGAGCATTTGAGTGATTGGTGCGAATACATTGCAATTTGCACCCATTAGGTATTTTGACCCATGGTTCGGAAATTAAAAGTTGCTCATATTTACATTGATGGAGAGCCTATGAGGTGAATGTTAAGGTTGATTATGATGGGATAGGAGGGTTGGCTTTGGCTGGCTTCAGGCTTTTGTTGCACTTCCTTATTCACTATACCTGACCGTTTGCTGCATTGGAGAGACTTGATTGTTCTACTTCGAATTTCAAAACTAATTTATAAAAAGAGAACATTTAGTTGGCTCAACTGCTTTGAAAAATTTATGGGGAGAAACGGACCAGAGTACACCAATCTCGCTGCAAGCAATCAGTCTGCGGCATTACGAAACCAGATGTCATGAACCTCAGCGACCACACAGTAACACAGATATTTGATTTACACAAGGAAATTTCCATCGATTTGCCAATTCCAAGACGACCTCCGTTGCATAGAATTAATCTCTTCAGAGAAGCCAATACCTTTGACTTCCTCACCTCAAAGCGCCGCGGTACCCCACAAAGTCGAGATCAGTAGATAAAGCAATTGCACAACCAATCCCTATAATGATCAACCGAATTGAAAAATATGTTCACTTCCACCACCGTCTATCTCATTCCGTTCATCTCTCACTCTCTTCTCCTCACAAACCCAAATTCTCACCAAAGCAACATTCCAACACTTGCAGCCTGTCACCCCACGAATCACCCCACAAATTCCCCTACTTCAGCGCTTTCTACAATTTTAGAGACCAATCAAGCTTCCATTAAACCGCTTCAAATCTTGTAGAACTTTCCTCAAGTTCCATAAAATCATTACTCTTCGAACCTCCGAGCAACGCTCCTGGAATCACTCTCGGCGGGTCACCTGTCACCATGCATACTAGTATGATGATGCCCCACCATGCCCCACTACATCGGCGCACCAACTTTTTCACCACTTCCAACCACTTGTGCTCATGAAAAACCCATCTCTTGTGCTTAACAAAATCGACGACATCCTGTTTGAGGAGTTCGACGCTCCCACCGTCGAGGAGCCCCACGACGTCATTGTCGAGGTGAAGAAAACGGGCATTTGCGGCTCGGATATCCACTACTATGCTCATGGCAAGATTGGTGACTTTGTCTTGACTAAACCCATGGTCTTGGGCCATGAGTCCGCTGGTGTTGTGTCCCAGGTTGGGCCGGCTGTCACGTCTGTTAAAGTCGGCGACAGAGTGGCCATTGAGCCCGGTGTGCCCTCCAGATTGAGCAACGAGTACAAGACTGGAAAGTACAACTTGTGTCCACACATGGTGTTTGCAGCAACGCCCGAGTCGGACCCAGCCAAGAAGAACCCACCAGGAACCTTGTGTAAATACTTTAAGTCGCCCGAGGACTTTTTGGTCAAGTTGCCCGACCATGTGTCGCTTGAATTGGGTGCACTTGTGGAGCCATTGAGTGTGGGTGTCCACGCTGCCCGTCTTGCCAAGATCACTTTTGGTGACCACGTTTTGGTGTTCGGTGCTGGTCCCGTCGGTTTGCTTGCTGCGGCTGTGGCTACCAAGTTTGGTGCTGCTTCGGTCACCGTGGTGGACATTTTCGATACCAAGTTGGAGATGGCCAAGGACATCGGTGCTGCTACTCATACCTACAATTCGAAAACCTCAGAAAAGCCCATCAGCGCCAACCCTCCATCGGGACATGCTCCCACCGTGGTTTTGGAGTGCACTGGTGCTGAAATTTGCATCCAACAAGGTGTGCTTGCATTGACTCCCGCTGGTAGGTATGTTCAGGTTGGCAACGCCGGCGGTTACGTTAAGTTCCCCATCACAGAGCTCGCCACTAAGGAAGCTACCCTCCACGGCTCCTTTAGATACTCTTTCGGTGATTACCAAACCTCCGTGGGCATTTTGGATGAAAACTACAGAAATGGCAAAGAAAACGCCAAGGTTGATTTTGAGGCCTTGATCACAGACAGATTCTCCTTCAAGGACGCCATCAAGGCCTACGACCATGTGCGTGCCGGAGGCCCCATCAAATGCATTATCGATGGCCCTGAGTAGTTGCAAAAGATATAGATTAATGCGTATAATACAAATATTTTAGCCTAGTCCCCGGCTCAATGTGGTGCATGCTCGCCGAATCCACGGCCATGGCGCAAGTTCATCAAGTCATTGGCCACATCCTCGTTTTTGATTTCATTCTCCTTCATACCTTCACCTAGGTAGAGGTTGTTGTTGAGCCCGTTACTTTTGGAGATGCTGCCTTGTCTGCCATAAATGGTGGGTGAAAGCGGACCTGAGTATTGGCCACCTTGTGGGTTTGGGTACATGCCCATGTTAATTGGCATAATAGGTGGAAGCTGCACTGCAGCCTTGGATTGGTCATGGACCGGGGTGGATCCGGGCTGGAGATTGGAATGCTGCTGCTCCATGGGCTGTGACATTGAATGCATAGGTTGTGGGTTTTGTTGGGTCCGTTCTTTCTCCATTTCCTGTTTTCTGCGTCTTTGTTGTTGTGACTTCTCAAAAAGAAGGTTGGTCTTGTACTTGATGTACTTGAGAACCTTCAAGTACTTGAGATCCTCGTCCATATCCTCATCGTCCCAGTCGATGTCATGTTCTCCAAAGTCCTCATCATCAGATTCCTCAGCCAGACGCTTGTCCTTTAAAATTTCATCACGAAGCTCGTCGTTGATAATGCGCTTGAAGAGATCATCTTCCTTCACCGACTTGGTCTTCATGTACTTGTTAGCATTGGGCTGGTAATTGATGAAGATTTTGATGAAAAGCGAAATGCTTCTGTTCAAAACACGAATTGTATCAGCACTCATCACACCGCCTTTCTTTGCAATCTTGAGTGTGCAAATAAGAAGATAAAGCATCTGGAGAACGATCGACTTTTTGAAATTTATGATTGTGAGGGAAAGTCCGTTAAGCATGGAATTGTAAGGTGAGGCCTGAATCTCCTTCCGCTTGACCCTACCGTTCATTCCCAGTGCCAATGACAGCTTTCTCCGCTTCACTGAAAAATCATTGATCACGAATCCATCCTCATCAACATCGATGCCCAAGTTTGGAGACATCAGACCCGAGGCCATTCGCTTGGGGTCACTGAAAAACGAGTTATATACAGCAGAATCGTTTGCGCCTGCGCCAAAACCAGATTCGTTTTGTTCAGTCGATTCCCCAATATGCTCGAAGATGAGGATAAAGTATGCGAGAACCTCACGGGAAATGTTGGCGATCTTCACATAATAGCCTTGAGTGAGTTCTCGGTCAATGACGAAATTAAGGTAGTTCAGCGATCTGATCAAAAGGTAGTGGAAATTTAGCTGCATTTTGATGAGTTGCAGGGCGGTGTTGATATCTGGAAGGCCGACGTTCAAGAAGTTCATAACGCCTTCTTCAGATAAGCCGAGCTTTTTGGTATTGTCACCGTCAAATGTCACCCTGTGGTAAAGAGTATCCTCACCGATGCTTGAGAGAACCGGAAGACCCATTTGTAAATGAAGAGGCATGAGGTCAAGTCTCTTTTCCTCGAGGGCATATCTCCAGTTGGAAAGGTTCTTGTCAATCATCAAAAATTGTGTGAAATTGTAGTTCAAGTTACCATCGTTTCCGTCACCATCATCATCGTTAAGAATCCAGTCCAAGTTGTTTGAGTGGTGTTTCTTCTGGTTAGGGGCGTTTTCATTCACCTGCCTGTCCTGCTTCAAATATTGGTAGTAGTTGGGCGAGAACGAAGAGGGAATGATGATGTTCATAAGGTTCAAAAATTCCACGCTGGGCTTGAGCAAAGTCTCGAAGAGCGGATCAACCTCCTCTCCGGGTTGCGGTTCAAGCAATGTACTGAGTTTCTCAGGAGTCAATTTGAAGTATCTCTCGATCGTCACTGGATTGATGACCGTAGTATTTATGGATGGCTTGAAGCCAAACTTCAAGTTAAAACACTTGAGCAACACTTTGAAGCCCCAAAAGATTTTCACTCTGGTTCTGCGCTCATGTAAGTTCAAACTCAAGTCATTGAAAAACAAGTTTCTCGAGTTCAAGTTGATACCGAGGATGCCGATGAAAGAATTGATAAGACAAGACAGCACAAGCGACTTTTCCTTGTTATTGGTCAAAAGTGAGTAGTAGAAGAATAACAAGTAAACTTGCAACTGCTCCACCGAAACGCAAAAGACATTGAGGTACGGGAGAAAATCGTAAAGCGAACGAATTATCGACTTATTGTCATTGTCCTTGCGGAAACGGTATGAATAGTTGGGGTGTGAATGATTGAGTAGGAGATTGAGGTTCAAAGATGGGTTGTTCATGAAGATCATGGCGTAGATCTGGATGACAAGAATCAAGTACTCGTTCACAACATGATAGTCGTAAGTCAGGAGATTGAAGCCATTGATTGTCGCATCGTCGTATGTGAACATGAATGGGTACATGGTATGGAATGCATCGTAGGTCTCCATGAACTTCTTGTAGTCAAAGATGGGGATGAATGTGTTGTAGTTCAAGAAGTATTGAACGATTTGGTGATCCAACTCCTTTTTGGAATTGAAGATCTTTTTGAAGTTGTTGATGAGCTTGATGAATAGATCGTACACATCTTTGGGTAGCTGGGAGTTGAGGGTGTTGTCATTCGCCAGCGTGAGCGGATTGTAATTGAGATCCAAATCCTTATTGTGGAATTCATTGTAGTTGGAGTAGGACGGATGGTACAAGTAGGAGTCGGGATCGTTGAGGAGATAGTTGTGCGAGTTCGTGATCTTCAAGAACGGCAATCCCAAGTTGATGAGGAGATGGTTGAATTGGGATTCGAAATTCAAATTGTCATTACCAATGATGATACCCTTCTTGCCCAAGTTGAAGATTTGGTCGATGGGGTTGTTGATCTGGATGGTGTTGTTGTTTTGTTTAAGCGTGGCGACGGAATACAGGTTGTCCTTGGTCTCGTCCTTTACAGGCTGCTGAGCAACCTGCTGATGTTGCTGTGGTTGTGGTTGTGGAGGTTGTGCTGGAGGTTGGAGGGTCAGTTCCGGTGAACCCAGTTTCATTTTCAGTCTCAAGGCGTTAACCTCGTCCTCGAGCTCCTTAACTCGATTCTCCAAGTTCACCGTGTAACCCTTCGGGAAAGCCCGTCGTGAAAGCTTGTCAGATGTCGTACACTCGAAACCAATGGCAGAACATTTGTTACATGGCGTAGCACCGTCACACTTGATCTTCTTCATTCGACACCGGTCACAAGCCTGAGAGACCCGGAGTAGCCCGGTCTTCGTCAGTATAAGCTTGTGGCTGCTGTCGTCCTTGGCCTCCACCATGCCTTTGTTGATTTTTCAGATATGCTAAGTTGACGTTTTTATGAGTCGTTCTGTTTTGCACCCAATGCTCGGGGGAGTGGAACAGCATTCAGATATATATACTGGTGCGCGGTGCCCCAGATTCTGACATGCAGCGTCCCCTCGGCTGTTCGGATTCGCATGGGGAAACCGCCGGGTCTGTTTGACAGGGTATAACTAGACGAATACAAGGCCGATTTTGATGGGGAAAACAAAATTGTCAATGTTGAAGTTCAAATTTTTATAAAGTGTGTTTTTGGCCAAATTTGAACGATTTTTGCCAAACCCTCCACTCCCCTCTCATGTGAACTTGCATTGGCTGCGAAACCACCATAGTCCTATGACTCTACTACACTTTTGCGTCTTGAATTAATTCCTTTACTCCTGGGCTAAGCCCGAAAGTCAACCTATTTGATTTTACAAAATGTGTCTTGATTTTTCGTTCCCGAGAACCTTAGTGCAAACCGCCGGTTCTCTCTCTTCTCAACTCCTTCTCTTGTCTCTCCACCTCTTCGTCGTACACAATGAACTCGTGCAAAGCCTTACCACCAGGCACCATGGGCAAAACAGGCACCTTCTTCTCGACAATCACCTCCAACAAAACAGGCGTCTTGCAGTCCAAGAATTCCTTGACCTTGGCGGCCATGTCCTCCTGTTTATCAAGACGAATACCAGTGACACCCATGGACTCAGCCAACTTCATAAAGTCTGGATTCAGCTGGTGTGTGTGGGAGTATCTGTGCTCGTAGAAAAGCGACTGCCATTGCGTCACCATACCTTGTTCTTCGTTGTTCAACACACAAATCTTCACTGGAGCACCGGCCTGGACAGCAGAAGAAAGCTCCATGAGAGTCATGTTGAAAGATGCATCACCGTCAATGTCAATGACAATGGCGTCGGGTTTGCCGATTTGGGCACCAATGGCAGAAGGGAGACCAAAACCCATGGTTCCCAAACCACCAGAGGTGATGAAAGTACGGGGTTTCGTCCACTCAAAGTGCTGGGCAGCCCACATCTGATGCTGGCCCACACCGGTGGTGACAATGACTTCCTTATCGTAATTTTGCGTCTGGTCGCTGATCTCACGGATCAATGTCTGAGGCTTGATGAGAGAACCTGGGGTCTCCTTCATGTATGCGTATGGGTATTGTTCCTTCCACTTGAGCACCTGGCCCATCCAGTCCTTTCTCTCGGGCACCTCCTTCACCAATGGCAAGAATGTAGCAAGGTTACGGGTAACATCGCCCTCAATGGCTTCAGTGGCCTCCACAACCTTGTTGATGTTCTTAGGGCTGATCTCGAAGTGAATGATACCACCTCTGCCTTCCTGGGCAGCTAATCTGGCGGCAGGGGCAAACTTCGAGACCACACCGGTCACTCTGTCGTCAAAACGGGCACCAAGAGCGATGATCAAGTCAGCGTTTTGCATGGCAGTGTTTGCAGCAGCGGAACCGTGCATACCCAAGAAATCAAGAGACTTCTCGTCTCTCTGGTCAAAAGCACCCAAACCCTGGATGGTGGTGGTGACTGGGATGGTCGCCTTTTCAGAAAGCTCCTTCAACAACTGAGGACCCTTCTCATGGTTCAAGATACCGGCACCAACATAAAGAATTGGCTTCTTGGCGTTGTTCAACAAGGAAGCAGCACGCTCAATGGCCTCGGTGGTGAACTTGGTGGTGAAACGCTTGGTGATTTGAGAAAGAGCATTCAGTGGCAAGGTGGTGTTGATAGGGATGGCCTCTCTGAGAATGGAGGCAGTAACATCCTTGGGAAGATCCACCAAGACAGGACCTGGACGGCCGGTGGTAGCAATTTCAAAAGCCTCGTTGATACGCTTAGGCAACTCGGCCACATTCTTGACCATGACGTTCCATTTCGTGCATGGTCTGGAAATACCAATCACATCGGCTTCCTGGAAAGAATCCGTACCAATGGACGTCGTAGGCACCTGACCAGTGAAAACAACCAAAGGCACACCGTCCATAAGAGCATCTTGCATGGCAGTGACAACGTTGGTGGCACCAGGACCCGAGGTGACCAAGACAACACCAGGTTTAGCAGTCACTCTAGCGTAGCCCTCAGCCATGTGACCAGCACCTTGCTCGTGTCTAGGCAAGACAAACTTGAATTTGTCGGAGTTGTAGATGGCATCGAAAACTGGCAAGATAGCACCACCAGCATAGCCAAAAACAGTGTCGACGTTGTGTCTCAACATCATCTCGTGGAAGATCTCACCTCCAGTCAATCCAATGAAGGAGTCGTCCATGGTGGACTTTTTCGTCAACTTCTGGGGGTTTTTAGGATCCTGAGGCTCCTGGTCAAACGAAGGAGCCGGCGTAGGTCTCCTGTTCTCGGCCCTTTGCGTCATAGTGGCCTGGGAGTGTTTCGTGTTGGTTAAGCTTCTCTTGTACATATTGAAAGCAGGGGCCGATCTGGCCATAGCGGCACGGCTGAGGCGGCCTGAGAGGCGTGCGTGCGCGAGCATGGCAATAAATATAAGGTGGTTACTTTTGAAAAGTGGTTATTGGCAGAAAGCGGACTTTGTAATAGCTTTTCCTGGGGGGCCTATGGGTCTTATACTCTGATTATGAGTCAAATTTTCTTCGCATTTTTCAGCTCCACGTCCTGCAGACACCCATGGAGTCCCGTCACCGGGGCAGCGGAACAGACGTCGCCTCGATGACTCATCACGTGATGTGCCGGAAACCTCCACAAATGGAAGAAACGGTGATTTCGCTTATATGCTGTGTAATGAGGGTCAGATCCGTCATTGTGCAAGGCTGCTTGAAGTACCTGAATCTCCAGTAAACCGTGTTTCTTATGTATACAGTCACGTGGATGCTGCTGAAAATCGCACCACCCCTCCGATACCGGAGGCTACCCCAGACTTGTCGCATATTGATATTTTTATTAAACCATTTAATCCTCCTTCGCTCTCGGAAGGTCTTCCTTCTCATTTATTTGAGAATCCTCGTTGCTCGAGATTACCCCGCTCAGGGTCTCGTGTCCCACTCTGTCGTAGATTTGCTCTGGTTCCACGCCCACCACTTCTTCTATTGGCTGCGAAATATGCTCTTTCGGCGTGGAAGGCAGGCCCCAGTCCAAAAAGTCTCTTCTGACTTCAACGTAGTCGTATGCAAATTCTCCGATTTGGTCTTCGTCGATACCCTGCTCCTCAGCAGCGTAGTCGGCTCTCAAATGGAGACCAGGAATGTTGTCAATGACTAAGCACAAGACAGCAGTAACAGCACCAGAGTAGGCAGTGGTGGCCAAAATGTACACAATTTGAATGTACAACTGCTTCCAGTTATGGTCGAGCCAGCCTCCCAAGTGGTCAGTTACATTGTCGTAGCCAATGACGGTTTTGGATCCAAAAAGTCCATTGAAAATGAGACCAACCATACCAGCGATACCGTGCTCTGCCATCACATCAAGAGAGTCATCAACACGGCAAAGGTACTTGAGCTGAGTCGAGAAGTTACAGACCACACCGGCGGTGATGCCCAAAATGACAGAGGCCCACAATGGGATACATCCTGATGATGGAGTAGCGGCAACAAGACCGGAAATGCAACCAGAACAAGCAGCCACCATGGACCATTTTTTCTCAAGACGGAAATCCAAAAGACACCAGGAAATGGCGCCGAAGGCTCCGCACAAGTGGGTGTTGAGCATTGCGTATGGCACCTTTACAGATACATTGCCTGCTGAGAAACCATTGAAAAACAACCAACCAAAGTACAACATGGAGGTACCCAAGAAGATGGTGGAGATATTGTGAGGTCTGTAGTTAATCATGAGATCCTGGTTTCTTCTGCCCAAAAAGGCCGAGTAGACAAAAGCGGAAACACCCGAAAGAATTTCCACAGGGCCACCACCAGCGTAATCCAAAGCGCCTCCATTCCATGTCAGGGCCCAACCGCCGCCCCAAATCCAGTAAACAACCGGACTGTAGACGATAGTGGACCACAAGAAGAAGAACACAATGGTTGGCAAGAAACGGCCTCTTTCAGCAATACAAGCACCAGCCAAAATGGCCAATGTGACAAGCAAGAATTGTAGTTGGAAAAGCACCCAAGCAATTTCCGGGTATGTAGAGTCGGCGTTTTCTTTGCCAACAATGTGTTTGAGGCCAAAGGCTCTCAAGTCGCCAATGAAGTTGTTTTTTGAAGTGGAAAATGCCAAAGAGTAGCCCCAAAAATACCATGTAAAGCATCCGATAAATGAGGACATGATGACGACCCAGATGGCCGAAAGAGCCGATTTTCTTCTGGACAAACCAGAATATAGAAATGCCAAACCGGGCACCATGACCCAGATTATGGATGAGGCGATGCTAAAGAGAAGCACTTCCGCCTGGTTGTATTCCTCGTTCTCTGTGAAGAGGGCTCTTTTAATCATAATGCAAGTGTTGATGAAATATTAAGTGTAAAAACACAAAAATTAACAAAAAATAGGAAGGCTGAAAAATCTAAAAAAGTAGGCTGCTACATCGCATGAGAGGCGACCAAGGTCATTAAATGACAAGGCGATTTCGAGTCAGACGGGTCTGCAAAAACCAATAGCACGCTTCACAGCCGCGTGCATCGCTGCAGGAAAAGCAGGCCAAGCACAGGCATAGAAGTGGCCCAAATGCTGTTGATGAGGCGCCTAAACAGCCACCGTGCAGAGCATGGCCAGAGATTATTCGATGGATTGCCTTTATCAGTAGGTCCGCGTGCAGGATGCCGCTTCACTCATCGGCGAGATAAGGCAGCTACGAAGCAACTGATGCCTGGGCATTGCAAGGGAAATTAGGAAACTAGGTTGGTTTGGGTGCACTAATTCAGCCTGTTTGCTCCGGGTCTTCCTGGGCGGGTTCTAGATTACTCGCTGTGCTGGGATGCCACAAGGCACCTGCCAAAGTGGATCTGGCAGCGCAGGGAGGCCAATCTGGAGCTCTCTAATTCTGTGTGATTTAAATATTTTGGTTTTTTTAAAAGCCGTTCGTATGGAACCTTCCGAAGTCGAAATAGGTCTGCCCCGAGTTATCCCGGCTGTTCGCCTCGCCAAAAGTGACGGACCTGCACACATCGCTATCTATCATTGCGATAACGGTGTCGCCCCTCTTTATTGGATGCTGTCAAATCGATAACGGTCTGCCGTAGCGGAACCGCCATATCGCCATCGCTATCAGCACAGAGATATTGAGGTTTTGGCACCCGGGTATAAAAGGGACAACGGTCGTAAAATTCTATTAATTTATTTTCTTGGCCATTGGCATGAGACCGTGTCTCATATTTTTTTTTCTTTTCTTTTTTTTCATGTTTTTCCATTTGTAGATTTGATGAAGATGTCACCACGGGGCGGTGTTTCGGCACCGAAAGCGCTTCCTACAGCTCGCTGGAATGCTCCGTTTTCCATCCTCCACATGTGAATGGGAGTGGACTTATGATACATTATTTGAATGATGAAAAAAAAAATTGATTTAAGTGGCTGAAGGTCTTGGAAATTATTCCTCCTAATGAATGTCTTCAATAATTGGACCAGAAGCGACAAGGCTGACGTTGATTTGGAATTGTCGGCGGTACGGAACCTCTTTCAATACCCCACGTTGAGATTTGTTTCTTCCAAGCCTAAGATAAATTTACGGCGTACGATTCCAGAACCGTATTGTGCCCACTTCGTCATTCCAGCTGCATCATAAGAATTGCTACGTTCATGGCTCCCAAGAAATAGCGCTAGGTCTTGGTATAGCATTTTCCACTCGTTGTGTTTCGTCGTTTTATCTCCTCGTTATTATTCCAGTGGACCCCGCCGAGTCACCTATTTACATTTAGCGTCGCTGCAGCCAGCTCGTTTAGATCTGCCACCAGTACTTCTCCACAAAGTGGAAAGTCTCAAAGCACACCTCAACAAGAATAAGGATGATAATGATCCATTCAAGACGAGTGCCTTTCTTCTCGCTCAACACACTGAGTAGCGCTCGCTGCTCCTCTGTCACATAGTCGAGCTTACGATTCATGATCAGGATACGCAGATGAATGTCAAGCCTACGACTGATGGATTCGTAGATCTTCTCCAAGTTGGGCTCCGACCAGTACAAGTCTGGAGTCTCAATGAGTTCCGAGTATAGGTTGAGCTTTCCGCGGATGAGGAAAAGACGACCGGTGAGTTTGAGAATGTCGGCCTCCTTTGTCTTGAGTTCCAAGCCTTCTGAAAGAACTTCACTATTCTCTCTGGTCAATTGAATGTGCTTCTCAAGTGACTCTTCGAGAATTGATAATCTTGTCGAACGAGAAAGACCGACTGCGAATGCGGCCTTCTCAAGTAGCCTTTGCTCTGGGTCTTGGCCTTGTGACACAAACACATCCTCTAAAACGAACGATGGTCTATCTTCCTCAGAAAGCTTTGCGTCTAGTGAGACATAGTCCATCTCTTCACTCTCGCTCTCATATTTCTCCGAAACGGCGTCCCAAATCTGGGGTACGTAGCCATCTATTTGATCTTCGGTGATATCCCACCCAACCAAAGTTCCATTGGCCAAAACCATGATGTCTTTTTTATCAACCTTGCATTGTAAGACCTCGTCACGGATAACCACAGAATGTGGTAACTTGCTTTTACGGAAGATACTCCGCACCTTGTCTAGATCGATGGATTCACCTATGGTCAATGACGTTACCGGTTTTAGGTACTTTTGAAGCGAGACTTCATCCACATATTCTCCCTGCACCTGTTCTAGAAACGACAAGATTTTTGACTGACTGGACTGTTCGGCCTTGTGCAGCCATCGTAGCGATTGAAGTCCGGCTTTTTGGTTCTTCTTTTTGGTCAGTTTCTTGTGAGGGACAGGTACTGTGATTGGTTGTTTCTTCAACTCCGCAGCCACTTTGGAAGAGTTGAATCGTCTGAAATTTAGGAGACCATGCCGAAGCAGCGGCCTGAATATGCTCAACATGATTGGTAGCAGTATTAACAAAGTCCGTATGGTCTGATGCCGCGGTAGAGTCGAGTCGGTCACGTGTATAGTTGACAAGAAAACAAATGTAATTCAGTTCGATTATTTACGAATTCTTTATTTGGAAATTTTCTAAATGGTCGTTCTAACTATGACTGCGGTGCTAATTCTCCTGCTGTATTGGCTGCGAAAAATTACCACTGTTTGAGCGACCATACTCAATTTCTCACCATCATTGTAAAATAGAGTCCGGAAAATTTCCAACCTACTCAGGTAAGCGCCTTACGGAGAGTCGGCCAAGCCACGCTCCTTGTTATGTATGTTTGTTGCTGCTTCACGGAAGGGCGTTTCGTGTAAATCTCAAAACTCAACCTCCTCGCAGCCTCACTGCCTATGCGATCTTCTCTACATCGTTCTAGAAACACAGTTTTGACGAGGTACTGAAAGATGTCTTCGAAATAAAATAAAAACCAGCTCTACCCGTGCATTCCATTGTTGCGAAGAACAACAAGCAGATCAAATTTGCATTTAATCTCGGTTCACAGTTGGGCGTTCGTATTTTCAATGGCTGTCAGAGAACATATGCCTGCATGTATTTTCACACGTTGTTTTACTTATTCCGTTTTGGGATAGGTAATAACTATTACGCGGGTCTGGACGAAGAGGTCCCGATTTGAGGGGTGCACAGAAACGCTCTAGAGCACGACAATGTCGTCGCTACCTCAGGGAGTCTCGAGTCTTTTGGGTATTTATTGAAATATTCTGCTTTTTTATACCCTAGACACTTTCTTCACGTTTTGTAGTAAACAAAAAATCTATTTTAAGCACTGTACGACCCAAGAAACTCGAGCAGGCGGGTCTGGTTGGGGAATGCGGTATCCGGATTAGAGAGGTGCGAGAATGGCTTTTTTTGGATTGCCAAACAAAAATACACCTACGTCTATTCTTCTTCCCAATTCTTCCTATTTGTAGCGTGCAAGACCCTGCGTTGGCGTGACCTCAGAGAATAAAAGCATCGTCCCCCCTGTTCCTATTCCTTGCCCAACTTAATTATGTGGTATGTTAACTCGAATAACGTTCTTCTGGCAAAATACTAACCTACAGTGGAATCTTTGGCTACGTGAACTTCTTGGTGGACAAGACCAGAGGTGAAATTATGGAGAACCTCTTGGAAGGTCTCTCCAGATTGGAATACAGAGGCTATGACTCGACCGGTTTGGCTGTTGATGCTGATGATAAGTCTAGTAACATCATTGTCAAGGTCGCTGGTAAGGTCAAGCTCTTGAGAGAAGAAATTGAGAAGACCAACGTGGTCAAGGACACCGTTTTTGACAACCACGTTGGTATTGCTCACACCAGATGGGCTACCCACGGTCAACCCACAGCTTTGAACTGCCACCCTCACCGTTCTGATCCTAGCGGAGAGTTCGTTGTGGTGCACAACGGTATCATCACCAACTACAGAGAGTTGAAGACATTGTTGGTCAGCAAAGGCTACAAGTTTGAGTCCGAGACTGACACAGAGTGTATTGCTAAGTTGTTCAAGCACATCTACGATTCTAATGCCCAGGCTGGTCAGTACATCGACTTCAACGATTTGACTAAGCAGGTGTTGTACGAGTTGGAGGGCTCTTACGGTTTGTTGGTCAAGTCTGTCCACTTCCCAGGTGAGGTCTGTGGTACCAGAAACGGTTCGCCTTTGTTGGTCGGTGTCAAGACCGAGAGAAAGTTGAAGGTCGACTTCGTCGACATTGAGTTCCCAGAGAACCAGGAGAAGTTTGCCGGTCCAAATGTGAACGGCGAGCTGAACTTGAGAACTTCCCAATCGAGAGCCTTCTTCAATGAGGATGGTGTTCCTTCCCCTGTTGAGTTCTTCTTGTCTTCCGACCCAGCCTCTGTCATTGAGCACACCAAGAAGGTTTTGTTCTTGGAAGACGATGATATTGCCCACATTTACGACGGTGAGTTGCACATCCACCGTGCCAAGAAGTCCACTGCTGGCGAATCTACTTTCCGTCCTATCCAAACTTTGGAGATGGAGTTGAATGAGATCATGAAGGGCCCATACAAGCACTTCATGCAGAAGGAGATCTTCGAGCAGCCTGACTCTGCTTTCAACACTATGAGAGGTAGACTCGACTTCTCCAACAATTCTGTTAACTTGGGTGGTCTCAAATCGTGGTTGCCTACTATCAGAAGATGCAGAAGAATCATTATGATTGCCTGCGGTACCTCCTACCACTCTTGTTTGGCTACAAGATCTATCTTTGAGGAATTGACTGATATCCCTGTCTCTGTTGAGTTGGCTTCCGACTTTTTGGACAGAAAGTCTCCTGTCTTCAGAGATGACACTTGTGTCTTCGTTTCCCAGTCTGGTGAGACTGCCGACTCCATGTTGGCCTTGCAATACTGTTTGGAGAGAGGCGCTTTGACTGTCGGTGTCGTGAACTCTGTCGGCTCTTCCATGTCCAGACAAACCCACTGCGGTGTCCACATTAACGCTGGTCCAGAAATCGGTGTCGCCTCCACTAAGGCCTACACCTCGCAATACATTGCTTTGGTCATGATTGCCCTCTCGCTCTCTAACGACTTTGTTTCCAAGAGAGATCGTCACACTGAGATCATCCAGGGCTTGAAGGAGATCCCAGAGCAGATCAAGACTGTGTTGAAGCTAGAAGAGAAGATCAAGAGCTTGTGCAATGACTTCTTGAACGAGCAGAAATCCTTGTTGTTGTTGGGTAGAGGCTTTCAACACGCCACTGCCTTGGAGGGTGCCTTGAAGATCAAGGAAATCTCCTACATGCATTCTGAAGGTGTTCTTGCCGGTGAGTTGAAGCACGGTGTTTTGGCATTGGTTGACGGTGACTTGCCTATCATTGCCTTGGCTACCAGAGACTCTCTTTTCCCTAAGGTGATGTCTGCTATTGAGCAGGTGACTGCCAGATCTGGTAGACCTATTGTCATCTGTAACGAGGGTGATGACTTGTTGAAGGACAAGGCTTACGCTACCTTGCATGTTCCATTGACCGTTGACTGTTTGCAAGGTTTGTTGAACGTCATTCCATTGCAGTTGATGAGTTACTGGTTGGCCGTGAACAGAGGCATTGACGTCGACTTCCCCAGAAACTTGGCCAAGTCGGTCACGGTGGAGTAAAAAGAGGGAAATAGTCATACATAGTTTTCAATAAGGTGCACTTGATTAATACATAACACGTCATAGCATTACGAGCGCTTAAAGAATTCTGACTGGCTCATGAAGGCGGAAGAGGTATCCAACACCAGCTCTCCCAAACCCAAGTATTTCTTGGTGTAATAACGAGCAGACTCGTTGGGAATCTGATCAAGATCCGGACTGTGGTTAGTTTTGTTTCCAATGAAGGCTGTAAGACCTTAATCAAAGCACACGATACTTACGTCAAACCGGTATTTCTTCTGATGCCAGCCAAGACGGCTGAGACGGCGAGGAGGTCGGCACCCAAGTGGATGGATTTCAAGAAAAGACCCTGGATGTTAATATTTGTTCGGTTGCAAGGCACTGCTAACATACCATTATTTCGAATTAGTCTGAACGGCTGAGAAATGTTCCTTGAAGCAGATATGGTCCCTGGCCCGTGTTTTTGTACTGCAGACAAAACCTTCTTTGTACTACTGTGAGTGATTTCCTAGAACAGTACTTCGAGGCTACTTGTCTTATTTGAAATTAATCTTGAAGTTACCAAATATGATCCATATATCTATCCAGATGTATTAGAGTATTGGGTTAAATATGATTATGGGGCAAGTTCTGTTATTTTTTTCGGGTTTTCGTAGAATCGCATGCTGCAGCCATGTCCTCCATATGATGGCAAAAATGTGACAGAAGGCAAATGTTATCAAATTATCTCAAAGCCTACACAAAAAAGAAAAAAGAATCTCGAGCTTCAGCAGGCAAAAATTTCAGTGCAAAAGTAATTTTCACTTCTTCAGTTACCCTTCTCTGATGTCTTTTTCGAACCGGGGCCCCATGAACAAGTGTGGTACTGCATGCCCATTTTCATTCCAGAATGCTTTCACACGCAGGGCCAATACTCTTTTTCCAATCTAACCAAGGAGGGTAGCACGATAATCAAATCCCAGGTGAACACAGCTCATAGTCCAAATAAGTGAATCGAGATGCAGATGAACGAAACATAGGTCAGGATAAGTCTGGACCTCATACGCTTCCAGCTAGCCCCTCAGAAGGTCCACATGAAAGATGTTGTTTGTAAACCAACAGCAATTTCAACTTCGCCGTCAAAAGAGAAAACTTCATTTCTCGGAAAGAGCCTTGTGGCTTGTCTATGTGACCGCTTTGGCAGAATCAGCCTTGGAACCGACCAAATCTTGTAGTACATTTCACAACATTGTTGTTCCTGTAGTTCCGGTTCCTAAAGGCTTGATGACCCGAGAGGTTCATGGCATATGCCAGGCTTTCCATCAAATGTCACTTGCGTCAAAGATGATACTGAATTGCGCTAACTTCAGAGGAACTCTCAAGCCTGATCTTAATGAAAGCAATGGAAGCAGTCTATTGACACGACGAATGACTGAAACCGGGTTGAGCTATCAATGTTTAGTGCCGGCCTGACCTATACGTTGTTGACTAATGGCATCAGAGCATCGATGTCTCAAATAGTATTTGCCGTATGATTTAAAAGCGAAGCAAATCTACTGCAATCAACACTTCAGAACTCTGGAAAGATCACCATTGGACTCATCAAAAGAATCAAAAGGAAGATTCTGGGGGATGCAAGCCAGAAATTCTATAAGATCTGGTCTTACTTTCTGTTAGACCTGCATATTGGCGACCAGCCTTCAACACATTGAAAATCCATCATCACTATAAGCAAGTCTCGCTGAATCCCTGGGCTGCCACAAGATCCCAACACCTAAACGTTTGGTCTTATAAACAACCACTGAGCTTCAGACGCAACCATCATTCTTTGCACAATTCGTCATGTCGGATAGATATAGACCACCTACTGGACCTAAAGGTCCAAAAGGTCCCAGAGGGCATCCACCTTCAAATTACAAATCCGGTTGGAAAGACCAGGAAGGCAAAGGCGCAGATGGTAAAAGGTTCAAAGAAAGAGATAACTATAGACCCAATGTGATTGATAGGCGAAGAGGCCCTGACGACGGGGATGACAGGTACTACAACAGAGACAGGAACGACAAGAACGACCGATACGAAAGAAATGACCGAAACGACAGACCTCTGGGGCCATCGGGCTCTAGAGATAACCGTGGCCAGAAGAGAGGTCCACCTGAGAGAGATCCTAGAAGAGGGCCGGGTGGTGATAGGCCCAACAAGAGACGGGACTTTAATGCTCGAGACTATGATAATGATCGCGCCGAGAGCAGTAAACCCGAAATCGACAGGCCTCCACGTGCACCCAAAAGCAGCGGGTATCAGGGTCCTGGCGCTCGTCCAGGTCCTCGTCCAGGTCCTCGCACCGGTCCCAATAATCGACCAACAGGTCCTGGAGGTGGTTCCAATGCTGGTCCCAACGCTGGTCCAAACCAAAGAGATAGACCAAAACAACCACCAAAGAAACGCACCCCGAACCCCAATGCCAATCAAAACAAAAAACCCCAGCAAAGACTCCAGCCATCGCAGCTATACTCATTATATGCTAACAGGTCTAACGAACTATATAAACGGGTTCAGCAAGTTGGTGAGGGTACTTACGGTAAGGTCTACAAAGCCAAAAACTCTCTCACTGAGGAGTTTGTAGCTTTGAAGAGATTGCGTCTTGAGAGCGAGAGAGAAGGTTTCCCAATCACAGCGATGAGGGAGATCAAACTTTTGCAAAGTTTCGATCATCCGAACATTGTTGGTTTGTTGGAGATGATGGTAGAACATAATCAGATCTTCATGATCTTTGACTACTTGGACCATGATCTTACTGGTTTACTCACACACCCAGATCTTAAGCTCACAGAAGGACACAGAAAGACCATATTTAAGCAGCTTATGGAAGGTATGAATTATCTTCATGCCAGAAGGGTAATTCACAGAGATATCAAGGGATCCAATATCTTGGTGGATCGAGAGGGTACGGTGAAGGTAGCAGATTTTGGTTTGGCAAGAACCATGAAGGTATTGAAAGATGGCGAAAGTCCAGACTACACCAATCGTGTCATTACGATTTGGTACAGGCCACCAGAACTTCTTCTTGGGTCTGTGGACTACGGACGTGAAGTCGATATTTGGGGTGTGGGGTGCTTACTCATTGAATTGTACACTAAGATGGCCGTATTCCAGGGTACGGAAGAGATTTCTCAGCTTTATAAAATTTTTGATATCATGGGTACTCCCAGCGTTGACTCGTGGCCCGATATCGAAAACTTGCCATGGTTCGAGATGTTGAAGCCACGCATAAACAAAAAATCAAGCTTTGAATCAGAATTCAGACCATTAATGTCTGAGCAAAGTTTTGATCTTGCACAAAAAATGTTATCGTTGGTTCCAAGTGAGAGAATCTCAGCCGAAGACTCTCTTCAGCATGCGTACTTCACTGAAGACCCCAAGCCTGAGGCATTGGAATTCATGAAGACGCTTGAAGGTGAGTGGCATGAGTTTGAGACCAAGAAAAGAAGAAGGGAAGAGCGTAAGCGATTGGCTGAGATGAAGAATGCAAAGGGCAGGGAGGTCTCATTGCCTCCTACCCAGCCAGCAGCACCTAATCCTGCCAACGAGCATGCCGGCTTCCAAACTCCATTGTCTACTGAGCAGGCTATTCTCGATGATATTAATAATGGCCTGGAGAGCAAGCCAAACGCGGTTATGGGCTTGGATGAGATCATGAATCATTCGGAGCCGGATCGTCAAGCGACTGAGGACCCTACTGACACTGCCACTGACGACAAGGAGAACAAGGCGGAAACTGAAGAGCCCAACGAAACAGCTGAGGGCGAAGCGGGAGAAAAGCAGGAGTAAAGTAGCAATCTTGCTTAACCAAAAGAAAGGGCCACAACTGTGAAGCTACTTCGTACGATCTTTAAGCAAATGTATAATACTTACGGGAACATGAAGACCTTGAGAGGCTTCTGTGAGAATAGGGACAAGGTCAAGCTGTCAAGCACACTTAGACCCGACCGGAACATAATAGAGATACGGTAATGTCACCTATGATGTACATAAATAAAGCATTAATAAAGGCAATTGTCGCAAGGATCGGACAGTTGGCAAAGTGTTTTAAAAGGATTTGCTTGGTCCGTGCGCCTAAGGTATAGAGGTCACACCAGATTTCCCTATTCTGCATCCTCTGCCTCTATGGGGTCACTCACCCAGAAATAGCCACAAGCTGTCGCCTTTATCCAATGTAAATAAGGCTACATTACATGACCTCAATGGCTCAAGGCGATTGCTTTACTTGCTAAATGTAGTTGCTCGCAGCGGGCTAACTCTTTGGATTCATTGTTTTGCCGCTTCTTGTGCTTTTAAACATCTGTATATTTTTGCATCAAAATCTCAAATCTTCACCCTAGTCAGTATAATTTAAAGCTTCAATTCATCTAGACCGTGGACAATCAGGTGAATAGCGTTCCGGATCTGCCGCCAGGAATTTGCAACCATTCCGCCGCGCCCCACCATAGCCATATACTTTCTGAATCATAAACAAGCCCTTTCAAACCAGATATTCTGAGTTATCTTTCTTCTTTTAGATGCGAAGAAAAAAGGATTCCTTTTTTATATATTTTTTTTCTGTATTCTTTTCTTGTGCCCCAATGCTAAGAAAGCCCCCTCAGCTCCCCACGTCGCTATGTGTATCCTCGAGGTAAGCCGCGACCTTTTTTTCTCAGTATCTGTGCCGCATTACCCTACCATACATCATAAGCGCCAATTGATCTTTTCATACCATGGGATTGTGTTCCTCAAAGGACCCGCCGGCACCGCCAGCACCCGATGTTTCGGACAAGCGGACCAAGCAGCAGGCCGCCGTGGCCCAATCCGCTAAGGAGACCCTGGACTCCTCTAACGGGGTATCTGAAAAGAACCATCAAGAGTCACAGCAACAGCACCTCGCCACAAACGCCAATCAGAGCCTAAGACCAGGGCTGGTTCCCAACTCGACCGCTCAGTCCAGGCAACTGTCCTCACAGACCAACAACGGCATCATTCAGCCTGTCACGGGAGACAAGGAAGTGAAGGTCTTGTTGTTGGGTTCGGGCGAGAGTGGTAAATCCACCATTGTCAAGCAAATGAAGATCTTGCACAAGAACGGATTCTCCGATGAAGAGCTCTATGAATACAAGCCGTTTGTGTTCAAAAACGTGCTCGACTGTGTCAAGAATGTGGTGAACGCCATAATCGACCTCCAGCCTGATTTGATCGCCGAAAAAGGTACCAGCGAGGACGACTTGGCCGCCAACATTGCAGGCACAGTGGGCCAGCGTAAGCACATTTTGCGCTACGACGACCTCAACGAGATCTTGGACTACGAGGTTTCGGTTTCCTCCGAAGAGCCTTTCAACCCCTCTGTGGCTGCCAAGATCAAGGACGTCTACAACATCAAAGAGGTACACGATTTCATGGAGCGCGAGCAAGGCAAATTCTACCTCATCGACTCCACAGACTACATGCTCAGTAATGTGGACAGAATCGCTGCCTCTGACTATGTCCCAAACCAGGCTGATATCTTGCGTACGCGAAAGAAAACGTCGGGTATCTTCGACTTCCGTTTCCAAATGAGCGGTGTCAATATGCATATGTTCGATGTAGGTGGCCAGCGCTCGGAGCGCAAGAAATGGATCCACTGCTTCGATAACGTCACGCTAATAATCTTTTGTGTGGCTCTTTCTGAATATGACCAGGCGCTTCTAGAAGAAGATTCCCAAAACCGATTGGAAGAGTCCCTTACGTTGTTCGACTCAGTGGTCAACTCGCGCTGGTTCTCGAGAACCTCCATTGTGCTCTTCCTCAACAAGATCGATGTCTTCGCAAAGAAATTGCCATTTTCACCTTTGGAAAATTATTTTCCAGACTACAATGGCGGCGATAACATCAACAAGGCCGTGAAATATATCTTATGGAGATTTACACAGGTAAATCGCTCGGGCCTTAACATCTACCCACACGTCACACAGGCCACAGACACTTCAAATATTCAACTTGTGTTTGCCGCAGTGAAGGAGACAATATTGGAAAATTCTTTGAGAGACAGTGGTATCTTGAACACCTAATTGATTTACTGAGGTACACTATTGAGAAAGAATCGAAGGAGAGAAAAAAGAAAAAAGATTGGTATTTCATTCTGGTGTATCTTTACATGGTATTATTTTCGAGTTATTTATTCGTATTTCACATTAAAATGAATTTCGTTGCATCATGCACTGGCCGCTGGCTGGCTTTCGGTTGGAGGGGGTTTAGCTGGTTGTGAATCTCTGCTCTCGCCGCTAGGCCTCCTCTCAGAACCTCCCCTTCCTCTACCTCTTCCTCTGTAAGCCCGGCCACCACGACCGCTTTGGCCACGCCCTCTTCCACGCCTTGAGTTCAGATGGCCATTTTTGTCGCCAGAGTCTTCATCACTCAGTCGTTTTGCGCCATTCAATTGCAGGTTTATCTGCTTTTCTTCTCCATTTGATTCAGCTGGGGCAGGAGGTTTACCATTTTCCCCCTTAGTTACTTTCCCATCCTTCGCTCCCTCAGTATTCGTTCTAGATCCTCTCCTTCCTGGTCCGCCTTCTGACCGCTTTCCGCCCCGTCTCTCCGTTCCAGCTCTTCTTCCACTTCTCCTGCCACCACGATTAGAGGATCGATCCTTTTCATCCGACTTATCTTCTAATTGTACCTTATCTTCCAATGCCAGTGTCATTTCAATGAGATGCTTCTTGAAGTCTGGACGTTGCTGCGAAGAAAAGGACTTATTGCGTTCTGTAAGATGATGTTGGTCCTTAAGAATTGGATGGTTATACTCCGCTGAATGCTTTTCTGTGGATTCTCTCTTTGTTGTACTTTCATCGACCGATCCCCTTTTACTCCTCAGGAACAGTTTCCTACTCAGATTGTCCCGAGATCTCCTGCTTGAGGTCAGCTTATTCTTGTCCTCTCTTAAAGAGGCGTCCTTTTTTGCATCTGTTTCTGGTTTTGTGGGCTGCGTTGGCTCCAGTTTTGAGCCGTCATCCAGATCAGCGACAAGAACTCCATCCTTCGTGGATACTTCAGGGGCACTCTTCGATTCGAGGTGTAAGGCATCGGGGCTACTAAGTCTTTCGAGCTCCTTTTGATGAGCAGGAGATGAGACAGTGGAAGGCTTTTTCTTCAAAATCACGGGCTTTCCTTGGGGTTTCGGAGTCCCATTTGCAGACTTTCTCCCCTTCGCATTGGGAGTCCTCGTATCCTCAGACTCAGACTTGGTGCTGAGGATGTCCGCCAAACTCTTTTTCTGACCGTAGATGGAAGATGGAATTGGAGCCGGAGACAATGCATTACTCTCCGATTTTGCGGGCTCGACGGTCTTCGGAGGTCCACGCATTCTGCCATCTGAATCATTATTCCCCTTCTTCTTCAGCATGTCTTCGGAATCCGAGCTGAGTGCTGTGACAGTATTTGGGTCAATTGACACAATTTTTTTATCCATCTCATGCTCCTTTGCCAATATATCCACAGGCTTAGCATTACCGAATGGATTAGGTTTGGGTTTTGATGGACCCAAGGCTGGCGTTTCATGACCAGGATCTATAACTTGAGGTGTTGCTGTATGTGAAGAGGTGAAACGAGTGAGCGGTTTTGGTTGTGGTGGACCGTTGTGGCCACCGGAGCCGAACGATGATCTGCGTCCTGGTCCACCCATTCGCAGATTATCACGTCCTGACAGATGCATTGCCTCAAGCTCGCCGAGAACTCCAAGGCCTGGGATATGGCCACTATGGGAGGAACGGCGTCCCTCAAAGCTACCCCTGGTTTTGTTGGCAAGAAATTCACGTTCAACACGACGTAGTTCTGAGTCGTTCTCCTGATTAAACTTCATACAGCCTTGAAAATCTGCGTAGTCTGCGGGTTCAATGATCACTCGGCGGTTACCCTTGTAGTACAAGTCCTGCCAGTTTACCACTCTGTTTTGATCACTGAACGATTTTAGCTCAACAAATGCACTTTTCTTGACTATACCCGTTTCCAACGGGTTTGACACTGGATCATAAACGATCTTGAATTTGATAAACAGCATAAATCGAGAGCTGAAGAGGTCTTTCACGAATATATCATCACACGACACAGGAAGGTGTAGGAGTTTCACGATATACGGAGGTCCTTGATCAACCAGGAAGTTTTTCGACCGTCCGTAGCCACCAGGGCCAAAGATTCCCGAGTCGGAGCCACCTAGTGATTTATTCTTCTCGATGGGTACAGAAATTGAGGCGATGTCAATCTCATCATCGGCCCAAGAACCACCGTAAGCTAGTTGTTAGTAACATCGCCATCATTGACATGGTCATAATTGAAACCATTTGTTCTTCAAAAATACATACAATCATCAGAGATGAACTCTTCAAGTGACATCTTTTTAGGAGGTGCTGCGTGTTAGTACAATTATTAAACGGGTCGAGTCAATGGAGAGGTCCTGAAGTAGCTTTCATTCCCTTAAATAGACTCAGCCGGTTTGTTTGGTTATATAATGAAACACATACTCATTTTAGCTGTTCGATTGAGTACAGAGTTGGTCAGGCAAATACATACTCCTTGTAAGGTGAGAGGTATATTGTGCAGGTCCAGGGACCCTGGAGCCAGCCGCCCAAATGGGGAAAGAGGAAAAAGGATTTGATTTTAGATTATAAAATAAAAACAACAAGGAGCAGCAGACTTGATGGTGGCTCTTAACTTTTGTCCCGGCATGCTATCCTCGCTTTTGCATGTGTTCAAGAAAAGCGGCTCTGCATTGCACTTGTGGCTGCGAAAATGGGGGCTTCAAGTGGGACTTGAAATCAGTTCTGTTCGTAGTTGTCATAAGTAGATCTCCAGTTTTTAAAGAAGCCGGAGAAAAACTTGATGGCCAAACCAACGTCCTTGCTGCCTAGAGTAGCTCTAATCGAGTGCATAGACAACTGGGGAATACCCAAGTCGATTGTTCTGGCGCCAGTTTGGATGGAAAGGTATGGACCAATGGTACCACCCGAGGGAGAGCCGTTTCTGATATGGAAGTATTGAAGCTCGTCTCCATTCTTTTTGGCGAGCTCCTCGACAAGTGCCAATCCAGTTGAGTCAGTGGCCATGTTACCGTTAGGGTCTAAAGCGATCGAAATACCCTTGTTAGGAACCGGTTTGTGGTTCTCAAGATAAGCATTGGGGAAGTTGGGGTTGAACAAGTGGGTAACATCAGCTGATAAGATGATGGAATTGGCAAAGGTAACCTTGATCAGGTCGGTCAGCTCAGCTTCGCCAGGATTGTAGTACGACGACGATGCTACACGTTCAACGGTACTCAGGAAAAGGTGCCCACGAGCACCTTGTCTGGTTCCGGAGCCAACTTCTTCGTTATCGAAAAGACCGACAACTGAAAAGCCATCCTTAGGTAATTTGTCCTGAGCTTCGATCAAGCCAGTGATGGCAGAGTACGAGCAAACCCTATCGTCGACTCTGGGAGCGAAGACAAACTCATTGTCCAAGCCGCCAACCACACCCTTCTGAACATCATACAACTGTAAGTCCCACTGGACAATGTCCTCAACGGCATGGCCAGAGATCTTCGAAATGTACCTCAACAACTTCAATGGGTGCTTTCCGTAGAGAGGAGCCAGCTTCTCAGCTTTTGTAGGTTCAACTTCCCCGCCAAATCCAACAATTGGTACAGTCTGTGTCTCCTTGTCAAAAGGACCTGCGGCTGCTGCACCAAAATGTGGCGCTAAAGTAGGAATTCTTGCCACTGGATGAGGAGTTGAATCAACCAACTTATGCTTGACCTTGCCCTTCTCTTTCACCAAAAGACGACCACCCACACCCAAGTCTCTATCCCACCACACAGAGCTCAACGCACCAGCATAGTTCGCCACTCCCAAAAGGTTGTAGCCATCCACATCGCTCTTTGTGGAGTTTGGCTTGACCACAGTGGCCAAGGCATCAATATGAGAGCCAATTGCGCCGACTCCTTTCTCGGGAGTCCAGTCTGGACCAACTACGAACGCCACCAAAGAGGACCCACTTCTAGTGGTGTAGTACAGACCAGGACCGACCTGGCTCCACAGCTCCTTTTCTGGAAGGTATTTGAAACCAGCCTTCTCAAGCTTCTTGGAAAAGAAGTCAGTTGCGTGCCACACGGTAGGGTTGGTGTAGGTGAAGTCAATGTAGTCCTCAGCGTGGTCCAAGTAAGACTTATCGCCAGAGGCCTTGGTCTGGTTCTTTTCAATCAAAGCCTCACGTAACAAAGCAACCTCCTCTCCCTTCCCTTCTGCGAGAAGCTTCTGCAATTTTTCAATCAATTCGTTGTTCATGGTAGTAGTAGATAGTGGGTAACTGACAGATCTCCGATTAGGTGAGATAATGCACCTCCACAATTCCGCGCGCCACAATGGCTGCAAACAGCCAGCACTGAGATATAGGATGTTGAGGATCAAACTGTCTGATAGGAATAAAAACTTGGGTATAGCTGAAAATATGGAATTTTGTGATTGATGTGAAACCTTTTCAGGTAAGCATTATCGTGCATAACCCTGAAATACGGATCCATCCAGCCAGTGCCCTACACAGATAAGCTACACTTCTTCGTGGTTTCTCATAAGGATTCATATTTACACTTGATTCCGTGCTCTTGCTTCTCGTCGCTTTCGTTACATACATTGCCAACCTGACAGCTTCTACGGCACAAGCACTTTTTGTGAGTGGCCTTTTCCTCTAAGTCCTTCAACTTCCATCTACTCCGGTCTTTTAGCAGCGAAAGTGGCAGCCACGATCAAGGGCCACACCACAGTAACATCAGCATAAACCTTCACCAGCTTGGCATCTGCCTTGATCTTACCCCAACTGACAGCTTCGTCGGGTCTGGCACCTGCATCAGAACCATCGAATTCCTGACCGGTGTTGATGTAGACTGCCCAGTCGGCTCCGTTTCTCATGAGACAAGCATTGCAAATATGGTGCTTGACCAAGCCACCACCTAAAATAAGCATACCTGCTCTGGAAGCTTCCATGGACATGGAATTGATTTTTCTAATATCAGCAACAATGTCCAAACGGAACTGCTGCGGACTGGCTTTGAAGGTGTGGAAGAACAACATGTCACCAATAGAACCATCCGTAATGGCTGGACAGAAAATGGGGATCTTATTCTTATGAGCCCAGTACAACACTGACAGCTCGTCGTTAATCTCTTTACCAAGACGGTCGATCAATTTGGATGGAGTCCAGATGGCGGCAGAATCAGCATTCAAGCCCTCCTTGCCCAACTTGGCCATCTCCTCCTCTTGCTCCTCCAACATCTTATCCAACACAGGTACAATCCACTCCTCGAACTTACAGTAGTTGTCGTTTGGCACAAGCAAGTTACCAATTCTGTTGAGGCCCTGGTCTCTCAAGGTCTTGCCTGGCAAGGCAAAATCACCAAGGTATGTAGGAGCCAAGCACTTGATCAAGTCCTCCTCAATACCACCAGCAGAGGCCACAATGGCAGAAACCTTCTTGTGCTGGACCAAGTATCTCAAAGTATCTCTGAGACCCGAGGAGATCAAGTTGGAAGTGAAGCCCATGAAGATGGTGGCCTTCTGACGGTCCTCACTGTCGAATTCACCACCACGCTCGTGCTCAGGCAACTCGTCCTTGAGCTTTCCTCTCCAGCTATCCATTTCATTGATGATGTCGCAAGCAGAAGCCACCGACAGTGCCTGGAAACCCATGGTTTTCATGGAAGCGATCAAGTCGGTAGCCTTGGAGTTGTAGGCATAGTCTTGAGAGTAGTCCATGCCTCTGACCTTCTCAAAGTCGTCTGGCACGGGCACCGATTGTTTAAGCACAGCGTCCGACGCAATAGCAGGAAGTTTTCCCGAGCCGCTCATTATAGTAGTTTGGAGAGTATGGAAATATGGGGAAGTGAAAAAAACGAGATGCTCATCTGCGCTACAGGAAAGTCCGGCACTAGGGGTCCAGTCGGACGATTGTTGCAGGAGTTTTAGGAATTTATTTACGAAGGCACGGGAATGTGGTTTTCCCGATTCGCCATTTAATGTAAATTTCGGGATAATGAAGGTGGTTTACGGAATGGCTGCAAATGATTGACTGCGAAAGAGCACTTGTGAAGTGCATGAGCTGACAGTAACTGGGCATTTTGCCTATGAATGGATGAAGAAAATACGACCATGAGATTGTGAATACAATTGAAGCGAATAATAGAGGGGGTGTCTCCCCTTTGTCCGACATCGGGGTGCTCTTTTTATGGCCTTATGAAGGTGCTACCAGTCAAGATGATGTACCACACAGCGAGGTTATTCCCCAAGCAAAATGCTTACACTGTCTCTGATGATTACAGATTCTTTTTATGGGTATCAAGTTGTAACCTGGTGCTACTCTCAGTTGACTGCACGCCTCGTATGAGAGTAGCACTCTACTGAAGCCGTAAAATGGTATAATTTTGATTGTAAAAGCGACTCATAATGAAGGAATCAAGCCCCCGATAAGCTGATGATGCAATTCTGATCCCCTTCCCTCTATGTCCGCCGTCCCCATTTGCTACAATCTCCTCGTTCATGCAATGTATTAAATGTGCTAGTCTACTTAAACTCTCTCCCTGACCTCCGGAGCCCATGCCTGGTGCTTAGGCTTAGCCGTGTTGTATGTTACAAATGCACCTGAAGTGTTCGTGAGGTTGCCCTGGTGCTTCTTTAAAGGATAGGCTCTTGAGGCAGCCTGGTCCTTTGGCAAACGGTCAGGTGGAGTGTTGGTACCATAGCCCAACCAGTAATGCCAGCCTGGCTCGACATTTGACATGTCCACGTTCCAGTCATTGTATTCAACCCATCTGGTTCTCATGTGGATTTCCTCAGGGACATCGGTCTCGTAGTATTTGTTACCCCAGTCATCGGTACCCACAAGCCAACCTCTCTTGGTATCATTGTGGGACTGGATTTGCCAAGCGGCTCTTTTGAAGCCAGAATGATAGATATTCTTGATGGTACGGATAATCGACGTCGACATATCTAACGGCTATTATGGTGGAGATGTGAGAAATGAAAAGTGTTTGATTGGTTTCCCGCGTGTGCAGGACACACCAGGGTAGTAGGTCACTCTGTTCTACAATAGAGCCAATAAGATGATTCTGTGTGAAAACATGATGTTTTTGAAATCTTCGGTTTCTGGTCTTACTCAAATTCTATAGATTTGCCTCATAGTCACCGTTTATCTGGTGTTGCTAAGTGTAAAGGTGGTTTGCATGCGAATGAGTAAACGCAAGGAGCTTTACCGTTTGAAATTCGGAATAATTCGTGAATCTTTTTTATGCAATTCTCTTAACTGGCTTCGATGGAGTGTTTGGGAAATGCATTGGTGGGCTTCAATTCGGTTTCGCTCCCTTCTCAAGCAAGGGACCCGTGTGACCTCGTTCTACTCTTCCTGGACGTGATTCATGTTTACGAGTGAATAAACAATGAGTACGTTACACTTTTGGTCGTTTTAGTGGAGAATTACAATGTTTGGCTGCAATAAAGTGGTATGGTAAAGAGGTGAGGTAACGAGCGATATGCGACTTGGGTAAACCAGGCCTGTTACTCATCAAACCTTCTTCGTCATCACCTCACAGAAGACCTTGCACTCGCAAATTAGACTGTAATTATTTTGGCCTTATGGTTGGAGGAAGGGAATGTATGTCGATCAAAGTACAATGTGGATTCCTAGGGAGCATGAAGGTTCATTCTTGTCTGTCCACTAAGTTATGGGATTCAAGCTCGTGGGGCACAGCTGATGACCCGGTTCTCTCGATATCGTTTTTTCACCATGAATTGTCACCACTGAAATGAGTTTTCTGATGAATGATTTGGAAACCGCATGTGGCATACCGCACCGAATGGTGATAGCATCAATTAACACAGAGTGGACTTTCAGGGAAATCCATTCACCTTCTCCATCTCATACAAGCCTTATAAATGAGACTTTCACTTGAGTCGATAGCTCCCGCAATTAAGTGGCATGTACATGTAAGTTGTTGCTCAATACGATATCCCTCACCATGATGTAGTCCCACCGGCAAAGCTGAGGTTGTATGTGCTTCAACTAATAAAAACTCTCTTCCTCAATATTGACACTCGATCATATTCGAGAATCTTCAGTCTACACTCCCCCTTGACGACAGTATCCAATTTCCACAAGCGCTCTATTCACACCAAGCAGGCAACAACTACAAAACATTGACATCCTACAAATATGATTCTTTTAACAATATCGACCCAGAAAAAAAGCATACTTAAGTCTCACCTGTTCCTCCCGATGTTTACCCTTATCGGTCTTATCTGTCTCAGATAATCTGCGCATGGCAATCTAGCGATCTGACATTGGTGAAACATGGAAAGCTTCGAAAGTCAAAACAAGCAATATCATCAAGATCATTCTAGTTATTGCCCTTCCCACAAATATCCCCACCCCTTCCTGGGCCGATTTAGCTCCGGTGCCTTGGTCTGACCCGTTAGTAAATGTGCAGTAATCTCGCAGGGCCCTGGCAACTAACTTCAACCACACTACCCCAATAAAACACAAACTTCCGGCAAGACTTTATCTGATTTCATCATTCCCTAAGCTTGTGCCCCTTTGGCCCTATGCCCCCACCCACGTCGCCAGAGAATAACGAGCCCCAAAGAGGACTCACGCTTCCTGGTCTATTTGAGGGTATCCGCAACAACTCGAACCTACGCCACCTCTTATCCCGGGACTTCTTTGCCCGTATGAACGAGGTTCTGGCCAATCTTTTGAATCGATACACTGACGAACAAAACCGCCAAAACCTGACCCTGACTGCTCCTGATCAGTCTCCACAATCTAGCCGCCTGTCTGTTCAGCTCCTGCCTGACTACTATAGACAAGCGGACCAAAGTCACATTCGAACCACGGCACTCCCTGCCGAGATCCGTAACTTAGCATCCCCCGTGCGTTTCTTGGTGATACCCGACTTGGAAAGCGACATGGATTTGGATATTGATCTAGACGAAAGCCCCAGGGCCGCATCTTCCAATGTTGGATCTAGAGACGGCATGAGTGCTTCTCACCCTGAGTCTTCAGCTCCTCCGTTCCATTTGTTCCTAGGCTCTTCAACGCGTGATGATAATGGAAGCACATCCAGCTGGAGCTCCGATAATGACGCAGAGTTTGAGGAACCTTCTGATCAGGAGATTGACGATGAGGCCCAGGAGGATTTTGACGAGGATAGCATCAGCGACGATGCAAGCATTGATGAAGAATATGCACGTAATCCCGAAGAAGCTAGAATGGAGGCACATTCGAATCTCTTGGATAGCATGCAGCTGGCTCAACGTCTACTTCTTTCTTCGGCACGCCAAAACCCCACAAACCGTAATACCCTTATTATTGCTCCAGAGTCAAATCGAATCACTGGTGGTGTTCCTTTAAGGCGTCAGAACGCTATCAGAGTGAAGCGCCGAGAGGAAACCTCCCCACAGAAATCGTCGGAGGAGGTCGCAAAAGCGTATCACGAAGAGTTTCAGGATGCGATCTCCAAAATTAAAGCTTCCTCCCATTTCCCTGGAAAGTCTCCTATCTTTAGCTCCGGCTCACTTTCTTCTGGTAAGAAATCGCCTCCTTTGCTAAGACGCTGGGGAACCCTACGCCATCTGTCACGCAAATCGAGTCTAGATTCTCATATGGACAGATTCCTCAGCCAACGAAGAGCTGGGAAACTATGGCCGGAGCCCTCAACCCCCGATTATGAGCAGCTTTTAGTAGCAAAACGCCCGCATTCTCATGAATCTTCGCATCATCACCATCAGAAGCGCCATCATCGCCTCGATACGAGCATACGCTTCCAGCGTTATGCTGACCCAAATGCCTCTGAAGCTACAACTAAAGTCAAAAAGCTTCGTAAACGTTCTAGCTTGAAAAGGAAGCTTGAGTCTGATGAGTCAAACATCAAAAAGAGAAGGAAGACCAGGTCTGGCAAGGATCAGCTCCTTCAGTACGATGTCTTTGGTGACAAGATTGATGAGAATCAACTCCTGAATGATGAGAAATATAGAATCCTCAGTGGGTTGGATTGCTCCTTCTTGACCAGTGGGTCTAGCTTTTCGCTCGGCCCTCTCATAGACTGCCATTCGAAACGCAATACCGATGTGCTAGACTTGAACTTCACGCACGTTGATAACGAAAAGAAAACTATGCATGGGTATTTCAATATCAGCAACGATGGCTCTGATGTGAATGATTTCCACCTCCTTTCCAACTTTATATCTTACCTTTGCGGTGGAATCCGTTCTCAGTATTTGTTGAACTGCACCAACAAGGTGATTCAATCTAAAGCATCGCTTTTGAATGATGCGTTCATGTTGGGTCTTTCAAATTCCGGAATGAAAAAAGAGAAGATTTCGGAGTCGATTCAAAAGTCGTTGAATGTGCCATTCTATGGTAACATCGTCGATTTCGACAAGGGCGACCTCCGATTTCTAGACCAGACAAAAATGAAATCTCACAAATCAAGTGTTAGTCAGTCCTTCCACCATTCAAGAGTAAGAAATGAGCAAGTCAAATTGCAACTTCTCGAGTGGTTACGCATAAGACCGTTTAGCAACTTCGGTGAAACATTCTTTTTGAACTATCTTCATTTCATTGAAAGGCGCCTACGGGATTTTGACAGATACACAAGGCATGAGCAAGAACTCACGCTAGAGTTCACTCATCAGTTTAAGGAGCTGATCTACGAGGTTTCAAGAGGATATGAATTTGTGACCGATGAAATTCCAATGTACAGAGATAAGTTCCAGAAGGCAATGTGGGATATCACTGAAAGGTTCGAACACGAGCCCCGTTGTGACCTTCCCAAATCATTCTTTCTACTCGAATGGGAGTCGAAACTTTGTGAGAAGCTCTGTGAGCATATCACGCATGAAGACTCGTGTCTCTTTAATGTTCAATTGAACTATGCACTTTTTGTCATACGGGTCGACGTTTCGAAGACATTGGATCAAGTATTCCACCGTTTCCTCGAGAATGTCGATGAATCAAACAAGGCTGGCCTTATGAAAAGATATGAAAAACTCAACAGAGAGTCCCTCCCTGCTGAAGCCAAAGAAGCTGTTTTTGTATGTTCTGTGAACAGAAAGACAGGCCGTTTGGAGATGCAAAACACAAGGCTGTACCTCGACTATAAGTATGCTGGGTCATGCGATGCGAGCAGTGGACGGAGTGGTGCATTATCAGATAGCGATGAGGAGGATACGGGACCTCTCAGAAGGTACTCTCTGCACCTGGCACATTGGAAGTGTCTTGAGGATCCTTATCTCATGCACACTCCAACGATGATGTTTGGTAAATGGAGGAGAAGTGCCAAGGAGTCGTGTCTGTGTGGAGGGGGTCATGCTCGGTCAGATTTTGCTTGATTACCATTTGCCCCACCCAGCCTTGCCTGCCATTCTGTCTTCTCTGCGCTTTTTGAAGAAGTCCTTCAGACATTCTCTATAGGCGTCAAAGAAGTCTTGACAGACCGATTTGTCCTCCTGATTACGCAAGACACAGTCGATCGATGCTTGTCGACTCTCTTCGCATGGATCATAGTACTTTGATGGTTCTTTGGCTGCCCAACGGTACTTATGCCTGTGATTCTCTGGATTATCCGGGTAAAATTTATAGTCTTGAACCTCACCCTTGGTGAAGTCCACCATGGCCTTATCCTTTTCGACCTTGTCTGTAGGCTTCTGTTGTTGTGTATTATCTTCTGCCATTTCCCCGGATCTTACTGAAGCGATAGTAGAGAAAGTCTAACGATTTGGGTGCATGGGTTTTGCTGAGCATTTTAACCTGCACATTAATAGAGTATGAATTTGCAGCCAGTGCTCACGGAAGCCTGCGTTCTTCTCACCATTCTGCATCCCGTGGCGAACCTACATTTTGTTTTCATCGTGCAATCGTGCATTTTGTGTACGGAAATAAGGCAATTGCTTACCGTCTAGCGAAAGCTTACCATCTACCGCCCTGGTTGCCGTAGCCGCCCTGGCCGCCGTAGTTATCGTTACGACCGCCACCATAGTTATCGTTGCGGCCACCACCGTAGTTGTCGTTGCGGCCACCACCGTAGTTGTCGTTACGGCCACCACCGTAGTTGTCGTTACGGCCGCCACCGTAGTTGTCATTGCGGCCACCGCCATAGTTGTCACGGCCACCAAAGTTGTCACGGCCACCACCATAGTCATTACGACCACCGCCGTAGTTGTCATTACGGCCGTGGTTGCCTGGTGGTGGACCACCACCTGGAGGACCGTAGTCATTACGACCGTAGCTCTGGCCGTGTTGCTGCTCGTATTTCTTCTCCTCCTTTCTGTCCTCCCACTTGTCCTCAAGCTTGTTGGCACCCCAAGCACCGGCAATGGCACCACCAATCTTACCCAAGGTAGAGTGGTTACCAGAAATCTTACCACCACCGTATCCACCGACAGCGGCACCACCAATGGTGGCCAAAAGGCCTCTGTCACCACCTTCTTCACCGCCCTGCTGTTGCTGGTTTGGGTTGGACTGGTAGTTGTTGTCAGATCTTTGGCCCTGCTGGCCGGAAGAGTAAAAGTCGTTGGCAGACATGATGTAGTTGTTGAAAAGACGCAATTGGGAGGAATTCGGGGGCCTATTTATATATTTGTCGGGGCTTAGGGGTACGGGTTCTTCTCCTACAGCTCCTCTCTGGCAGCTGAATACACCGCGGACGGACGTATGGGCTTCGTTTGTTCCTGCAGGAAACGAAAGGGGTACTCGATTGATTTGCTACGTCTTTGATCTTTTGCGGAGGGAACAATGGAATATTTTTCTCGATCTAAAATTACAGTAGATGAGGTTGTTGAAAGTCTGGAAAAGAATCGATGTTTCCCATCCAGAACGCAAACATGGCCCTATGCGTGACACGACGGATTTTGTGTCGTTTTTGATGCGCCAGATCGCTGTGTGGTCACTTAACAGATCTGTGGCGGAGTATGTTGAGCCACGGTGCACTGATGTTGCGTAAGAAGCGATTCTGTCGAACCCTCGTGTCGTGGTGCACTGATGTTTTTGGTGACATAACATTTTGCAGACCCGTTTGGTGCACGGATCTTAGCCCCACCGATGGCATCGTTACATCGCCATACTTAACGCTGCAGAATCCACCCCACCAAATGTCCACACAGCCGGTCCAGTATTTAGACCCAGAGACCGAGGATCTATGCAAAAGATGTGGCGAGAAAAGAGCCGTCTTGATCTCTAGAAGAGATCATTTCTGCGCAGGCTGCTTCGTCTGGTTCATGCGTGGTAAGCAGCGAAAGCTGATGCTCAATGAAAGATACAAGGTGAAGTACGGGGCTGTTGCAGAAAGACTAGGTACCCAAAAAGTGCTTCTCCCGGTTTCCTTTGGTGCCTCTTCCTTGGTGCTTTTAGATATGGTCGCTTCGCTCCTTCAGGAACAGAACCTAGGGCATAATGGAAAACAAGGTTTTGATTTGATGGTGTTGCACATTCTCGAGAAGAAGGGCCCAGGCAGAGAAGAGGCTGAGCAGAGTCTAAAGGCGATTTCTGAGCGTTTTAAGCCTGTGCATATTGAAGTCGTCATTGTGGATCCCAATACCTTTCTTCTAGACAAGACCTCTCTTCAACGGATTCAAGTCAGTGCAGAGTTCCAAGTCATACACCATATCCAAGAAATTGATCAAAGCATTACTGTCCAGCTGCTTCTAGATGCTTGTGCGTCAAACTCTCTGCGAGACGATCTTTTGCAGCTAGTATATCAAGACCTAATAAGGCAGACTTCTGTATCACAGGGCTGTCAGACCATTATTTTGGGCCACAGTATGACCAGGCTCGCCAGTGAAGTGCTATCGTTGGCTGTCAAGGGCCGTGGGTCAGAAATTCACCATGCCATAGCCGATCGCTCGATTCCCCACGGCGCCAACGAGATTCACATCTTGTTTCCACTTCGTGACATTCTTTTCGCTGAAGTCAAGGCTATCCTAGACTTGACTGAGGGTCTAGAGAGCTTTTTAGTGCAGAACACCACCACTGCTTCTTTGGTGAAAAACATGACAGTCCAGGCACTTTCAACAAAGTACTTCGAAGACCTTGGGCTCAACGGATATGCATCCACAGCCTCAACTGTGGTCAAGACAGCAGAGAAGCTCGGTGCGCCAAAGAGAGAGATCACTGGCCAATGTCGTATCTGTCTGGCAGACATATACACTAACCCAAAGCAGTGGCTCCGGTCCATCACAGTAAAGGCTGCTGCACCTCTTGAAACCGATCTTGAGAGGGAGTTGGCTGAGGAATACGCTAATGTCATTGGGTGTTCCGAATTAGAAGGTGAAAAGCTAGAAGTATGTTATGGGTGCACGGTAACTTTATTAGGGGCGGGTGACAAATTTGCATGGCCAACAAGGGCTACGAAGGATGAGATTTTGGATGAGTTCGTCTTGACCGACGAGGAGTAGGGGAATATGGGACTTTTATAGATAAGGCATATACACATGGAAGTTTAGGGTTTTTCTCTGACACTCGAGTTTAAACTTGCCCCAAAAGGACAAGCTACGTAATTTTTTTGTTTTTCTTTTTTTTTTTTTTTTCAAGTAATGAAAGCATCTTCTTCTGCATGATCTCGAGCTCACTGTTTCCTATATTGACAGGGCTTCATCCAAATGCGAAATAAGGTACACACCCAGATCAAGTTTATCTTATCCTCCTTCACTTTGGCACCACAAAAGATCACAGCGTTTCTGATCCTTTCTTTTTTGATAAATTGACCAGTCGTTACAGAAGTCCGTTACACAAATAGCATGTTCGATGTGCCATCTCTCACCATCAACACCTACAACGAGTGGGAAGGTCGAAATCGTACCATGCCTGTGCATCTAGAGACAGATGATCGTTACCAAAAGAGCTTGAGAAACAAAAGTAGGATGGATTCAATAGGCAAACCTGTGGCCCCACCATTGTCCGCATATTTGGCTGATTCTCCTGGTCCACGAGCGTATTATGATAATGACCATTCACAAGGAAGCTCGGCCTCGATGCTCACGCCAGAAATGTCTCTTAAGCTAGAGAAGCTACGATCGATACGAACCACAGGCTATTACACCTTGGCACCCATTGGTGTGAACAAAACTATGGCTCAATTGGATTTTGAGGCCCAGGAGATGGAGGATGAGGACTGCAATGTTGGGCAGGCAGAGAACCTGAATGCTAATGTGTCTACTACTATTTACCAGGACGCTCCCTCGGGGATGCCCGATGCTAGTGCTGAGCACGACCTTGACGCTGACATTGAAGATGTCGACGCCTCAGGAAGTTTTCAGGCTTCTTCTGACCTATCGGATGATGATGATGCTGTGGGGGCTCGAGACGAACGTCGAGTATTTAATCCTAACTCTGGATCGTTGACCGATACTCAGGTGGTAGGAGTGAGCGCCTCCACGGCTGAAACTGACCGCATCTCGCCTCCTGTGTTGAATTGCGATGCTTCCGACGTGGATATGGTGATTGAAGATGACTGATGATCTATACTGTTTTCATCTCGTCCACCTTAGCCGACTGGAGATGCAACGCTGGAATCATCCATTTGCCGCAAGAGCAGCGTGAACCTTTCCAGCTGTAGCCGCCAACCTTGTGGCTACATTTGGGACAAGAGAATTTTCCTTCAATGTCCTGCTTATCCAACTCCTCACGCATCCAGTTTACAGGTTCCTCGAGGAAGTAATGTGAGCAAGTCTTTGACGCATCTGCCACTGCCACGATTCTGCGAGAGTTTGGAGCCTTCTTGATAAACTGTGACTGTCTCGACTCCGATCCTGGCATATCATGGGTCTCTATATCACCCTGATTGGCAAGGACTTGCCTGCACCGCTTGCATCTGAGGTTGTATGTGCCTTTGGCTTTTTCTTTGCTGTTGCTGCTGCTGTCGAAAATTTTTGATGAAGCGAGTGACTGACCACTTGGGTCTTCTTGCAAGCTGAGCTCCACGAGGAATTGTCTGTATGTGCTAGACAGCTTATCAACGGTGAACCCCATGTGCTCGAACAACTCTAGTTGTTTCATGAAGCCGTCATTCGGCTGAGCTGACTCTGACCGCCTTTTCACTGCGTGCAATGCCTGTGGGAGCTTGAGCTTATATCTGTACATCAAATAAGCCATAATCACTGTCACTGATCTGGAGACGCCTTGAGCACAATGCACCAACACTGCTCCCAGGTGCTTTTGCCCGTCAGCATCTTCTTTGGAAATCAATGCCTGGTCCATAAAATAGGTTGCATTGGGTAAATGCTCGAGTAAGTTGGCTGTTTCTAGGTCCTGGACCTCGATGTGAAGATGTTGGAACTTCTCTGCGAGATACGCGGGGACCAGACCTTCCAAAACTGAGATCACATGGGTGATCGCATATTCTTTTTGCAAATCCACAGAGCCGTCCAAGTCATCTAGGGACAGTAGGAAAATGTTACCTAGAATACGGTGTATCATGCCAAGCGATGTGAAGAGATGAGTGAGGCATCGTTATCGGGGCAGAAGCGCATCGCACCAGTGCACCACTACAAATATATGGCTGCAAAATACCTAATATAATTATCCTATTATACCCTATACCTATGGCTTTCCGTTCTTGAGGTTGGTCAAGTTCTGCTTGGCGAGCTGGAGAGGAGTCATGTTGAACAAGTCGTCGATCTCCTCCAAAGTCTTGTCCTTTGTCTCTGCCATGAACAAAATCTGGTAAATCAAACCAATAAAGGCGATACCACCGTAGAAACCAAGAGTCAAACCAGTGTAAGTCATAGCTTCTTGCATCTTTGTGAAGTTATAAGTGACAGTGAAGGACCACAAGTAAAGGAATGTAGAACAAATGGTCATACCCAAGGATCTAGTCTCCAATGCGAACGATTCCGATGGAACAACCCATGTCAAGGTGGAATAAGCTCCGAAGAACAAGTTGTAGACGATAATACCTGTCAAGTAAATACCCTCAGCCTTGGCCCTTTGAGTGTTGAAATCGAAAAGGTAACCGACACCCACAAGGACCAAACCAATGAAGAAACCAATGATATTGTAACCCCAGACTCTTCTACCGAAACGGTCCATCCACAAGATGGCGGGGATGGTACCAATAAGCAAAGCACCACCGCCCACAAGAGACATGAAAACGGAGTTCTTCTCGTCAAAGCCAATACCTTGCATCAAAGTAGACATGTAGTACATGATAGCATTGATACCGGTCAACTGACCCAAAGTGACCATCATAACAGCGTAGAAAAGGGCTCTTCTGTTCCTTGGGATGAAGAACAAGTCGGCCCATGTCTTCAAGCTCGAAGTCTGTGCCTTTCTCTCATGTTCCTGGCGAGCAGCCTGTCTCATTTCCAAAAACTCGAGCTTGTTCTTGTCGTCCTTGATATCTCTCAAACGAGTCCAAACCTCGTATGCCATGCCTGTTCTGTTCTTGTGCACCAACCAACGAGGGGACTCTGGCAAGAAGAACAAACCAATGAACAAAAGAGTCGAGAACACCAAAGAAGAACCAACCATGAATCTCCAGCCACCTTTGACCGAGTAGAACATAGCTGCCACGGCGTACCCTAGCACTTCACCCAAGGCAATATTGAACTGATACATGGAAACAATGCTACCTCTAACGTTAGCAGGAACAGACTCGGAAATGTAGATACCGACACATCCACCTTCTATACCAACGCCCACACCCAACATGAATCTGCCAGCGTACATGAGGTGATGGTCCTGAGCAGCAGCACACAAAGCAGAGCCAATAGTGTACCAAACACAAGAAATGATCAAGGAGAACTTTCTTCCAAAAGACTCGTTCAATGGGGTCATGATGATGGAACCAGCCATCGCACCCAAAGGCATGAGGGAAGAAATAAGCGACTGTTCGTGACTAGTAAGGCTCAAGTCCTTACGCATGCCGATAGAGGCACCCGAGATGATGGACTGGTCCAAACCAGACAAAAGACCGGCGGCTGCCGCAAACACACCTAAAAGGTAAACCATATGGTTCTTGTTCTGAAAGTTGAGTTTGACTTCCCATGACAACAATCTGTCGACAAAAGTTTTTTGTTCTTTGGACTGCTGGGCCAAAAGCTCCAACTCCTCGAACTCCTTGTCAAAGTCGAAGTTTTCACCCAACTCAAGAGCGTCGATTTTTCTAACGCCATCCTCTTTGACGTCAACCTCGTCGGACGAAATGTCCTTGACTTCTTTATCCTCGAAGACACTCATGAAGAACTTGTCTGTACAACAAAAAAAACGGACTTCCAGGGCCCTTTTATAGGCGCCGTCCATCTCGGATAAACCCCACACGTAACGCAACTCGAAGATGGCCGTAAATGGCCAAAACGTAGGACACGCATAGTATAGGCTGTGTGAATGCAAGAAATGCTATATTTACGGCATCCTGCCCCAGTGGAGTCGAGTGGAGAAAATGGTGGAGGCGGATCAACTTTAGCCCGGGGTGCATATCACCAGAGCGCCATGAATTTTCCGGCCTTTACCTGTCACCAGGGTTTGCCAAGTTGTGTCAACCGTGGTGGTCCCGGCGCCGGAAAAATCTTATATGTCCGCTGATTGAAATTTACAAAACTCTCCCAGAATTCACCACCTCTGTTGTGTCACCGAAACGAGAATGCACCTTGGTTGCGACTAGCCGGAACAACTGCGGGCATACTTACTCAATACTGCGTCGGCCAGTGTCTCCAGCCGCTTGAGGCATGCCGCTACACAGGTAACGGAGGTTGTCCCCACGGTTGCATGATTTAAATGCAGAGCGCCTTTTTCATAAAGTGTTCGTTTAACTTCCTCCAACCAGCATCCTGGGGATGTTGCTACGCGCCATACACTCTTGCGTTTCTGGAGTATGTGGGGCTAGCAGGAAACACGACGCAATAGTTTGTATGTATTGTCACGATGCAGAATGCCGGTGTGGAGATGCCGCCTTGGTGGGCCGGATTATCTCCATAAGCCTCGAGTTGCCCGTGGATCAGCCATCGATTATGTAGCCTTGGGCGAATCAGAATGGTTTTCGGAAGATATATACGAGGCGCTATATTTTCGGGAAAATTCCTCGGCCAAGTGCTCCTTCAAAGCTTTGAACTGGTTCCCGAAAGTTTTCCCGCAGTAGACACATTTGAGTGGGGAGGTACGGAGAATCCTCTCCTTGGAGGAGTAATCCAAGTTTCGAGACGGCCGAGCCCTTTTTTCTTTGGGTGGGCGACTCATTATAAGCCCCTCTAGCAGGCCGTCACTGTGTGAATCCGCATCACTGTCCGGACTAAGATGATCCGTGGGGGTAGCCGGCCTGAGGTCCAGGAAATCAATGAAAAACAGCGTTGTGAATGAGTTGTAATGTTTTTTGTTTTTCATCCGCTCCAGATGAAAATCCTGGGTTATGACGTGGATATGCAAGTGAGCCATCGATGGCACACTGTGGACACCAGCTCGGATAAACGTGTTTCTGAATTTCTCCTTGGCGATCGGGCTATCCTCGACGTACCCCTCCTTGACAAGATCAGCCACAATCATGTCCTTTGTCTTCTCGACATACTCCTCTGTTTCGTAGTACACTGCAGAATCGGCCATGGCATCCACGGGGTGCTTGTAAGTCAATGACTCGTTCCTCGGTAGAACAAGATAGTGTCTCAATGCTTTTGGATATCCATCCTTCATAATGACGTAGTCGTCATCGTGAAACGCCACAAGGTCCTGCTCCGGGTTGGTGATGTACTTCCCTAGAGCGTACCTAAAACTCATGTAGTGGGGAAAGATCAACGCCTCATCACGATAAGATGGACTTCAAGTTCCAGCACGTGATGACAACCGTAAAAAGTTGTGTTTGACGAAAATCGGACAGCCCAACATTTCCTCCTTTTTCATCCTGTTCAGCGTGTTGATCTACAATGTTGTGTGGTGATGCTCGATTAGATTATACATGCTAAAGGTCTAGGGTGCACACGCAGCCAGACCACGATTCCAAGATGCTATTTAGACTTTTCTCTTTCTGACAGGAGCAGCTTGAGGCTCGGATCCCAGCGATTCTGCCTTCTTTACCCCAGACTCTGGGGCAGCGTCCTTCTCACCTTCGCCTTCCTTGAGAAGTTCCTCGTTCGTCTTGAGCTTCTCCTTTTCCAACTCATTGACAAACCAAATAACGGTTCCATATAAAAGAAGGGCAATCACCAGCAAATTTATGTAGTGGATCGATCTGGTGACATAGATCAACCAGAAGAGGGAGATGAAAAGCAACACAAATGAAGCATGGAGTGCCTTCATAAGCGCAGGCGTGGGGCCCGGTGTGAAAACCGATTGCCAAAGTTCTGTGATGAAAGCCATTTGTGGTATTGGAATGAAAAACGGGTGGTTTTCCTCGACTCGAAAGTGTGTCTTGAACTAATGGGTGCAAGAGAATCATCAACTACATCCGTACACCAAAGCAGGCGCCATATTCTTCAACAAGAGGCACCGTCATATTCATTCCAATGGATGTTTCTGATCAGTCCATTGAATATCATTCTGACTCAATTAGTTGTTGATTCATATTCGACACCCTACACGTCTAAATCTTTCAAAAGCAGAATTGATCACGTGACTTTGGGATGTGTCTCACACAAAAGAGACTCTTGAACCAACCGAAGTAAATCACCGAAGAACATAGATCTATCCAAACACCATGGTGGCCGTCGAAGACTCGTTCATCTCTGATGAAGAGGTAGAGTACTGGTATGTTTATTTTCGTTCAGAATCGCTTTATTGTCAATATACTAACTGCAAGCCCATTATGTGTGGAAGAAATGGACATTTCAGATAAAAACTTCAGACCATGTCCTTGTGGATACCAAATCTGTCAATTTTGCTACAATAACATTCGTCAGAACCCCGAGTTGAACGGCAGATGTCCTGGTTGTCGTAGACTCTACGATGATGAAAGCGTGGAATACAAGACCTTGACAGCTGAGGAGTACAAAATGCAACAGCTCAAGAGAGAAAAGAGGGAACGTGAAAAGAAGCAGAAGGAGAAGGAGAAGAAGGAGCTGGAAATTGCATCCAAGAAACACTTGGCCGGGCTTCGTGTTGTTCAGAAAAACTTGGTCTATGTGACTGGGTTAAGCCCTCCTTGTGCCCCAGAAGATTTGCATTCCGTGTTACGCTCTGACAAGTACTTTGGACAGTATGGCAAAATCACGAAAATTGTCATCAACAAAAAGAGTCCCGGTGGTGGCAGTAATGCCCCTGTGACCTCGGGCTCCCAGAGTATCGTTGTCTACGTCACGTTTGCAAAGAAGGAGGATGCCTCCAGATGCATAGCCGAGCTTGATGGTTCCTTATGTGATGGCAGGGTCCTCAGAGCTGCGCATGGTACCACCAAGTACTGTCTGTCCTACCTCAGAGGCCACCCTTGTGCTAATCCAAATTGCATGTTCTTGCATGAGCCTGGTGAGGAGGCAGATCTGTACACGAGAAAGGATTTGCTGACACAGCAAGGTATCAAGATGGGCATGAGTGGATCTCGTGGCGGTCAACATCACCAAGCTGATGACGATAATCAGCTGGAGCCAGATGAGCATCAATCGACCAGTAACAATCATCAAGCATTTCAAAACAGCACTACTCCTAATATCACGCATGCTGTGGCCTCATCAACGGGTGTTGTGCCATCTACAGGTCTTCCATCCGTAGGTGCCGGAGCCACATTGCCTGCAACCGCCCACTGGGCTAAAGCACTGGGTGTTGAATCTGCCCAAGCGTCGCCTCTGGTGAATAACAACGCTCCTATGACAAACACAGCAGCATTTCCGTCATTGGGGGAGATTTTTAAGGAGCAGAAACAGAAGAAGGATGTCAAGCAGAAACCAAAGGGCAAGTCAAACAAAGATGGTCAATTGTTGCCTGATGATGTGGATATTGATGATAACTCTGCCGTTTCATTTGCTGAGGATACAGCCGAAAGGTTGAAGCAGCTCGCAGCAACCAGACAACAGTTGAAGGTTCATTTTGACGACTTGACAGCCAAGCCAGACCTTTTGCCCTTGTTCCATTTTAATGAGTCCTGCGCTAATAACACATGCACCCTTGAGGAAGAGAAGGTTTTCTCTCGTCTCATTATTGAGCAGTATTTGTTGAGACCGATCAAGAAATACCATTTGGCTTACCAGAACCATCCAATCAGCCAACAGCAACAATTTTTGCATCAACAAGCCCAGTTGCAACAGCAGGCTCAAGCCGCCCAACTGGCTCAAACACCAAACTTGAACTCGTCCCGCTTGCAGCAGTTGGAGCAACAACAGCCACAAGGACAGGTTCCACAATTGCAAGCACAAACACTGGGACAACCTCCAGTTTCTGATTCTGTTTTACAACAACAGCAGCAATTGCTTTTGTTGCAGCAGCTTCAGCAGCAGGCTGCTCAGCAGGGAAAGCAACAGCAAACTCCATCGCAACTTTCTGCGCAGCTTAACCAATTGAGAATGAGTGAGAGGAGCAAGACAGCCACTCCACCACCTCCTGGTTTGTTTGGCAAGAGCACCTCTGAAAGTTCTCAGCAGCCTCCAGCTCCTGCGAACCAATCCTCAAGCTCCCAGTTGTTGACCCAATTGATGAGTGGAAAGAAATAGATGATTTGTTTTGCTTTTCACGAGAGAAAGTTTAGAAGAGGAGGAGATAGTCGAAGATTATTTTGTACATTATAAATGTAAAATATAAAGATGCATGGTCGTAGAAATTATTTTTTCATGATTTGATCATTGATCAAGCGGCAAGCAGCGGCATCAAAGACGTCCTTCTCCATCATTTTGATGAGTCTGGCTTCGAGATACTCTTCTGTCACGATGATCAGATGTTTTCGTAAAAAGCGGAGCATAATCAATTTAATGAGGTTTGCTCTTGCCACTCTCTCGGTCGGGTTTTGGGTGTTTTCAGAAATTTGACTTATGTGGTCCACGGTGGATGTGATGGTCAAGTTCTTGTCATAATCCCAAAATGCTGTGACAGGAAGATTTTTAAACCGGTTCAAGTAATGCCAATTGGGGCGAACTGCATCCGTAACCTTAGTTATAAGATTATCGAAGTGATTGGGTTTTTGTCCCACGTTAGCGCTAACCCGTCTTACACCTTTTGGTAGATCTGAGTCACTTGATGGACTCCTTGCAGTCAGCGAACTTGCCGCTGGTTGCTTTACAGAATCTGCTTGAGGTGACTTTTTCTCAGGTTGGGTTGATGAGACTTGCGAGGCAGAAATTGCAGAAGGCACATTGGGTTTGTTCCCGTGCAAGCCATTGGTTGCCGTTGTCGAGATGGGCTGAGCTTGCTGAGTCTGCGCAGGTGGCACTGGTGGACTGGATGGAGCTTGACTGGATGGAGCTTGACTTAATGAGGCTTGACTGGATGGAGCTTGAGATCCAGGTATGGAGGGAGCATTGGACATACCAAAACCTTGCAGAGTAGGATTTTGTCCATTTTGAGCCAATTGCCTTTGTTTCAATTTTTCTCTTTCTAGCATCCTCTGGAGATCATTTACAGAGTTCATTACACCTCGCTCGCTCAGTTTTGTGATAATCTCTTCAAGTGAAAAGTCAAAGCCAGCAGATCTTAAATGCTTTTGAACTTCCAAAATACGGCCTGGTTTGGTAGCAGCAATTGTCCCTTGTGCTCTTACAAGCTCCAGTGTTGCCCTTATCGACCAAAATATGGGGTTGTGAGGCTTTGGAGGTATGGCACTTTTTGAGGCTCCACCTTGGTTAGCATTTGCGCTGGCAAAGAAAGACTTACCTGTGTCCTTCTGTTGACTTTGTCTGAAGGAATAAATTCGCTTGAACTCATTCCAAGCATTTTCGTAGTAGGCTGGAGGTTCGCCTTGTGGGCCATAGGTTTGTCTATGAAGAATGAAAAGTTCGTAGCGACCCTTCACGTTGTCGTCTGAAAGCTGAAGGTTTGTTTTCCGCAAAAACAGTTTCTTCAATTCAGCCCATGGCTCGGTGACGTAATGTTGCCTGTTGGCGAAGAACTTCGAGGCAACAGTGTGGAATGATTGCATGTAATATTTGTAGTCGTTCATGGTCTCTGGAAGGATACCGTAATGCAGTTGAAGAGCGTGAGCTGCTTCGAGGGAAATTTTAATATTGAAAGACTTCTCAAATCCTTCTTGGATGCTTTCTGAAACTCGATGAGGCGCCATTATAGCACATCTGAAAACGCATTGCACATGTTCAGGTGTCCAGTCGTTCAAATGAGTGAAGAAGACTTGTTTAGGGCGCTTTTGAGGCGACGATTCCGGTGAGGTTGGTCTCTTTTGGCTTGCGGACGCCGTAGGCGTATGTAGCGAAGGAGATGGCTGTGATAGAGAGCCTGGTGTGCGCCTATTATTTGGTGAATATCGAGATGTTTGTGGAGTCTGCTGGTTTGTAGCCTGAACCGCCGGTGGTACCACTGCACCAGGCAATGTACCCTTCGGCTGAGGTGCGGTCTGAGCAGTCGGAAGTGTTCCCTCTGTTTGTTTCTGCTCGTTTGTGGCTCTCGGAGTTGTTGTTTGTGGCTGGGTAGCATGCTGTTTTGAAGGAGCAGGTTGCTCGGATGTTGAGGTAGTCGACACCGTCTTTCCTTGCTGCTCCGGTGTCTCTGCCTTCAGAGATAGCTGTCGCAGAGACGTGCTATCCACATCGACATGATTGAGATCGAGCGACATGACTATCAGACGGAAACTTTCCATATCTGCGTTCAGCAGCACCATGCTAAAAGCGACCTTGCCTCCTTCTTTGGCATTTTCACGCAATTGACGTCTCACGACAGTCAATTTGGGCGCCTGGGCCAAGATGTCTGCGATGGGGATTTTGTCCTCCATTCTCAGCACTATCGAGGCCAAGTCGTCCAAAAGGTTTCTGTAGTCCAGGTCCCAATTGCTTCGAGAAATATCATAATAAGACTTCAATGCGTGGTACAGGTAGCATAGCTGGTCAAATTCATACAAGTCTTGTAGGCCGGGGTTGGAGTCGCCGGTGGACTTGATTACCGACTTGTACTGGGACTCAAGATCACGCTTTAGGTCCAAGTAGTTTCGTATTTTCCGCTGCAAAACACTCATGCTGGTTTCTGAGTCAATTGAGTTTCACCAAAAATGGTTGCAAATTGTGCCGAGTGTCTGTAGACGATGGGAGACACTGGCGCGGAGCACTATAATCTGGCTTGATGGGGTAGGAAAACAGCGCTAGACACGGTGCGAGTATGGAGCAGTACAGGGCGTAGGGAGAAAATTCAAAAGCTGGGTAATATATTTGGCCCCACTTTTCGAGCGAGTTTTCAATCCTGAGCCTAAATTCGTAGCGTGGCTCTTGCAATCAGCAAACCCTGGTTGTGTGTGACTGAAGCGGGAGAAAGTTTTTACCTTGGATTTTTTGCCCAGCGCTGGCGCGGACGGTGCAGGATGGCGCCAACAAGCATTATCCAAAGCGGTGCGTTGTGACACACCTAAACTCGGCGGATTGCGATAAAAATGTATTTTCAGGTTCACTTGTGCTTCTATAATATGGCACACTATTTACAGAAGGTATTTGAGGGAGGTATCGGGAGAACAACCACCCCTCGTGGGGGGCACCCAATAATTGCGGTGTACGGATGTGCTCAGTGCATCACGTCGGCCGCGATGTTTTGACGATTTGATGTTAGCAAAACCGCTTTTCAGAAACCGCACCGGGCTACGGCTGCGAAAGCGGCGCTCTCGAAAATGGCATTTCGTACGCCGCCGCCGCCCGGGCGCGGAGGTGAAAAAAAAAAAGGTTCCACGCCAGGCGCCTTTTTTTAAAATAAAATAATAAAAAAAGTAAAACTCAACCAACAACTTCGGAACATTTTTGGCAAAGGTGCTCTTCGGACTCGGCAATGTACTTCCAACAACGAGGGCATTTGCTGGATGAAGACTGCTGAATGAGCAAATTGACACTTCCGTCGCAGAAATCGTCTACTGAGACTTCCCGAGCTGGACCCGCGGTGGCCTCAGTCGAGGGACCCACCGTGGCTCTAGAAACAAGAAAGTAGTCATCTAGGAATTGAGCATGGTTATGCAAAAGCGAGGTGGCCTGAGCACCCTGAGGCTGTAAAAATATCTCAACCTCCAATTTGTTCTTGTAGTGACCGTCCTTTCTCAATTGCTCCAACTCCTTGTACAAAACGTCTCTGATTTTCCACAACTGGTTGATCTCACCCTCGACAGTCAGATTCAGAGCGGCGCTATCAATAGCAAAGAAATCCCATGGCATCATGAAAGGTGATTGTTCCGAGATTGCCATTTGCTGGGCGTAGAGTTGCCATGCCTCCTGGGCAATCAATGGCTGAATAGGCGCCCAAAGACCAATGTACGTTTTGAGAATCTGCTCCAACACGGTCTGTATGCTTCTTCTTCTGTGCGAGTCCTTCTTGTCCGTGTAAAGGCAGTCCTTAGAAATATCAAAGTAGTAAGCACTAAGTTCACTGATGTGGGAATTGAGTTCTCTAACAACGCCAGCAAAATTGTGGGTCTCGTAGTGTGCCACAACCTTTTCTTGGACATTGTACAAGCGAGAGAGCACCCATTGGTCCAATTTGTTTAGCTTTGCGTGTTCAATGCGGTCAGAGGACCCAAAGTCGTGGAGGTTTCCAAGCAAGTACTTGAAAGTGACCCTGCTCTTCTTAACACTTTCCAACAATCTTTGGAAAACCTCCACACTGACATTGACGTCGGAGGTGTATGTCGAAGAAGCCACCCAGAGACGGAGACCGTCCGTGCCCAATGCAGGCACTAATGGTTTTCCACCGCCGTCAATTACCTGCGTTGGGACAATGACATTTCCCAAAGACTTGGACATTTTCTTGTTCTTTTTGTCAAGAAGGAAGCCGTGCGTGATGATTTTTTTATATGGTGCCACGGGCTTGAAGTTCCTCCCGTCTCTGGTAGATGCAATGATTTTGTTGAGAAGAGACAGTTGAAACCAGCCTCTGTGTTGGTCACTGCCCTCCAAGTAGATATCAGCGAGAGGCTTATCAGAGACACATGAGGCTTCAAGGTCAGATGAAAGCGTTGACCAAGATGTACCGGAATCGAACCAAACATCCATAGTATCCTTGCCCTTGAAGTAGTTGGAGCCGTCGATGTTAGAGGGCAACCAACGAGAGACATCGCTCTCATCCTCAAACCAGGCATCGGTTCCGTATTCTGTGATTCTATCAACAGTGTAGCGAATGACCTCGGGATCTTCAATGGGCTCTTTCGTCTCCTTGTGGTACACAATCGGCAAAGGAGCACCCCATGCCCTCTGTCTAGAGATGCACCACTCACTCCTGTTTTGAATAAAAGCCTTGAGTCTGTTGACACCCAGAGGTGGAACAAATTCCACATTGTCCAACAGGCTGGCAGCAGCTTCTTTTATCTTCTCGACATTGACAAACCATTGTGGGGTAGCTCTTTGAACTACTGGTGTCTTCGATCTCCAGTCGTATGGGTACGAGTGTTTGTACAGCTTGTTCAAGTGGAAAAGCATGTCGTGATTCTCGAGGTGTTGAATCACTTTGAAGATGGAAGGCTTACCGTTGGCATACTTGCCTGCAAGCTCTTGATATCCTTGAGGAATGTTTTCTGAGATGTAATGGCCCTTCTCGTCCACAGATGATGAAACCTTGAGTGAATGTTTCCTACCAACAAGGTAATCCTCCATACCATGAGCAGGAGCCGTGTGGACCAAACCGGTACCGGCGCTAGCGGAAACATGGTCACCATGAAGAATTGGAAACAGCTCCTGCGACTCGTTGGAAGGACTGATATATCTCAAGCCCTCCAATTCAGAACCACGAACAGAAATCAGACTATCGAGCTGGTATTTCTCATCATACTTGAGCACAGACTCTGCCAACTCTTTGGCCACAACAATACCTTCACCACTTTCAGTGTTTTTGATCAAAGTATACTCAATGTCCTTGTGCACACATATAGCTTTGTTGGCGGGAAGGGTCCATGGAGTAGATGTCCAAATCAAAAGGCTGACCTTTTCGTATCCTGGAAAGATGTCAGTCTTCTCCAACGGATATTTGACGAAGACAGCCACAGACTTGTGCTCTGGGTTATATTCCAACTCTGCTTCTGCCAAGGCAGTTTGTGTTTCACAGCCCCACCAAACCGGCTTGAGCTGTCTCGACAAGAGTCCATTTTCGAACAAACGAAGGAAAATTTTAAGTTGTGCCGTCTCGTAGTCATGCGTCATTGTAACATAAGGCTCGTCAAAGTTGGCCATAATTGCAAAATCACGAAACTGCTCCCGCTGTTTCTCTATCATGCTGTCGGCTAGTTCTCTGCAAAGCTTACGAATCTCCACAGGCGAGAGATTGTTCAGACCCTTCACTGCCTTCATCTCAATCGGTAGACCATGGCAGTCCCATCCGGGTCTGTAATTAATCCTCTTTCCTTTGTTAATCAACTCAAAACGATTTATGATATCTTTGAGGATCTTGTTGAGGGCGTGACCAAGATGCAAGTCTCCGTTGGCATACGGTGGGCCATCATGAAGTGTGAATTCTGATGAAGTTTTGGATCTATCGAATTGTCTGATGTAGAGCTTCTTCCCACACTCTTTTAGAAGATCATCTCGTTCTGTACCTTTGGGAATTCTCGGCAGGAGTTCAGTTTTTGGTAGTAAGAGGGATTTTGAGTAAGAGCTATTTCTCCCAAATGAGCTATGGAATGTCCGCTTGGACCGTAGTATATTATGCGTATGTCGATTCATGATTTTTCAAAACCTGAATCATACCAAGAGCTCTATCTGAAAAATGTGCGCGTGACTTTTAGCACGTGCAAACCTTTCGAAATATTCAGATCTACAGAAACTTGTAAATATATATCTTTTAAACGTTAGACACATGACATCGGAAATGTACTAATAAATAAGACATGATGTGGTAAAAAGACAAGAGATCATGTAAGTTCGTCAGGTGCTGAAGAAACTATTTTCACGGAAACATCACATCAGCGCGTTTAGTTCTTGCCAATGTTCTTCGCCAACTCGATGTACTTTTCGGTGGAGAAGGACTTTGGTCTTTCAATTGGGGCACCAAGACCACGGTCGATGATCAACTGAGGCAAGACACCGAAGGCTCTGGAGACACCGAACAAGACAGTGTAGAAGGACTCCTCAGTCAAACCGTAGTACTGCAACAAGACACCGGAGTGAGAGTCCACATTTGGCCATGGGTTCTTGGTCTTACCGTGCTTGGTCAAGACACCTGGAGCAACCTCGTAGATGTTAGACACCAACTTGAACAAGTCGTAGTCTGGCATGTGCTTCAAGGCAAACTCTCTCTGGGCAGTGTAACGAGGGTCGGTCTTTCTCAAGACAGCGTGACCGTAACCTGGAACAACTCTGCCAGAGTTAAGGGTGTCCCACAAGTACTTCTCAATAGCCTCCTTAGAGATGTCACCCTTCAAGTCAGCCTTCAACTTGAACAACCACTCCAAGACCTCCTGGTTGGCTCTGCCGTGCAAAGGACCAGCCAAACCGGACAAACCGGCGGAGAGAGACAAGAATGGGGAAGACAAAGCGGAACCAACCAAGTGGGTGGTGTGAGCAGAGACGTTACCACCCTCGTGGTCAGAGTGGATGGTCAAGTACAATCTCATCAACTCAACGAATTCAGCGTTGTTACCGAAACCGAGCAAGTTGGACAAGTTGGCACCGTAGTCCAAGTCCTTGGAAACCTCACCGGCCAACTTACCGTCGTGGAAGACGTTTCTGTAAATTCTGGCGGCGATGTTTGGCAACTTAGCCAACAACTCGATAGAGTCTTCGTAGGTGTACTTCCAGTACTCGGACTTTGGAACACCCTTGGCGTAAGCCTTAGCGAACTGAGACTCAGACTCCAAAGCAGTGACGGCAATGGAGAACTGGGCCATTGGGTGCAAGTGGGAAGGAGATCTGTCGATCAACTCCTCGACGTGCTTTGGCAAAGCGGATCTAGCAGCCAACTCCTCAGAGAGGGCCTTGGTCTGGGCGTCGGTTGGAACCTCACCGGTCAACAACAACCAGAACAAAGCCTCAGGCAAAGGCTCGGATCCACCTGGACCCTTTGGCAACTCCTTCTGGATGTCAGGGATGGTTCTACCTCTGAAACGGATACCCTCAATTGGGTCCAAAACAGAGCCCTCCCAGACAAGACCCTTGATACCACGCATACCACCGTATGCCTGCTCCAAGAGGACTTCACCAATAACCTGCGTGTTAGTAAGAAGAGCATGAAAGATAGGAAAAATCGGATGCAACACCGGTGCTAAACATCCGGTGCCGCACGCCGAGGATAAAACGGGTACATACGGTTTTGCCGTGCTCTTTTTTCAATTGCTTGACCTCTTCAACCTTCTCAGGCAAAAGCTCAGCGAAACGAGCCTTCAAAGTCTGGGGGTGTTAGTAACGGGAATTCAACAAAAATGGGAAAGCAAGAGGGAGATCACATACTGGCTCAGAAGCATAGGTTCTGGTTTGCAAAGCTCTCTTCAAAGCGGAGCGTTGGAAGGAACGGAGAGACATGATTGATTGTTGTGGAAAAAAAAAATATAAGAAATGCCGGAGAATGCCCAGGGACAGGTGAGCTCTTATATATCTGAGTGTGGATGAAGAAGCGGCAAGTATGAAAAACGCACCCAGGTTACGTAAACCCGCTTGGATCCTGCACACGGGCGCGGCCGCTTCGAATAGGACACTCTGTTGCAACCAATAAAAACGCACCTTGCATCGTTGCCTGAAGAATATCCTCGGACAGACGACACCGGCCTGAGGTGATGGGCCGAATCAGTCCAGAGCCGTCACGAAGCAAAATTACTTAAACGCGGATACTTTCACAATTCATTTGCTTTTTTTCTCCCACCGTCCCACTTCCTAATTCTTCCGAGCCCCACCCGTTTGTCTTCCGGTGGGGGTTTCTTAGTGACCCCAGATTTCGGAGTTGGCGAATGAGAAGGGCCCCACGCTCTGGCTGTGGGCGCGGTGTGGTGCAGGAGGGCACCCGCAAAATCACAGGCCCACGCAAGCCTCAACTGATTAGTCGAGCTTAACTCACAAGAACCCAACGAAAAAAATTAGCCACTCGTAGTTGACGAATCTCAATGCCTTCCTGCGATTAGGTTTACCCCGGAATTGACTTTGCATTTGCATTCATGTTCGATGTCCTGCCTTAGGCAGCTTGGCTGAATCTGGGGTTGCACCAGTGACCACCTGTTTTTACAGCGTTGCGCACCCGAACTCACCGAACTCGGTTTTCGCAGCCCAGATTCGCAACCACGACACAAACTTCCTCAGGATTGGCACGTTTTGAGCTTTCAAATTGTAGTTTTTTTTTACCCTAGCCTTCTCGCCAAGCAAAGCTTGTTCTGCCCCCACACTTTTGCCGCTTCCCATAAATACAAATCAATTCTTGTTAAAGCGGCCGCTCAAGGCATTCTGATCCATGGCACCGGCATGCACGGGATCCGCTTTTCCGTTGCCTCGAGGTATGTGGAAACAAGCTCCTGCTTCCAGATGCAACACAGTGTCGCCAATCGGATGTCGCCGGCTACCCCTGGTATTTTGCAGCGGCTGCGGTTTTTAAAACTCAAGATGCGCTTCTGAGTTCCATGTTTGCTTCAAACCAATCAGGATAATCTGCCCTCCTAATCTTTGCATTTTTCCGAACCATGGGGCATATGCCCTGCCTGATCCAGGTCCGGCTGACCCTGTGCAGGCGCTACACTCACCTTTTTTTTTTTTTCACTCATCGCTTTCTTTTTCTCGATAATTGGGACTTTATCTCCATTTGTATGACGTTTCTAGGTATACGTGGTAAACGAATCCCAGATATCGAGTTGGAAGCTTGCAGAGGCGGTGCCATAGACAGTGTGGTCCCACCTTTGATAGCATCCTACATCTTTACTGTCGTAGACTCAGTCTAGTAGATCGTGGTAGATAAGCGCTCCAATTGACTCCTTGAAAGGCTTGTTGACGGCTGGGCAATGGCTGTTAAACTCGCAGTTGTTGCACTTCCATCTCAGGTCAGCCTCTCGTGGTGGCCGCCTACCAGTCCAGAAATTCACCGCTTCTTTCAAAGTCTGATTGTTGGTATTGACGGTGTAAGGGTAGACCTTGGAGCCAATGACTGTGCCCAGTTTGCTGTGATGGTAATCCACAGCCACCGTGGATGCATCGTAACCATTGAAGATGTCATAAATTTGGGATACCCGAGCAATGAAGTACCGAGGCGTGAGCGGGTACTTCCAGGGTTTAAAAAGTACGGATATGTCGATGCTTTTGACGGCGAGGGTGTCACCGTAAATATTCTCCAATATCTCTTTAAAGTCTTTTTCTGAAATGAATTTCGAGAGGTCGTAGTCCATGTTGCCCTCTTCCTTTTCTTTGTGGATCTCGCTCATGACCTCGTCGTGGAAGGTTAATCCTAAGGGTTGCCCTTGGGCTAGTCGAACATAGTCCATTGCTAGCGCCTCGAACTTTTCTAGTAAGAGGATAACTGCGTGTGCTTCGCCAATTTCGGCATCAATGTCAATTTCACGTCTTCTAGCGCTCTCCCGGTAGCTCTCGTAAGTGAATCGAATGTCTTTGGTGAAACCGAGAAAGAATCTAGTATAGTACATGCATTGGTCTCTTGCTGCTTTGAGTTGCAGCTCTTGTTTGGGGAGAGATTTTACCCCTCTGGTTTTGACGTCTCTCACCTGGAGGTAGTAGTCGTCACGAGACTTTTGAACCTCGTCCTTTAGCTCTGGAATGGCTCGACTCAAATCCCAAATTGGCGCCATCAATGACATTCCATCGATCTCGGCAGTCACTTCTGGAAGTTCAACCGTGTGGGTGTCAATATTGCTTTCAGCACCACTCTTTCGTTCAAACTGTACTATATCGGCAATACCTCTGACAAGAACCCCTTTATGCAAATCTTCTACCCGTTCAACGGGTCTATTGGTCTCAAAATCAATAAAAGAATGCACGTCGATTTCTCGAGCGTGCCGAGTCTGTGCCAATGAGATCCCCCTCTTGATGCTGTGTTCCGTGACAGACTTGGCCCATTCAGCCAGCCCTTGGTTCCTGCCCAAGTGCATTGCCTCTTCAGGTGAATGTTTGGCTGCAATCTCAGTCAATTGATCAACTGCTGAGCTCATGTCGGCCCTCTCGTGCTCTTCGTTTTCAAGCCTATCGTGATATTCAGAGCCTTCGGCCAAACGAGCCGTGACTTCCTTTTTCTGCAGCCCCGAGTAGATACGGTAGAACAACTCGAGCTCACACCATGCATAGGATAGAAGTTTGGTTACCAGAAGGCGTGGAAATGCAACTATGGTTGGGTCTGCAGCGTTCTCTGTGGTGTAGTAGGTAAACGGGTCTGGCTCAAGATTCTCGGGGATATAAAGAAGCAGCGACAGTGGTCTGTTGAATTTTTCCAAGACTCTGTACACATTCGGGCTTGGAGCTTCAGGAACTGACAGTCCAACTTCATTGCGTATCTCAAACAACAACGGAAGCGTAGATGCTCTGTCAGAGGTGACTAGCGCCTGGGGTCGTTTGGGTGTACGTCGTGGTACCCGAAAAGTGAAGGTTCTTCCCATGCCACATTGGCTGTTGTGGTGATCCAGCGACAATATGAGCGATTTGGTGATAGTCTGGTAAGCTGAATAAGCGGTGCGATGTATGGCCGGTGCAGGGGTATGTAGCTTTGTGGATCCGGGCAGAAGAGAGTAGGAGAGATTAGCTGTGATTGGATGTCTACTTTTCTAAAGATTCAGTTAAAGGTGATTTTTGGAAATTCTGACTTTTCGAGAATTCTTGATGACTGACGCGTTGGTGACCGTTGACGTGGAGTGACGTAAGGTGAAGAGCTGTCAATGCGAGAGCGAGTATTTGGTGAAAGGGCAAGTTAGTGGAGACACACTGCTGGATTGATAAAAAGTATTAAGAAAGCCCAATTGAATGCTGTTAGACATCACTTGGTAACTGTAAGTTGCAGCAGAGAGATCGAATCAGGGTCTTATCGATGTATGCTTGTAAGTGCATCAGTAAATGGTCCATCCGAAAATCAGAAAAGATCGCCGAATCGGCATAGCTCTATATACCCCTTTCTTTGCTGTTGCGTTTCACTTCTTCACATGAACTACATTCCGGGTGCCCTAAAAGCACATCTAAATTGTGCAGTCAATCGTAGTTTCGGCACTCTGCATTTTGGTCTGCCATCAGATAAAGTAAAGTAATACATAACATCTGATAAAATTATATTTCGTTAAAAGCTGCCCATTCTCTACCATCTAAAGAAATTTGTCAGGACATATTTGCATGGTTGCTATTTTTACTTCGTATTTGTATTATTCACAAAATGGTTCCATTTCGCAACAAATTTAGAAACTTAAAAACACGTCTCACATGTGGGGCCGTACGAGCAATGCGTCGCGTGAGAAATCACAAATCACCTGTCAGTTCAAAGCCTCTTCAGAAGATCAAAAAAATGACGACATGATCATCAAAAAGAACAATGAATGAAGAAAAAGACAACTGAGAAAAGTCTGCTTAGAAAAAAAACGCGTCTTTATCTGCTTCTACAGGTATTCGGAAAGTTATAATCTTACATGTAATACACATCTATAACGATTTTTAAATGTACAGGATTCATTTTCAGTGAATGCCCCTCTTCATCTTCAACGAGTCGCGTTTCTTTTCACTTAGACTGAACTGCCCGGGCAAGTTGATCTTGTTGTTGCCATTGGCCATGGCTGGCTCCTTCACGGGACTCTCTGGAATCAAGGGACCGCCGCGTAAGCCACCAGTGCTGGGCAGCGTGCTTCCGATTCCGTTTGACAGAGGATGACCAAAGTAGCCAGATTCTTCGGAGGGCGTAGTTGCCGAAAGGAAAGGCGAGTTGAGTGCCTCACCAGCACCAAAGTAGTTCTGGCCCGAGTATCCACCAGGGATATGCATGTTCATGTTTTGGAGGAAGTTGCAGGTATCAGTATTAATCGTGAGAGGTCTTGGGAAAGAACCGTTGAGGCCGTTACCACGGCTGGACGAGCGGGAACGCAGAGGTTCCAGGTCTGTCTCGTCCATTTCGGAGCCCGAGCCAGCGGAGCCGGGGGTGGGTTGGAAAGTGCCGCCATAAGATCCGTACGAGTTGTTTGGCGTGCTGCCCAGCGAAAAGGAACTTTTCGACGAGCTGGGCGGCGTTTGGTAGTCTAGCATCATGGCGTTGAAGCCGCCAGGGGCTGGTTGTAGTTGAGGCTGGCCCAGCTGAGCCAGACTCAGGTTATTTCTCTGGATAAATGCTCTAGGGACAAAGTCATGCATCAGTTGAAGCGAATCCGTGGACGCGTTCTGGTCGGCGTGCATGCCCAAGTTGGCGTTTGGACGGATGTTCAGAAGGTTACCCACGTGCAACCAGTTGGAGCCGTTGTAGGAGTTGTTTCGTGTGAGAGAGTGCTTGCGCAAATTAAGCGATGACAGGCGCAGACGGCTCAAGGCGGCTGCCTGGGCTGCCAGGGTGGGCTGCTGCTGCTGGTACGAGGCGACATTTTGCTCGTTCAACAGCAAGTTCAGGATGGACAGCTGGCGCACACCAGGGGCGGCGTAGACGTTGTTGGGAGCCGGCACCAGGACAGATGTGCATGCCGAGAGCAGCTGGGGCTGTTTCTGGGCGGCACACAAATCTAGGAAGCGCTTGCGGATGAGTTGCAAGATGATGGGTTGGTAGGCGTGGTTCTTGAGAAAGTCCGGGGAGAGGACGCTCTGGGTATCGTAAACAGGCTGGTCGGAGGCGTTGCGGAGAAGCAGGATCATGGTTTCGTTGGCGACTTTGGAGACGAGTCCCAGGGGAGGGACGGACCCCAGAAAGGGCGTGGTGGTCGGGAGCAGCAAGATGTCCAGGTAGATGGCGAGCACGAGCTGGTCAAAGACCGGGGTAAAAGTGAGCAGGTAGTTTTTCAAGGAGCGGCCCGCGGGCTCGTCCACGTCTGTCAAGAGGTCGTCCAGCTCCGCGTGTTGCGGGTGGTTGTACAAGTTGAAGTAGGAGGCCTGGTGGTTGTTAGGCGGATCCAAGGGCGTTCTCAAGGTCTGGTCGACCGGGGTCAACGGCGCGTCGTCGAGCGTCTTGGACGTCTTCAACGTCAACGTTTTCTTGTTAAGCATCACGACAGACGAGTACCAAGTTGGAGATTGAGTTGAAAAAGTCGTTCCGGAAGCAGCGGGCGCACCGGCGGTACCGGGGTATATATATGGGGCGGCGAGGGTACAGGGGGCGACGCGCGAAGTAATTATTCCCAACTGGGCGGAAGCAGGGCGACAAAGTGCGACTTCGCAGCAAGACAGGCAGACAAATTTGAGGCACAGACAAAGACGGTGCATTGGGCATTTTTTTTTTTTTTTTGTGCTAAAGGGGACTGAGGGTTATCGTTTTGGGCATTGTGACTGAGGCTTCCAAATTTCTGGTTTGACTAAGAATTTTTATTCCTCCATCTCATTGTGCTTGGCTTCCATGCTTGCCCTTCCTTTTTTTTTTCTTCACATTTTGGGCCGCCCAACTCTTGGGGGGTCTCCATTTCGGTCGTCCCTGCGGCTGCTGCTTCCTTGCTCTTGGTCCCTAGCCACACCGCGTCGCGAGCAATGTGGCAGCACTGCCTGAATCTGCCTGAATCTGAGCAACTCAAGAGACAAAAAACGTCATTAGACACGAGGCGCTGGTACTCGATTTTCGGCACATCACCGACAAATTTGCGTTTTTAGCCATTTCTCCTTTTTATTCTCTCCACCCTCCACCCTCCAACCTCCACAAGTCCCACCACCCCATCTTCTCTTCAAATTTCCCGTTTTGCCGTGGCCGGCCTACTGCTCCCGCCTAATCCTCGCCTGGAACCCTCGCGCATCTCGCTCCATCTTCCGTTCCCTCGCACCCTGCCATCGCACCCTGCCTGATCCAGATCCTCGTGTGTCGACTGCAGCGGCTCGCATGGCTGCGAATTCGGATCATGGGCCCACAAGTGGTTCGTCAGATGATGCAAATAACCTCTGGATTAGTCAGACTGGTCAACTGAAATGTCAAATCTCTGGAGCGATCGCCTTCACTACGGGGCGCTTGCAGGCGCTAGTGGCCGTGGCTTGGGGGGGCCTAAGCGGGCCTCGTAAGTGGCCTGAGTCTCCCGCCAAACTCTATCTCTGAATTACGATCCCCACAGACCACAATCGAAGCACCTCGCCCGATAGGAGCCCTGCGAGATCGAAGTCCGCCCTGGAAGCCTCTTTGTGCCGTGAGGCTCTATTCTTTGGTCAACCCTGCGCACGCACCCTTGAGCCTTGTTTTTTTTTTATTTGTGCCTGGGGGAACTTTTTGCAACCATTCTCTTTTCCATGGCCACACTCCTGCAATCCAGGCCCCATTCGGCCCAATCCGTAGTTCTGGAACCCCCGCCAGCAGCATCGCCCTCGGCAGAGATCTTGCTCCATCATGCTGCCCAAAACCACATCCGTGTGCTCATTGTCTTCTTGAACTCCTCCCCTGCGTCACTAACCCCCCAGGCCAACATCGCCTTAGCCTCTTCTCTTGCGTTTCTAGGCAGATCTAACGGAGCAGTGCACCATCTTGTCCAGTTGGCAGATTCCACCCCCCTGGTTCTGGACCGCAAGCTCTACTTGTATGCCTTGTACCGGTGCCTTGAGGAAAACGGCCAAAGAAACCCGGCGTTTGCCCACGAGGTCGAAATGGGCATCTTGCAGCACGACGCTCTAGTCTTTGTGCCCCGCCTAGACGGCTTCCTATTTGGGCCGTCCAGGGCCCTTTCTTTGCATCAACAGGTGGTACAGTACGAGGAGGCTGGCGGCATGATAGCGCCTACCAGTTTTGCAGCCGCTGTGAAACGAGATTGGGTCAACGGGACGTATTTGAAATTTTTAGGCACCGATCCCAGCTCGATCCTCGAGGCTATCGACGAGTTTGGACCCTGGCACGAGGTGCTGCTGGCGCTTTCAGTCCAGTTCTCTAAAAACAAGTCCCTCATGGACAAGTTGGTCCAAGGGTCCAGCAACGAGCTGCCAAGAGGCCAGGGGCTTTTGGAGTTAGCCAGAATGGCCTCGTTTCGGACGGCAACGGCAATATCCAGTTTTCTTCAGGGGGACTATGTCGCTGCCTTTGACTGGACAAGTCGGTATTTTGCAGTCGCCGACGAGGCCCGCCGCTTCATCTTTCCAGACGGCATCAGGGCTTTGACAACCAGGGATATCCTCACAATGGCCATGCTTATCACCAACTGTCTCGAGAGAGGCGTGGTGCTGGATATCTCTACAGTAGAGCGCATCTATACTAGACTCGCAAACCCAGAAGCAGAGCTCCACGATGACGAGACCGAAACATGGAGAATGAGAAGACCAGGGTCGAGAGAAAGTGCTGCGAGTGACTTTTTCCAGTGCTCCTTGGCCTGGTCAGAGAGGCAATTAGGCGAGGAGAACCTGCTCTTGAACAAAGAGGTCATGAACCAGTCCTTGTTGCAACCCATGAGGAAGTCCCAGTACTTTCTGTGCTGTGGCCACCTTCGCAGACATATGGCGGCTTTTGGGGCTTCAGAAAGAAAAATCACCCTTCTCTCTGGTGAATCGATCAAGGTTAGGGCGTACAGCGCCAGAGACTGCTCTTTGGCTGCAAGGCTGTATATCATAGCAGCGGCATGCCATCCGATGGATGATCCACAATTGTACCGTTTGTATGATAGGGCAGTATGGGCTCTATGTTTGTCAGGCGGTATTCATGCCAGGGCTCTTTGGTTATTTCTCCATGCGAGACACAGAGCATCGTTCACAGCTAATTTTGCCCCCGCAATACGGAGACTTCCAATAACAAAAAGACCGAGCGGGTGGTCTAAAGCCAAGCTCAGAAGGCGGCCTAGATCTGAAAGCTCATTACTTAAAGCGCCAAACCACGTCACTAGCGTGCAATCCAGAGCCACTATGCTGCATCAGGACAACACGGAAGGAACGAGCCTCAAGAGACCGCAGACGGTAGTGGACCTTCAGGCATTAAATTTGGAATCGAGGGGGAATATGGCCAACGGCTCAGATATTAAATTTTCCGGCTCAGACCTTTCGGACTGGCCTCATTTCGAGAACCAGATGGAAGCGCTTTACCAAATGCAGATGTTTGTCGAGAGCATTCACGAAGCAGTCGAGGATAACCCCGATGGGCTAAACTTTGACCAATCTGACGTTACGTTTTTAAGCCCCCTGGTATTGGAGCATCAGATTGATGGTGAGCACCCTGTCCTTTACTTGGCTGGCGAATACTTACCAAACAGAGCAGATTTCAACCAGGAAGGCGGTATTTTCGTTACTCCCGAATTAAAGTCACAAATCAAGCTTCTGCAGTCTGCCGTTGAAGAGCAATTTGCTTTGAGCAAAGAGCTCGTTAATGCTTGGGCAGCAGCGTATACTCAGATCAACGGAAGTACCCCAGATTGGACAGCAGATGTCCTTGAATGGTCAGGGTACGCCCCATAGTTTTGCAATACGAGGAAAAAGCCCGTTTTAATAGGAAATGGTATCCACAGTCCCCATATCATTTAATGTAGGATTTAAGCGGTTCTTAGTGGTAGGAATCCACATTATGAAAAGATTTGGATGACGAAATGTTGATTCAGTGTTCTAGAAAATGTTCTGCGAGTTTCCCAAGAATCTTCATTTTGTCGACACAATGAAAATTTTAATGCAACTTCGAAATCTTCAGTGAGTTATCACCATTGGAATATTCATATCACTGTTATATCTGCTCAACAACGCATCGATAAGAAATAAGCCGTCAAAATGAAATGTGTGGTTAATTTTCAAAAGGAAGAGCAAAAAGTGAGCAGATTCGAGAAATCGTAGAAAGACCTGACATTTTCAAGCACTAGGGGTTACCCCAGAATTAAAATGCGTCCGGCATTTTGCTGTACTACCCGCATGAGGATCCGATTCACAGATAAGAACACCCCAGAAGTCTACAGCAAATAATTGAAAGGTCGACATGTTCTTCCTTGAATCTTTAATAGAATTGAAAATCTGGTGTCTCTTTTAAAAGATTGAAGCTCTATGATGTATTCTGCTTCTTATTCCACAAAGCGAGACTATCAGCTACTATTTGAAGAAGTTCAGACTATTTTCAAAGAGTCGACTGAATATACCACACTAACTTTATACACCTCACATAAGAAATTTCTTGGGTCTATTACTGGCGTTTTTTGGAAGGAGGTGCCTATCGGCTTAACATGTATGCAGTGCACACCTTGCTCTGATTCGCATGCCTGTTTCAACCTCAACGGTTCCACAGTTTATTCATTTATCATAATACAAAATGGAGTCAGATTCTGACGAAGACATCGACAACTTCGATATCTTCAGGGATTTGGACATCGATTTAATGGATGTCTTTACCCGATCGCAGAGGGCGGAGCTCCGCAGGATGGCTAGATTGCACAATCTTAGAACCACGGCCGATTTCGTCCGAATGTTCCAACAACAACGAAATGAGCGAATATTCAAACTCTATTGGCTCTTTGGGTTCTTCCCTCTACCTAAAGTCAACTACGGACTTCTATGGAGACGTCATAGACCTGCCGACATAGTGAGATCGAGTATGAGATTGGTCATAGCCATAGCAGCAGGGGCTGTAAGGCTAAGCAGGCTTTTTGTGTATGGTCTTGCGGTATTTCAATGGCTCCGGGACATTTTACAGTGGGTGTTCATATATGGCTCGATGGTGACATTCTCGACCAACTTTTTTGTCGATATCGAAACTTACATCTTTAGAGAAAGCGCAGATGTTCTACATCCGCGCGGCAGTACTTCAGACTGGCTCAAAAACCTACAACTGGCTAACGGGAACGTGCTAGATTGGAGCTTGTGGACCAAGATCCTTTACGACATGGTCTCCAGCACAGTGAGATTACAATGCGTCAAGGATCAAGACGGGGACCTGGAGTTCTGCTACATCGATAAAAACTCCTTAATTTTTAGATTCAGTGATGTCATAGCTCTCCATTTCCCAATTTTTGAGAGCTTGCCATCCCCAGTTTTGACATTTTTGGTCGTGCTTTTGTACCTCACATACGGTTTTGCGGGACAAATGATTTCGTTTAATGTTCTCTTCTACTTCATCATGCAAATTATATTCAGATTCGAAAGTGTGTCCAAAATTATATTCGGAGTGGGCAAAATACTATGGCACAACGGTGGTGAGTTGATCGTTTGAAGATTGATAGAACGAGGTCAGTTACCCGATTAGGAAGGCAACCATCTCGAGTGCGCCAAATGCACCGGCTATTATATACCCTCTACTATGCCGGGGATAAGCGTGGAAAACGATATATATACTGCGGATCAGCTTTTCCTTAACACCACCCCACAATTATCATGAAAGCGGCTGTTTTCAAGAAGCCATACCTTGTCGAGACTGTCGAGAAGCCGATTCCCCATATTACTTCCCCCACCGATGCAGTCGTTAAGGTAAAGTACTCGGCACTTTGTGGATCTGATCTCCACTACTACCGAGGACACATCCCACTGAAGGAGAACACGACCATGGGTCACGAATTCGTGGCCACTGTTGTCGAGAAGGGTGACGCAATTGATGACTCGGCTTTCGCTGTTGGAGACGATGTCATCTCTTGTTTCACAATTCAGTGTGGGGAATGCTGGTACTGCCAGAATGGCTACTCGGGAACCTGTGACAAGACCAATACTTTTGGAAAGATTGGATTGGAAGGCGGCCAAGCTGAGTATGTTCTCGTTCCCTACGCAAAGTCCACTTTGCACAAGAAACCCCAGAGCTCGGACGACGACTCCGTGTACGTGCTCATGGCAGACATCTTTGTGACGGGCTACTTTGGCATTAAAAAGGTGATGGATCATCTTTCCAGCTTCAAGACTAAGGATATCACGATTCTCCAAATTGGAGCGGGACCAGTCGGTCTTTGCTCAGTCAGAATATTGAAGCACTTTGGCTTCAAGTATGTCGTGGTAGTGGATGGCATTCCTGAACGTTTGGAACATGCCAAAAAGCTTGGGGCACATGACACCGTCAACTTCAAGACCGAAACAGACAAATTACAAAAACTTATCGAGACTGGCACCGGTGGCTTGGGATTCGATGCGATCTTGGAGATTGTGGGTGCGCAGCTGTCCATGAGGACTGCGTTTGACAGTGTAAGAAGGGGTGGCTTTATCAGTTCAGTTGGAATGGGTCACGAGCCACTTCCATTTAATGGTTTGGAGGCTTACGCGAAGTGTGTTACTGTCAGTTTTGGCAGATGCAATGGCTGGTCATTGTTTGGAGATGCTTTGGAGGTGTTTGAACAGGTCAAAGGGGATTTTGGTGATTTTATAGACGCCAGGCCGTCAATTGATGAAGCAAAGGAATACTACGAAAGGTTTGAACGGGGTGATGTGGGAAAGGTGGTTTTTACCTTCTAAAGTAATAAATATGATACCAGGTAATGGCAATTTGTAGATTCGACAGTCGTAAGTGGATTTATCATTGGACTAGAGCCTACCTGTTGTGGAGGCTTGGCTGCTAATCATGCAGAAACGAGTACCTGGATTCTACGAGGTACGTCGAAAGCTGAACAAAATGCCATATTGCTAGATGAAATCAAAACCCATATTCCTATCTAACTCTATCGTCTTTTTAGTCCACGTCTCTATCCTTTGAATGACTTTTTCAAGTGCCAGCTCGTTACCTATTGACAACATGAAGTCCTCTCCAATTTGTTCCAACAATTCACTTTCGTCACCCCATAAAGTATCTTCAAATATATCGCTGAGATAAAAAGTCTCGAGCTCAGGCTGAAGCACATCAGGAACATGTATGATTGCACAAAAAGCCGAGTAATTCAAGGTTTCTTGTTCAATTTGATAATCGAGCTCATCTCTCAATTTATCAAGCCTGTCTTTGCAACCGGACGCTTCGAGCCTGTACGTGCCAGTCGACCTGCCGTCATATTCATCAACCCAGCGATACTCTACACCGTAACCCTCAAACTTCGATTTGTACCACGGCTCTAGTTCAAAGATAGCCCTTTTAATTGCGAAAAATGGAACCTCGTATGTCATGAAATCAAAATGATCGGCTTCGTATTGTACAAGCCTATCGATTTCTTGCTCAACCTTCTCAAAGGCACCACTAGGACCCTGGATGGTAATCTCATCTTCCTGGGAAGGATGAGGCCAGACACCTTTCATTGTTTCACAATATAATCGAATATTGACATTGTAAGTTTTCTGGAGCTTGGAGAAACTCAAGAAGTTAAATCCAGGAGCTCTACACTGCCATGTAGATGCAAGTCTGACACGCTTCACACTTTCCTTCTTGAGACTATTGACCTTTGCAATAAGGTGTTCCCTAGCCTTCATCACAAGCATCCGAACCCCTGAAATAGTGATTCTAGTTTTTGAATTTTGGTCTATAATCTTTGTGCGAGACCTCAGTGCTTTCCCAGAATCATGGATTTGAAGACCAACTCCGAAATGGTCTTTTATGTAACGAAATCCTTGGCATTTGTATTGAATAAGGGCAGTTATCAACATGGATGGAACTTTTATATTTGTCTTAAAAAAGCCATCAGTTCTTACATCCTGAATTTCTCTTTGGAATTGTTCAAGGTACTGTTTTACTATTGCAATGCTTCCATTCACAACCTCAATACCAAATTTGCCCTCAACCTCATATACTGGATTAAGGAACGCTCCAGGAAAGTTTTTCAAAACCGCCGGTATCAACTGTCCGTTAGAATTCAACATGGCTGCTTGATCCGCCGGGGATATGGTGATGATATTATCGGAATCCCGTTCTGAATGTGCTTTGGCTTCATTGATTTTCTTCATCACCAAGTCGAGCTGCAGTTGATCCAGCACATTGGGGGTTTCAATTCTTTTACAGAAAATGATTCCCCACCGTATCATTGAGCAGTATTCAATATCGTGCCAATTACTTTGGAGCGCTGTGTAGACACGGCAGTAAGGTAGATCAGTAACGAGATATATCTCTCTCTTCAAGAAGGTTTTGATTTTTGAATTGATTCGATCGATCGCTAGCTCCATTTCTTGTCCTTTACGTCCAACGATTTGAATAGGCACATTGCGTTTAGAGATATCACACAAATGTTCATACGAGGGGTAATAAACGAGGACTTTTTCAGATCGGGCGAGTTTCCTGCTCAAAAAGTGTACTACCGCTTTCAAGACACGTATATCGTGGGAGAATAGATCGACGAGGTCAATTTCGTACAAACCAAACTTCTGAGAGAAGCGCATTAAGTAGTTGCTAGCCCTGCTAATTTCTGAGGGATCACCAGCCAACTTGATTCCACGTTCCTCGTAGTCAGAATTTTCGATCTCTGGCGGGTAATAAAAGTCAACATCTGGAAAGCTGGTAAGATACTGGGGCATGAGTTGGTGAAGGGCTCGTGGCACCGGTACCAGACAGATACCTATATTACCCTGCAACTCCTTCAACTGCAGTTGAAACGAGGCAACTACTTCGACCATGACTTCCATTTTTGTAAAGAGTAAGAATCCTCCCTCCTCTGATGAGCAAAGAGGGAACTGTATGTCAGGATACTTCAGCATGACAGGCTCCGTTACAGACTTACTCCACCGCTTCAACTCATAAGGGAAGTCAAGCATTATTTCAACTCTTTCGATCGCCTTCTTTATATCATCAATGATATCATGCTTTGCGTTAAGACAGTTTTGTAGAGTGCCTTGCACAATGACTGAGGCTGTTTGAGGGTACTTGAAGAAGTCATCATTATCATTGGGGAAAGTAGGGACGGCAATGTTACGACGAGGTTCACGAATTTTGCCAAAGCGGTTCCCAAAAGGGTCCCATTGTAGCCTTCTAACAAATATTTCTACCAGATGTCTCCTCGAAGTATGCTTCAACAATCTACCTCTTGAGCCAATGACGATTCCACGTAATCTGTTTGGGATCAAGAAAGACAAAGTGACACGCTGGCTACTAGATATGCTTTCTTTGAATACATCTAGATCAGCCTTGGGGCCCGAGAGGATCATTCGATCCGTGGAATCAGTGACTTCATGATCACAGGCAACACCATCGATTTTTGCTGCAACACTCAGCAAGTACTTCAAGTTGAGGTCATACAGAATCAATCTCTCCTTCAAATCCCAGTCGACATCACAAAATTCTGGTTCGACCCTGAATTTGATTTCAGAAGTTGAACTCATGGAGTACCTTAGTATGCATGACAGGTCAGATCGGGAGGCAAATTTTCACCTCACAGTCGCAATTTTTGTGCTACAACGCTCAAAACTTGGGAGAGTAATTCTGAGATTTAAAAGAACATATTGAAATTATAAAATTTTACATTTTCCAAAATTCATTAATTTTACGTGATATAATTTAGCCAACACTGAACATCATCAAAAGTGGCAACTTGTCCGAGTGGTTAAGGAGAAAGATTAGAAATCTTTTGGGCTTTGCCCGCGCAGGTTCGAGTCCTGCAGTTGTCGTTAATTTTTTTTTTTTTGCTACACCATCATTCTATTTTTAATGACATCCAACCCCGTAAACGTTTACCGTTGCTCTTTCGAAGCGCAATTGGAAAGGCTGAGTCACTAGCGATTATGAAGAATCGCGCAACAAGTCTTATCGCTTATCGGTCGAGGAGCCTCCCGCGTCCAGCTCGCAAGATTTACCGAGCGGGGGAGGGGCAATGTCAACGGTTTTTCTGACAAAGTTTATTAGATCAAGTCCATAAATTATGGCGACAGTCTAGAATCTCCTGTAGCCTGAATGGGGTTCTCTGGTTCTGAGACAAGGGTTGCCCCGCAGTGCTTCAACGCGTTGCTACCCCCGAAATCCACAAATTCGAATAAGACCCAACACTATTTGCGGTATTTTGTCTCAAGGCAGTGCTGCGGAAAAGGGAGCTCGGAAATCAAGGGTTGCCTCGGGGTCAGTGTAGCAATTTCACTTCGGAACTCAGTTGATCCGAATATTTTTGAAACGTTACTAATTTCAAAAGCTGGTTGGCTGCCCAATTTTCCCCACAGGGTGCACCCCGCGTGTTACACTCAAAGCCTATGTACTTTCGGCCTCTGTCTCGGGTTTGCTGCCGAACCTACTAACCATGTCCGAGTGCTCATTGCATGATGAACCGTGTCTTCTGCACAGGTCGAGCTGAAGATGCATAAAAATAGGCTACATGCATCGATTTGCTGTGAACCCTCTCCCTTCAGGAGAAAGCGGCAATCAAAAAGTACATCCTTTGCTTGCCTAGCAAGCGAATTACAAAAATTCATTCAGTTTTTCCACAGTCTTGGCACGCATTTTGACATATGTCAACCTGTCAAACGTGCATACATCAGAGTTTTCGCCTCCCGGGCCGGCAGGCTTAGTAGCATGATGTGCGCATTCTTGCAGCACCACATTTCGTATCCACCTATAGAAAGCTTTCGTGCTTTGAAAAGTCCATCGACTGCAACTTTGTGTAGACGTCATGCTACCTGTACTTTTGGGCAGTGTGCTTGAATTGTAACAGGAAGTGGGGAAACGGACCGGAGGCAATGCAGATTTCCAGGGAAGGTCCCGGGATCATTTACAGAATCATTGAAATACAGCTTCGTTTGCTGAATTTTCTGTTCTTAGTTTTTTCACATCTCTTTTTATTTTTCACATCATGTTCACGAAAGATCCGGATTCCGCTAAGCATTTGCTGACGGATGCAGAGATTGCAACCAAGCAAAAGCAGAAAAAGAAGTTCAGATGGACCATTGAAGATCATGATTCCCCCAAAGAAATTTATAACAAGACCCTTTATTTGTCGGTGATGGTCTTTGGCATTTTGGGTGCTGCTCGTGGTCTCGACGAAGGAAATATTGGGTCCAACATCAGTTTGCCATCTTTTAGGCAAACCTTTGGTTTTGAAGACCCCAACAAGAGCGAGAATGAAATAGCCGACCTCAAATCCAATATTTCGTCGATGGTGCAATTAGGATGCGTTGGCGGTGCTCTTCTTGCAATCTTTACTGTTGACAGATTAGGCAGAGTGAATGCTTTGAGACAGGTTTGCGTTTTATGGGCCATTGGCGTCATTATTCAAATTACATCTTCACACGTTGGCCAGTTATACGCTGGCAGAATTATCGAGGGACTCGCGGTCGGCCAGACTACTACCATCGGACCTACTTACTTGGCAGAGGTTGCTCCAAAACAGATCAGAGGTCTTTGCAGTTGCATTTTCGCTGGAGCCGTGTACCTCGGTGTCATGTTGCTGTGCTTTGCAAACTACGGCACCGCATTGCATATTTCTGATTCATCACAGAAACAATGGATCATTCCCACCTCCCTTAAGATCATTTTCGCTGGTGGATTATTAATCCTCACATTCATGTTTTGCATCGAGTCACCCAGATGGCTTATGAAAGTTGGGAAAGCAGACAAAGCGTGCGAAGCCCTTTGTAAGCTCAGATGCCTTCCACCTGATCACCCGCTCATTGTTGGTGAGATCAACGACATCAATGAGCAATTGTTAATGGAGAAACAAGCACAATCGGGGAACAACATGCTCAATATTGTCAAGGAATTCGTTCGTGTGAAGGCGAATAGGTACAGATTGTTGGTCATAGCCATTCCCGCCCAATTACTTGGACAATGGTCCGGCTCGAACGCTGTGACGATATATGCACCCGAATTGTTTGGCGTGATTGGTGTTACAGGAATCGAGACCTTGAAGATGACAGCCATTGCTGGTGTGGTGAAGTTTGTTTCTGCTTACTTGGGCGCATTTTTCGTCATTGACGCCTTGGGAAGAAAGACTTCAATGTACGTTGGCATTACGCTTCAGTTCTTGTGTGAATTGTATTATGCAATTTTTTTGAACGTGGTGCCCAATATCGAGAGCTCCTTGGAAGGCTCAAAGAAGAGGGCTTCTCAGGGTGCTGTTGCAGCCATTTTCCTTTCGGGCACTGGTTGGGTTATTGGTTTCAACGCTATTCAGTATCTTATGGGTTCGGAAATCTTTCCATTGAAAATTCGTTCTGTGGCCAACTCGTTGGTTATGGTTTTACATTTTGCCAACCAATACGGTAATTCCAAAGCACTTCCCGAAATGATGATTGCAATGCAACCATACGGAGCATTTTATTTTTTCTCCGGGGTGCTTTTAATTTCCTTAGTTTGGGTGTGGTTTTTCGTTCCAGAGGTGGCAGGCCGTTCTTTGGAGAGTATTGATGACATTTTCAATTTGCCATGGTACCAGATTGGACGGAACGGGCCCAAGCTTTGCCCAGACCATTCCGAAATTAGCAGAATGCAATTTGATCATGGCATGATGGTATACGAGGATAAAGCCGGGTCGGAGCACCAGGTGGAAAATGCCAGCCAGAACAAGAAGGAATCGGACGAGGATTCCGTCAAGGACCACAAGAAAGAGGAGGCGTAAGCCAAGGCATGAGGAGGTAATAGAAATCCCCAATTTTACGAAATTGCTTAACCAACCAGCTCGTAACCCGGTGTGCCAAGTAGAGGATGTTGATGCAGCAAACCCGGAGTTTTTCTGAAAAGTCCCACTTTTGGTGAAAAAGAAAAACCCAGGTTAGGTGGAGCAGAGGCCCATGGAGACTGCGGGGTGAAGAAACTTTACTAAGCCCTGATGACGGATCGACCCGGGCTTCGATTGTGGCAGGATTCCGGGTCCAGCATAATCGGACATGTCTGATAAGGTGGGGCTTCTGATGGAGAGAGGGCAAAAGAAAAAAAAAAAAAAAAAAAAGAAAGAAAGAAGAGGTCTGCGCAGGCCTTGTCGGAATAGACAAAAGAAGCAGGTGAAACGATAAGTCCATGGGCATCGCCAGGCACTCCGGGGCGGAACCAAAAACAGAAGACCGAGATCCTGCAACTAGGAATGCTGGTTTATGGGTATGGGTCGCTCGAACATCACCATCTACCATAGTGCCAAGCAAATGCCCCCACAACACCAGAAAAAAAAAATTAGCCGGCTTCTTGACAGTGACAGCAGCGTAACTTGGCAGGAACAGGCTTGGCCCTGTCACATCATAGAGAGCCGCTACTTTTGATGAGATCACCAAGGCGGTGATAACACAACGGCGAAGTGCACAGACTTTAGCGAACTGAAAAATATAACCAAAAAAATTTTTTTTTTGCAAGGACATGGAGGGGCAATCTTGCGGTGCAGGTTTTCAGCATGGATTCGGTTCGTATCGTGCCGTAGCGCCCCCCAATAGTGTCCCACCTCGACCCGGAGCCCCACGCATTGTCCTGCGAGCGCCCCGCGGCGATGAGAGCAATGGCGCCGAAGAGGCTGATTTTATTGAACAATTAATTTGGAAAACCCCCGCAGGACCATACAGAAACAGAGCATTAGCAGGGGGATGGTTTTGAGGGTAGCGAGTTGTGCCGAAAGAGGAAGCTCCAAGGCGATGCAAGACGGTTTGACAAATGTGGAGTGATGGCTGCGAACAGGTGATGCAGCAACGCCTGAAGCACTGGGCACAGCAGAGGAGCAATTTTTTTTTTTTTTTTTTTGGCTTTGGGCAAAGTCCAGCAAGCGAGAGTTGCCACGGAGATATCATCAATAGGCTTTTAAGCGTGAGCCGTAGCTTACGGTATTCAGCAATGAGGGTCTTGTAAGCCTCTCATTCGGTTGCGCCCCCACGCAGTCTGTCAAAAGCTGGACGCACCCCGCGCGAGGTTCCCAGTGAGTCCTATTGGCTGGATATGACCATTTCCTTGACGATTTTCTCACAATCCCAACCCAAACTTTTTCGTTTTTTTTGCAACGCCTCACCCCTCGATGACTAATGTATTGGATCCGCGGGAGATTGGTACGCGCTTCAGACACAGGTGGGGCAGGGCTGCATTCCGGCACACAGCCCCGGCTCCCGGGTGCATAACACCACCGCGCTGACGCTTTTTCCACTAAGCATCTCGTACTAACCCGGGGATTGTTGCCCAAATTGCCTCCCTAACCCGGGGCCCAAGGTACTTGAATCTGTAGAAAAATTTTCGCCTCTGCGGGAAGAGCGGAATTTCTGCGTGCCCCAGATCTTCCACAGCCAATAACTGCCCTTGCAAAACGAATCCTCTTCAACTATCACCATCCTACTACTACTCACGGCTGTCAAATTGATAGGAAACGTTCTTAACAGACTCCCACGCCGAGATCGGAGAAACCAGCCTTGTGTGCGTCAATCCTTGCTCCAATCTACGGGGGGTGAGGGGCGATAGTGGAGAAACCACATACAAATTTTTTAATTTGTCTACGTACCCCCAGCGTCCTATCCAGGACACCCAAAGATAGTCACATTATTTTTCCTTTTTCTGCCCCTCCTCCACTCTATTCCCTGCAAAGCAAAAACTTGGTGCCCAGCAACTACGTGTCATCGTCACCAATAAGCTAGGTGGCGTCTGGCGTGATCGCCCTTCCAAGTATGTGTCACAAAACCCCATATTCATTTCAGGCGTCGACCCATCTTTGTTCGCTAGTATGACCACGGATTGTACTAGCTACTTGGGCCCGCCATGCAGGCGCGCGATATGCAGCTTGTTCTACTTGTTAATGTGGGGTAGCTTGTTCTCTTACGTTGTCACTGCACCTGGCGTACCCCACCGTCCCGGACTTTCTATTCGCATACTAGGTGCATCTTTTTTGCACCCACGAACCATAGTTGAAATCTCGTATCGCTGCAAAGCTTTCTCCCTCTCCCTAATTCCGCACTCGTCTATATAATCTCCCCTGCCGCCTCTGCCTTGATAATTCTTTTTTTTTTCCTTTCAGTCAATAATCTACAAAGCCTTTTGATGACTACTTTACAGAACAAGTACTCTGGCTCTTCAGTGCTGGACATTGAAAAGAACCAAATCGTGGCCGTTGAACAGCCTGTCCCAGAGAAGAAAAAGTTCAGATGGAGAATCGAGGACACTGACTCTCCTAGCGAGATCTACAACTGGACCCTCTACCTTTCTGTCTTTGTGTTTGGTGTCTTGGGTGCCGCTCGTGGTCTTGATGAAGGCTCCATCTCTGGTAGTGTTGCCCAGCCTTCGTTCAAACAACAATTTGGTTTGGCTGATGAATCGAAATCCGCCAACGAATTGGCCGACTTGAAGTCCAACATCACCTCGATGGTGCAGCTTGGATCTGTCGCTGGTGCCATGATTGCCATGTACACTGTCGACAAGTTGGGCCGTGTGAATGCATTGAGAGAGGTTTGTGTTATTTGGGTTGTTGGTGTTATTATTCAGATTACTTCCTACGACGTTGGCCAGCTTTACGCTGGTAGATTCATTGAGGGTTTGGCTATTGGTCAAACAACAACCATTGGTCCTACTTACTTGGCTGAGGTTGCTCCAAAGCAAATTAGAGGTCTTTGTGGCTGTATTTTCGCTGGTGCCGTTTACTTGGGTATTATGTTGGCTTACTTTGCCCACTACGGTACCGCTTTGCACATGACTGCCTCCCAGAGAATGCAGTGGGTTGTTCCTACCAGTTTGAAGATTGTATTTGCCGGTTTGATCTTGATCATGTCTTTCACTTTCACCTGGGAGTCTCCAAGATGGTACTTGAAGGTCGGCAAGCCAGAGAAGGCCATCGAGTCATTGTCCAAATTGAGAAAGCTTCCTTCTGACCACCCATACATTGTTGGTGAGATCAGTGATATCAACGAACAGATTGCCGTCGAGAAGGCTGCTGTCTCTGGTAACTCTGCTGTCGGTGTTGTCAAGGAATTCATCACGAAGAAGGCTAACAGATATAGATTTTTCCTTGTTGTCGCCGCCGCTCAGTTGTTGGGTCAATGGTCTGGTGCTAACGCTGTTACTATTTATGCTCCTGAATTGTTTGCTGTTATCGGTGTTACTGGTGTTGAAAAGATGAAGATGACTGCTATCTTGGGTTTGGTTAAGTTCTGCTCCGCCTACTTGTGTGCTTTCTTTATCATTGACTTTTTGGGCAGAAAGACAGCCTTGTACATGGGTATCACTCTTCAGATGATCTGTTTGCTTTACTTTGCCATTTTCCTTACCATCGTGCCAGAGGCTGCTGACGAGGACTACCTCATGACCGGAAGCCAGGCCAGAGCCTCTAAAGGTGCATTGGCAGCGCTTTTCCTTTCTGGATGTGGCTGGACTATGGGTTTCAACTCGATCCAGTACCTTTTGGGTTCCGAGATTTTCCCATTGAACATCCGTTCTTTCGCTCAGTCGACTGTCATGGTTTTGCACTTTGCCAACCAGTACGGTAACTCCAAGGCTTTGCCCAAGATGATGATCTCCTTGCAGCCATATGGTGCTTTCTACTTCTTCGTTGGTGTGTTGGTGATCTCGCTCTTCTGGGCCTGGTTCTTCGTTCCAGAGGTTGCTGGTCGTTCTTTGGAGAGTATGGAGGATATCTTCAACTTGCCATGGTACCTTGTGGGCAGAAAGGGTCCAGAGTTGTGTCCTGACCACTCCGAGCTTAATAGAATTCACTTCGACCACGGCGTTATGTCTTACGAACAAAAGAACAACTCTCAGGAGTTTGTGGAGGACGTTCTGAAGGAACGTGATGAACAGATGCTCAACAAGGCCAAAAAGTGAGTATATTTTAATGGGTATTATTTTGATAAAAGAGCTGTAGATAAAAGACGGTATGCAGATGGCGATATTTGCACCCAATGCACTGAGCTGCATTTGGATAGACACAGGTGTGCTTATCTTCATGAATACAGAAAAGGTCATTGTGAGGTCAAAAGAGAAATAAGCCTTTCAATACTTCCTATTGAAACCATAAAAACCCATGGCCTAGCCTCTGATGCGGTGCTCTACCTTATCACTCGTACTCTTCAACTGGAGGCTGCGAACGAACACAACTAGTAGAGCTTGCAACATCAAAATGTACAAATTTTCAAAACAAGCATTTTTGTCAAAATCCATAACACTATCCATATCCCCCTATATCCTTCATTTTGACCCCTTCTCTAAGCTCTTCGCCTGGTGGGGCTCTGCATACACTGCTTTTTTCGGTCCCTAGTTGCAAACTTCTTCAACTACTACCAAAGCACACCGCTGTATTATAAAAAGCCATGGGTGTTCCAGCTCTTTTTCGGTGGCTTTCGAAGAAATACCCCAAGATCATTTCACCTGTTGTGGAGGATGAAGGTGATGCCCAATATGGAAGAGAACCACAGTACCTGGATCCCAACCCCAATGGAGAACTAGATAACTTGTACTTGGATATGAACGGTATTGTGCACCCGTGTTCCCATCCAGAACATAAGCCTGCTCCAGAAACGGAGGACGAAATGTTCCTCGATGTCTTTAAATACACAGATCGTGTTCTTATGATGGCCAGGCCTAGAAAAGTGCTAGTAATCGCTGTCGATGGAGTTGCACCTAGAGCCAAGATGAACCAGCAGCGTGCAAGAAGATTCAGAGCAGCTCAAGATGCCAAAATCCAGGATGAAGAACGAGCAAGGCAGATTGCCGATGCCGAGGCTCGTGGTGAGATTATTGAAGAATCCATCAAGGGCAAGAAGAAATGGGATTCTAACGCCATTACACCCGGTACGCCGTTTATGGATGGCTTGGCTGCTGCATTGAGATATTGGGTAGCATACAAGCTTGCCTCCGACCCGGGCTGGAAAGACTTACAGGTCATTATCAGTGATGCTACGGTCCCTGGTGAAGGTGAACATAAACTTATGAGCTTTATCAGATCGCAGAGACTGGATCCTCTGCATGATCCAAACACAAAACATTGCATCTACGGTCTTGATGCCGATCTTATTTTCTTGGGTTTAGCTACCCACGAGCCTCATTTTAGAGTCTTGAGAGAGGATGTTTTCGCCCAGGGTGGAGGAAGAAACATGAAATACTCCGACCAGATGAATATGACAGCCGAGGAGAAGAAAGCTTTGGATGCTCAGGATGCTAAGAAGCCGTTCTTGTGGCTTCATGTCAACGTCCTTCGTGAGTACCTAGAAGTTGAGCTCAAGGTCAGGATGGGCATGCAATGGGATGTCGAGAGAGCGATTGATGACTGGGTGTTTATGTGTTTCTTTGTGGGTAACGATTTCTTACCTCACTTGCCATCTTTGAGTGTCCGTGACAACGGTATCGATATCTTGGTCGGCTGTTGGAAGCTGATAGTATCAAAGGTTAGCGATTACTTGACCTGTGACGGAAAACTCAATCTTGATGCGGTGGAGCACCTTCTTCGGGCTCTTTCCCATAAAGAAGATGATATCTTGCGCAGAAGACATGAAAATGAACAGAGGTATCAAAACAACGATAAAAGAAGAAAGGTCGCTCGTGACGAGGAAAAAAATTTACGTGCTCAATATCTTTCTTCAGTTTCCAAGGGCAAGGAGAAGGCACCAATTACAGCAGACATGAACATGCCACTTATGGACACTTCAGGTAAGCTTGTTGATGGATACGCCCAGCTTTCGAACAAGGATATTGTGAACAACAGAGATGTTATCACGAAAGCCAACATGGCCAATGCTGATGCAGCTGCTGCGCTCAAGAAGCTCATAGCACAGAAAAACGGTGATGCACCAGCTGAAGAATTAGCCGAAAGCGCGAGCGAGGAACTGAAGAAGAGAAGCGCCAGTGAATTGGAAACTACTGAGTCTGAGGCTGATCCAGATGAAGATCAAGTAAAGGAATGGGAGCCCGGTTACAGAGATCGTTACTATAAAATCAAGTTCAACTTATCCACAAAGGAGGAAATCGAGAAGACCAGAAGGGACCTTGTTTACTCTTACATCGAAGGTGTCTCTTGGGTTCTTTTGTACTATTATCAAGGATGTCCATCTTGGCAGTGGTATTACCCATACCACTACGCGCCATTTGCTGCCGATTTCACGGATTTAGCTGAAATTTTTGGCGATGGAGGTATCAAGTTCATACAAGGTGAACCTTTCAGCCCATATGAACAACTCATGTCTGTCTTGCCTGCCGCATCGGGTCATGCCTTACCGGAGGTGTTCAGAGATCTCATGTCCAATCCTGATAGTGAGATCATTGATTTTTACCCCGAAAACTTCAAGATTGATATGAACGGAGCAAAGATGAGTTGGCAGGGTATTGCCTTATTGCCTTTTATTGACGAGCACAGACTTCTAACAGCTGTTCGTGGGAAGTATGACGAGCTTACCGACGCTGAGAAGGAGAGAAATACGAACAAAAAAGCTCAGCTTTATATATCAAGTGCCAACAAAAACTACCAGAAGTTTTTGAAAGCTTTTGATGATGAGAAGGAACTTCCATTTGCTGCACAGCGAACTGGACTTGCAGGTATCGTCAAACCGGTGCTGTCATTTTCAGTGGATGGCGAGTTGCAATTCCCGCTCAATGAAGGAGACATGCCACATATTCAAAATTCTTCCTACTTGATGTCATGGTACGACTTTCCAAACTCTACTCCCGGAAAGTCCATGTTGCTCAATGGCTACATTCCACATGTCAAGGTTCTCACGGACGACGATAAGTTTGCCATCACCAACAGACAACGCAATGGGCCACGATTCCAGAATGTTTCCGACTATGTGAACAACGGTCCTCAAGGCAAAGAGCCATATATGTCTTACAGTATGAGGGTTGGCGGATATCGCTCACTTCCACTTATCGGGTCCCAGCCTACTTCCAATCGTGGAAGAGGCGGTGGCCGTGGAAGAGGTAACTACAACAATTATGGTAATAGGGGCGGATACAACTCCAGAGGCAGAGGCAACAATAACCAAGGTTACAACAATCATGGAAACCAGGGCTACAACAATTATAATCAAGGTTACGGCAACCAGGGTTACGGCAACCAGAACTATGGCAACCAGAATTATGGCAACCAGGGTTATAACAATTACAACCAAGGCCATAATCAGGGCTACAATAATTCCTACAACCAGGGGGGCTACAACAATTACGGCAACCAAAACTACGGCAATCAGAGTTATGGTAATCAAAACCAGAATTACCAGAACCAAGGCTATAATCAGGGCTATCAGGGACAGGGCAACCAAGGCTTCAGTAACCACAATAGTTTTGGTGGCAGCTACAAAAGATGATCAAGTCTGATGTGTATATTAAAGAGATGTATATAATCCTCCCCACAGTAAAGTGCGCAGTAGTAATAGCTTATCACCAAAGTGTGGCTGCGACATCTAACTACTACTATTCCCACAATGGCACCACTATTTTATGAAACTTCCGGTCAATGGGCCGTATCTGCTATTGATGACGAAGGAGCATGGCATGTGAAGATCGAGAAGTCAGAAAAACCAGATGCTTCATATGTGGCGGTTTCCAAAGATGATCTTGCCATCACTAAGAATCATGTGTATGTCGTGGATTCAGTGAAGGCCGGCAAAGGCCAGACAAATGCTGTGGACGGTGTGTACTCTAAAGTGCTCAAGCCGATTTTCCAAGATGTTCTTCAGGTCGACCACGAATATCTACCAACTACTTCTGCTGAATCAATTACCCAGTTTGCCACATCTCTCAGACTGGATAAACCTGTAACTGTCATTGTTCTAGGAGGAGATACCTCGGTAAGTGAGTTTGTCAACGGCCTAGCTACCAACCCCTCAAAGGGTAATGTGGATCTTGCGGTACTTCCAACTGGAACAGGTAACGCATTGGCACTTTCACTTGGCGTGAACGATCTACACACTGCTCTTCAGAAGCTCTTTACCGCAACTTCACCAAAACCATTGAACCTCTATCTGGCTAGTTTACCCGAGGGAACGAAGATTCTTTTCAGAGGGGAGGAAGTGGCAGATGCGCCCAAAAAGTTCTACTTCCTCGTTGTCTTTTCTTGGGCGTTTCATGCTTCTTTGGTAGCGGACAGCGATACTGAAGAACTTCGCCAGCATGGCAATGAGAGATTCAAGATTGCAGCTCAGAAGAATCTCGGAAGACCACAGAAGTACGATGGATCCGTTCTGATCGGACTGACAAAGTACGACGGGCCATTTTCATATTTGGTTATAACGCCAGCGCAGAACTTTGAGCCTGGCTTCAAAATTCTGCCCAAAGGCGACATTCATGAAGAGTCACTCTACATTGTTGCTGTTGGCTATGAGCACGAGGAAAACCTTACAGGTAAGTACTTGTACGATGTTATGCTAGAGGCCTACGACAACGGCAAGCACATTGAAAACCCAAAGGTCACGTACAAGAAGGCCGAGAAAGGGGATGTGATTACTCTCCGGGGTCAAAACCTACTTCCCCAAGAAAACAGGCGCTTTTGCGTAGACGGTGCCATTATTCTGCTCCCCAAGAAGGATGAGTCGAGCGTGGAGGTGAAGCCAGAAGGTAATGAAGTTCAAGGGTGGACCCTTAGTGTATTTGCCTAAAAGTTTTCTAATCAGTCGTCGTTATGTGTGTACAAATATGCCACACATAAACTGGAAAGGCCGCAGATGGTTGCCATCAAGGTGTAGCACCAGCCAGTACCCATTTTTTCCATTTGACTCAATATGCTGACAAATACCGCAGCACACCAACACCTGGTCAAGTTGACCACAGCGCATGAGCCGGAAGCCTCTGTAGGTCTTAAGTCCACAATGACAGTGCTGGAGATGGTCAACCAACACATGGCTCCATATGATATGATGCAAGATGCAATGATAGCGAGGGACACGGGACCCGTATAATGAAGGGTCCATGCAAAAAGTAATGATGAAGTAACACATAAGGTGGACGGCAAAATCGAAACAATTAGCCTCGAGTTCAAAACATTAAATGATGATCCCTCCTCCCGGCTTTTGATCATGTGTTTATGGTACGAATGGTCAAGCATCTTGCCCACTGAAAGCGAGCCAAGAAGGCCACCCATACCGCAGGGGATGTATGAAAGGGCAACACGATCTAGAGAGTAGTTATACTGCTTCGTGAGTGCATGAGAGAGTGTTGTGAGCATCATCAACCATAGGGAGTAACAAAGAGAAGCTGGGATCAATACTAGGATAGCCTCCTTTTGCTTCAAAATCTCGAGTGGCTTGAAGATATTGAACTTCGGCTTAGTGCTCGACTCAGTTCTATTCTTTTCGATTGCAGGCAGTTCAAGTCGATTGGCAAAGTGTTGCAATCTCATAATTGGAGCAAACATAAGCCATTTGAATTTCCTAGGCTGGTTCCTAGCTTGTGGTCCCACGATTGATGATGCTGTTTCCGGAAGAAGCAAGAAGATAATGACGAGCGTGCAACCTGAGGAGATTGCTAGAAACCAAAAAATTGCTCTCCATCCGAAGGCAGATGAGATCATCCCGCCCACAAACGCACCAAAAGCCTGGCCTAAAAGCGCAAGACCCGTCGTGAGCCCTATAAATGATGCTCTTTCCGCTCTCGTTGTGATGTCACTGGCTATACCACTACCCAATGATATGGTGGACGAAATGCAAAATGCTTGTATGCATCTAAGAGCAGTTAAACCTGCAAACGTCAGGTTTACTGCCAAAAGACAGTTTGCAATGATGTATGATACAAGGCATGCGATGACAATGGGGCGTCTCCCAACAGTATCAGCCAAGTTCGAGAATACGAGTGGTCCGACACCTTGAAATATGGAGTAGACGACGATGGTTATGTTGACTAATGATTCGGAAACATGAAATGCATCTTGTATCTCTGAAAGCACAGGCACAAAGATTGGACTCGAAATTGAAGACCAGAAACCTGCTAGTCCACCTAGCAGTGCAATGACATACTTCTCCCATGTGACGAATATGGAGATGGGCTTCTCGTCATCCCATTTCGAGTCTATAAGAAGGAAATCTTCCTCCGAGTCTGAGCTTCCGATTGAAAGTTCTTCAGCACCAAGATTGAAGTGTACATCTAAAGAGTCACTGGAATCAACCTTATCTGTACTCAGCAAATGCGCTCTTTGCGGTATCAGTTTCGCTCTTCTCATGAACATTCGATCTAACTTGGTGTCGGATAGCATCAGCTGTAGCTGAATGGGATGCACAGTTTTTGCTTTATGAAGGGATTCGAAATTCTCCCAATCTTCTTCAGGCGTTTCCATGATGTTCAAAAAAAAAGTAACGGTTTGTTAGAAGGTGATGCACATTGGCTGCTAATATCTTCCATGAGCCTCACCTGATGCACATCGAGGTGCAGAGAAGATGCAGCTGCTTCGAGCGTTAATACATTTTCTATAGATTATACATTATTTATCATGAACGAATTCCTCATTTTCTTTTTTTCACCGTGTGATTCAGAACAATTTTCAATCAGCATGGCTCATGATCTCTCAAGCGTACGAAAGGCGCAACAAAATATTTCCCGCTACTCCTTGTCATCCCTTGGTTTCTTGTAAGTGTTGCTGGAATTTGGTGGGAAAGTACGCTTCCTGTTGTAGGTATGGCCCTGATGTGTACCTTGGAAGTTACCTCTTTGCTGACCCTGCTGGCCCTGACTCTGACCTTGTGTATGAGGGAAGGTGACAGCTTGTTGACCGTTTCTATTACCAGATGTGTTTGGTTGGATCACGCTAAGCGTACTCTCACCATGAGGTCCACCGTAGGTTGGAGTGCTTCTCCCGCTGCCTTGACCTTGTCTTGCACTAGTTGGCCTCTCGCTAGTTTGAGTGTCGCCACCAGAGCTCTCGGTGCCCTCATATTTCTCGAGCTTTCGAGTCAAAACACGGAGCTTAAACAAGTACTTGGTCTCAATTGTTTGCTCCAATTTTTGCTTTTCGTCATCGAGACGATGTTCGAAGTCGTCATTGAGAGCTTTGATTTTGTCCTCGTAATACTTGGTGAGCTCTTCCTTCTCTTTGTTTGAGGGCTGATTGGCACCTTGTGAAGCTAATCTCTCTTGCACACGCTGCTCAACCTTGCTGTCCAACTCCTTCTCAAACTTTGCAGTAAGCTCCTTTGTGGCCGCCTCGACCTTAGCACGCAGCTCCAGTTCCACCCGTTGCCTGATTTCATCTTCCGAGACAGCGGCTGAGCTGCCTTCAGTGGTCGTCTCTGACTTGGCTTTTGCGAGCTCTGCAGCAAGTCTTACATCAAACTGGGTTTGCAACTGTGTCCTTAACTTCGTTTTGTCGGCTTCATGCTGCTCTCTTAAGTTTGTGACCTCGGTCTCAAATCTCTTATCGGCTTCTTGCTTTGCAGCCTCAGCTTTGCTCAACTGTTCTTTCAAAGCATCAGTATTGTCATTGCTACCTGAGCCTTGTTGACTCTGGAGATCAGATAGCTGCTTAGTAGTGGAATCGTGAGTGCTGCGAAGTTCATTAAGCTCTTTCTCCAACTCTCTATTCTTATCTCTGTGGGCGATAAGCTTAGATCTAAACTCGTTTTTGAGAGCATCGAACTTGGCCAAAAGCTTCTTCATCTCCTCGTTGTTCTCCAACTGGTTCTTCAATCTCTCGTTTTCTTCCTTTAATAAGCGAAGATCCTGTTCATGGACGGAAGCAGATGCCTCATCACTGACACTTGGAGCTGAAGGATTAGAAAGGTTGGATTTGAGAGTTTCGATCTCCTTGCGCAAGTTCTCGACAGTTTCAAGTGACTGCTTGTTTTCGTTTCTCAAGGTCACATTGCTTTCCCTCAAGATATTCAACTGCTCGAGCTGTTCAAGTAAACGGGCATGTTCCTTCGTAGCGTCATCCAATTGAACCTTGGTGTTCAGGAGCCTATTCAATTGCGAGCGGGCAGCACCCAATTCTGCGTTGACTGTATCGACTTGAACTTCAAGACGCTGCTTTTCCTCGATCAACAGATTAACTCTGGATTCAGCAACATCCTTCTCCCGACGCAAATAGTTAACGACCTCCTTCAAGTCTTCTCCAGAAGCACCATCCACGCCGTTACCTGATTTATTCAACTCGAGTTGGTTCAATGTGAGGTTGAATTGGTACTGCAAGTCATTCAATTTTGCCCTTGTCGTTTCAAGCTCCTCGAGGTTCTTCGCTTGTTCGTCGCTGACAACAGATTCCTTCGTGGACAATTCAGCCGATGCATTGTTCAATTTGGCTGTGAGATCCTCGATCTTCTGAAGAAGCGTCTGATTCAAGTCCTTCTGAGTCACAAGCTCCGTGTTTAACGCTTCCACTTCC